TCACAATATCCACACTGACAATCAAGCTTTCATCTTTTTTTTTTTATCCACATTTATACTTATTTTTCATTAAAAAATAATAATATCTCATATTAAAATAAATAGTTTTAATTTATTTTATTCTCAAGATATTTTTAATTCTAATTAATACTTATTTATTCAATAGAGAAAATATTGCATTTGATTGAAAGTATTTTTAAATGAATTGACAGGTCATAAAAAGAATACTAAAATAAAAATTTGAAAAATGCGATCAATTTATCTCGATAAAGTGTACATGATAAAACTAATTGAATCAGTTCATCTATCTTAATAATTAAAAAACCATTTTTCTACATTAAATCCTGCAATTATTTTTTGTTCATTATTATCATAATCAGGTTCTCTTCTTAACCCTCAGAACCACAACTTACTTAGATAATTAATCTATCCATTAAAAAAAAAAAAAAAATTCACAAAAATATAATTGAAAGATAAATTTTCTAATCATTAAAATAACTCGAAAGAATCATCCATTTAAAACCCGTCTTCTATTTCCTTATGAACAGCTCTATACACAGCTTAATATAAATGAAGTGGATATTTCAAATGTCGTCAGACCGCTTCAAAATTTTTTTTTGCTTCAAAAATTTTCTTTCTTATCACCTACCACCATCATTAAATCAATTGCATCTCATTTAATGAACAGTTAATGAAAAACATCTTGTTTTATAAAATCACAGTCCCGGTTCAACACTAACCCATTTAAATCCATCAATGGATCACAAAAAACCAAAACTTGATTCTAAAAAACTCACGATAAGTCAATGCGTAATTAATAAACCAGATTTGAAAACTAAACCAAACTTGTATATTTAATACTGAAAATAATAACGTTTATCAAATGAGATCAAGTTAATGGCATTATGAATGTTTTTTTGTTGCGTAAAGCCGACAGATGAGTGTTGATAAGGTCCTAAATCGGATATCAGAACACATAAGAGCGAGAATAGGTAGTGGGTAACGGCGTGTTAGCGCTGCGAAGAAACTGCATGAGTGCAGAAATGCGACCATTAAAATATATATACTGACCGTTCCATTCTCGCATGCCGTCGCGCGACACGACTTGCAGGAATTACGACGAAGATAACAGCAAGATAGATACAACTTTATCGCTCCTCGTGCTACCGTGCGCTTGCAGACTCGTGCGCTTCTCTCCCACTGACCACTTCCTCCTTCTCAGAATATATACTAAAAGCACTAAATTAATACCCATATATACCAAACAGACTAAACACTAAATTCTCATAATTATCTCTTATCCTAATACACATCTCACGAATTGTTTTTTACACTGCATTTTGCATCCCAATAATTTTCCCATCACCTTTGACGTCCGAGACATCTTTGTGAATTACTTCAATTTGCATATGCAAATTACATGATACAAGTAATTAATTCGCAATCAGGTACCGTTACTTTGGCTGATAAAGGACAAATAAATTCAATACTTAATATTCACGATTGATAAACAATATTGCATTATAAGCGATATAGAATTAAAAAGAAATCAATAAAGATATCATTATTATATTGAAATGTTATCATTAATTTATTTATGAATTATCTTGGTGGGCTTTTTGTAATCCTAATAAATTGAAGCTTGCAAGGAGATACGAGAGAGTACCGTTCGGTGACCAAATCAAGTATTTACAGCGTCCACTTAAGACCTGTGACATGGTGGGAGTAATTTTCACGAGCTATAGATGTTCTTATCGAAGACAGCTAGTGAGAAAAGCAAGAGAGGTACGTGGCATCGTGTTCTAAAGTTTGGAGCACCTGTTACTCTCTAGACCTGAGCTAGACCGCACTGCCAGCTGGTTACCCTGACAACCGTACATTAAGTTTATCGTATAATTACATCGTGGTCCAACACACCCGCACTATTCTATGCCAACATGTGTCGCATCTATACCAATACCATATTCCACCGTAATTCGCGGTCGATCTGACATGTTCAGAGACTACACATTACTGCTAAAATTCCATACTGAATGCCAATAAAATCAATATATTTAGTGATATTAATGGAGATGATGTTATTTTTTATTATCAATAAGTGCGTGAAACTATTTTATCGGTTAACATTGCTCTTCTCTTAATGCACCTTAAGAAAATGGTTTACCACGAGTTGATCGAGTTTATTAAAAATCGATGGTTGGAAATGAGAGATTATTTCTTTTATTTCTACTGGAAATTTATAAAAAAAATACTTGAGAGAACATTTAAAAACATCCATTATTTAATATTCGATTTAAATCACTTTAATCTATGATGCATTAGAATTTTTTTAAACATAATGATTTACTTGTCAGTTTGTAGAATTAACGAATATTTTATCGTTGGAAATAGTCCAAAATTTTTTGGCTATTCTTTTGATATCAACTGTTTATTAATAGCTAATAAATCTCAACCCCAAAAATGAAAAAAGAAAAAATTCTATGAATATAAATATCGAAATTTTTCCAATAATTTATTGTGCATAATTGTTCACAACGATTACATAATTTTAAAAATAAAGGAATTTATAATTTCGAATATTTGTATAAATAATTCAGCATATAAAAATAAAATGTAAACATTTCTCAACAAAATCGGATAAAGTTTTGATTGATTAATGACCAACAAAAATAATAGCATGTAATAAGCTACAATGTTTTACAAGATAATAACATCAAAATTTTGTTGAAAGATTACATGGCAATTTTTAACTAAAGCTACTTAGCATGAATAAAAAAAAAAAAGAAATCGAGAAATAATCATGAATGCAAGAGGTAGCGTCGAAGAGACGCAATATAATAGTGAGCGGTCTACTTGAAATGCTTCAAGTTGGTATTGGAAACGACGAGAGATAAGTTAAGAGTATGGGGTGGCAGGAGAAAGACTGGAATACAACCGTATAAGACGAATAATTCGAGATTCATCGAGATGCAGCGGGGCGAACGACTTGTAATTCTTTTCTACCATGTAAATTCTTTTTATTTTATTTTTTAACTTCAGACATTTGGAAATAGCTCAGTGGGATAAAAAGTGAAGAGACCCCAGGAATGCTGGGTTATATGGCAATGCAAAGGCATTGGAAAATAAAATAAGTGAAATTAAAGAAAAACAATAACAAAGTAGTAAAGCAAAGAGTCATAGATTCAATGAAGTTAAGTTCACATTTAACATCTGCTGGGAAGGTTAAAATTTCCCTTGAGATTTAAGGAAAGTTATAAGTAGAAAAAGCTTCTCAAGAGACGAGATAAATACGAGAAATGACTATTTAATTTATCTTCATTTTTTTCTCTTATGATAACAATTTATTTATAAAATCTCACCAAAAATAGTTAATTTGAATAATCATTATAATAATATCATTTTCAAAACGGAATGTTGACGGACATTTCAATAAATTATTTCCATAAACTTCATATTAAATTCTACACAGGAAAAGCAAATAATAATTATTCCATTTGCCTTCATTTTAAATTATCTTAAGTAAATATTTCGAATTTAACAGGAATATTATATTAATTTTGCTGTTTTGTACACAATTGAATGAATAATTTAATATCTTCATTGAATACTTAAATATTTAATGCATTAATCCAAATAATCACATCATTTATTAAGTACATATATAAATTTTTTTTATTTTATAAATCGAATATTAAGAAAGAAAATCATTCAAATGTGACAGAAGGTAAAACAAAAAAGGATAGTTGGAAAAATCAGCGCGTCTAAATTGTGAAAAAATTCTTTCACATTGTGTCAAGCAAGTTGTCAGTGTGAGTTTTTGGAGTAGAAGACAAGATTCAGCAAGTTCAATCGAATTTATCTCGTAGGCGTCGACATCCATTTACAGCGCGTAAGTCAACTCGATTCGTTGAGAAAGGATATTTAAATGGGAAAAGGTGACTGCAGTAGTATGTGATGAAGACACTTATTGAAATTCAATCAATTGCCAACTCTTTGTGAAAGAATTTCAAGAAATAATTGAACATATTTATTCCTTCAATAAAATAATTTGACAGTTCAATTTAAAAATAATTGCACCCCAAGAAAATTCTTGAACGATAAAAATAAATTGGACAGTAACAGTAACAATTTTACGTTTATTTATGATCATTTATTGTCCTATTATTGCTGCTGTATGAATTTAATGTCCAAACAATAAATTCATGATTTAAAGCTCACAGATTGCAGCAGTGTATTGAATGAAAACGAAAGGTAATAAAGCTGTGTATACTAATCGCATATGATTTATAAGGCAAAGTAATTAAACATATTAGTACTACACATTTGTTGCTAATAAGTCGAGTTATAAAGTTTATTACAACTCAGAAACCTGTGATGAGCTTTCACTTGAGACACCTAAGAGCATTGGAAGAAACTTTAGTGATGATAAATTAACAGTAAGATTGATTGCTCATGATAATACATTTACACATCTACATACACACATACGATTCCTACATGATATACAATTTGCCCAACTGAATAAATGAAATGGACGATAGAAAATATATTAGCGTGTACTAAAGATCAAAGTTCTTCGAATGCGAAAGAAATATAAAAATAGTTACGTGATGGTACGGCATATCGAGGATGCGGAATATAATCGAGGAAGTGGCGTCAGACTCTTAGCGCGATTTCTCTCGATAGCCATGATCGATTTTTCTTTCTCTCAACACTTGAGTGTGCGGCACGCGACGTATAGTACCCAAGACGTGCCAAAGAGATCCGCACTCAGCACGCGATCTCAGACTTTACGACTGCTGCTTTTCTTTCGTATTATTTTTTTCACACCCAGTCCAATCATTTGCATTATCGTTCGCGAAAAGGACGACGACATTTTCTCTTTATAGCACACACAGACATTCTTATATTGAAATACATGTTGGCTTTGAATAACTCAATTAGCATTAACTAAAAGACATTACATAAGTTATTTTATAAATGACATTTTCTTTTTGCAGGTCTGCTAATTATGCAAATGCAACAAAAGTTTGTGAACTTTCGGATATGGACCGTTTGACGGTAGCTGGCTCGAGTGCATTTCAAACTTCTAAGGGTTTTGATTACTTGGAGAATCATTGTGTTGACGAGCCTGTTAAGCTTTGCGAGTTCAAGAAGCTCACCGGTCGTATCCTCAAGACAGTTGACTCAGTCCACCAAGACATCGGCAGTTCTGAGGACTGTCGTGAACTTTGTCTTAATTCTCCGTTCCGCTGCCACTCCTATGATTATGGTGACACTGGCGACATGGTCTGTCGATTGAGTCATCACTCGAGAGCTACATTGTCTGATATTCAGGTGAGTGTCCTTTGGAAATGACGATCAATTTAAATAATTTGTTAGTTCAGATTAATAAGAATACATTCAGGCGAGATGGAATGACAATTTTTTTTTAATGTAAAAGAAAATTATATTTATAAATAATTAATTTTATTTAAAAGAAATAAATTAAAGCAGTGTTTAATCTTCTTGATAATTAGAAAAATCATTTTTCATCAACTATTTTTGTGTTGGTAATTTATTAATTAAAAAAAAAAAAGCTGATAAATTTTTTGATTGCATTTTTGTTTTAGCAACATAACATAATTTTCCCACACAGATTTCCCGAGAGAAATGTTTCATAATGTTATTCAAAGAAAATTTTTGTAAGAAGCTTAGAATCAGAAATAAGTCGTTTAGAACTAATTGGAAAAAACTTAACCCAAAACATCATCATCAAACTTGAAGCATAATATTTGAAATAAAAATATAACAATATACAAAACTTAAAGTATGACTGAAAAATAAAATAAAAAATCCTCAACATAGCTGTAAATTAACACTAGCTCAATAAATTCTAAAGGTCCATTATAACACAAGAAATATATTCAACTGAAGGGAAAAAAATGAAAATTATTAGTAAAAAAGAGTCATATTTATAAGTTTTAACCTATTGAGTAAGATAATGCATCATATGTATTTTTATGCAATTTACAGCGGATTAGATGCGATGTTACATAGGTAAAAAATGAGTGTATAACTCATGTACAAGAATAAAAAATGACGTCGTTAATTTCTCCAGAATTTTGCACATACCCATCTCGCCTTGAATTCTTCTCAGCTATTCAAATGTAAAATAAAAATTCAATCGACCCAACAATCATCGAAATGATACCAACAATAAACAAAAAAGTCTATAATTTCTCATTGTCTGTCATCAAAGCTAACGGAATAAATAAATGAATGAATTAATGAATGAATCTGTCTCTTTCCCATGTCTAAATTGAATGAATAAAACTTTCAATTCAACTTTCAATCAAGTTTCCATCAGAGACAAATTTCTCGTTGATTAAAAAATACACTAAAAATGTTGGTAATTGAATAGAGCTGTTAATTAATTGCTAACCGTAAATTTCAGGAGCCGTATTTAGATGTACCTGAGGCATCGACCTATGAATTAAGCTCATGTTACAACGTCACGATTGATTGTCGTGCTGGTGACATGGTGGCTAGGATCCAAACTAGTAAACTCTTTAATGGCAAGGTATACGCCAAAGGTTCACCAAATTCATGTGTTCAGGACATCAAAGGTGCCTTAGAATTTGAGCTACGCATGGCATACGACGATCTCGAGTGTAATGTAAGATCACAAGGCCTTGGGCGTTATCTGAACGACGTAGTAATCCAACATCACGACACAATCGTGACTAGTTCAGATCTCGGACTTGCCGTCACTTGCCAATACGATCTTACGAACAAGACGGTCTCCAACGAAGTCGACCTACCTGTCCAGGGAGACATCACGCCCGCCCTGTACGAAGAGGTAATTGTCGACTCTCCGAACGTAGCGATGAAAATCACAGATCGCAATGGTAACGATGGAGTACCATCAGCCGAAGTGGGTGATCCACTGGCTCTTAAGTTCGAGATACTCGATCCCAATAGCCCCTATGAGATATTTGTCCGTGAACTCGTAGCAATGGATGGCGTTGACTCGAGTGAAATCGTTCTTATCGACTCAAATGGATGCCCTACGGACCACGTCATCATGGGACCACTTTATAAAGCTGGCACCTCCGGCAAGGTTAGTTGCTTTACTTTAATTTCACCAACTTATCTACATGTGAATCTACATATTCTAGGCAACTCATTATTATTATTATGATTATCATCAAGTAAACTGTGTACAAAGAGCGTGCTCATTCTTAAACTATCAATCATCATTTATCCTCCAAGTACATGTCGTTATTTCAAAAGGGTGATCGTTATAAACTGCTGTTATGCGTGCAAATTTTTTTACTTTGTACATTTAACTGTTTTTTATGAGGAATAGATAGGAAAATAGCTTTCATCACGCGGCATACCGAATTGATAGAGTATGCATGCAGTCGAAACAATCAAATCGTGAAACAATGCAACAAATTCAAATATACGAGGGCATTTCTGGTGCGACGATAAAACACCACTGATTCTAGCATGTTATATGGCAATAGGAAAAAGCGGGTATGGCCCGGCTCCCACGAACTCAAGCCAATGAAATACGCGCAAGCCCAAGCTGGAAACATAAATCTGCTCGGGCACCATTTACCGTAGGTTCTCCTCAGGGGGTGAGCCTGTAACTCCTTCCTCCCTCTACTACACTGTCGTCTGCACTCGAGGTGGTGGCGGATGGCGAACCAGTGCAAGTTGATTTTATTAACCGACGGCTAAGAAAAACGAGTCCACTTTGAGAGGCAATACTTGGAAAGTACACACAACTCTTCTAACTCACAAGACAAGATAGATATCCACTACCGCTAACGTCGTTGATCTCTCGAAATTCGCCAAAAACTTATCAAGAAAACGTCTCTCTATATCCACCTTAAATGCCAGTATGTCCGTCACGTATAAAATGCCAAAGCTATACTATGAAAAAGAGCCAACGGATCAAAGTACCAGCAGCTTCCATCTCATGCTGTCCAACGAAAATTGCAATCATTTTTCAAACTGAGGGGGCCGAGTCCGAGTATTCCACTATCGCCGACCATTTTCCATTTGCGGTTTCCATTTGCCAACAGGCTAGGTCCGAGCATGCCACTGTCGATTGTTTATGACACTCCTATTCATTCAGATTTACTATCAAGATTTAGTTTTCATTTTTATTTCATTTTATTTTTCTTTCCTTCATTTCACATTTTTCCTTCAATTTTCAACCGTTTTATTTTTATACTTTGATGTAGCAATCATTCCTAACACCAGTAGTATAATCTCCGTAAAAGCTTTCTCAACTTTTTTTACCCTTACATCGCACTGGTCTCACTCGCTCTTTCTCTCGAGCGAGAATCGGCACGATGATTGATTGCCCATTATCAACGGCGTCTATAAGCGCGTGTTAACGCGACCATCATTCATCATCAGCACACGTTTCCTTAGGGTGTGATGTGCTGACGTGGTTTTCCTACTTATAAAACGTTAAAAAAAATGATAATGAAATAAAAATATCAAGATGTACATTGAATTTTAACATATATTATTCCATTAGTCAAATGGATGGTGATTCATTAGACATTACATTTTTACTACTTTGCTAAATGCTCATTCTAAGACTAATGACATAAATAAAAATACCAAGATAATTAATTGTCTATACAATAAAATGATTTTTCAAATATCTCTTACAAGATACCTGATCAGAAAAGCATTGTCAATAAATTTTAACTTTGATGGTTGAATAAAGATTGAGATTCAAAGTACCATTAAATATAAATACATATTTTCTTGCTGATCAACATCAAGATCAAAGTTTCTTTTTCATCTTCAAGTTATGATCTTTTTTTTACGTTCAAGATTATCAGTCATATTTTTATATTCAACATCCAAAAAGACTATGATGTTATTAGTTAGCAATTTACTTTTTCCAATCAAATATTTATCAAAATAATTCTCCATTTTTTCCATTGAAAAGTATTCAAAGCAATTTGTTAGAAAATGCAGGAATTAAAAACTTCTCAATGTACAGTTTAAAAAGCCGTTACATAATTATTTTCCATTCCACCATCATCAAAGAAAATCAACTAAATTCAAACTCAATAGAAAAATATCAAGTTGAATAAATAAGAACTTGAATAAATAAATAATTCTCTCAACATATCACTCAGCTAATAATGTTTTAAATTGAATTTGCAGATCCTCCTGTCTCACTTTGATGCGTTCAAATTCCCAAGCTCCGAGGTTGTACAATTCCGTGCCCTAGTAACACCTTGCATGCCAAATTGCGAGCCAGTCCAGTGTGACCAAGAGGAATCTACTGGGGAATTACGTTCAGTCGTCAGTTATGGTCGGCGTAGACGTCGTGCAGCATCTCCAGCGCGTGAAGATCTATTGCTTGAACAATCAATTCAAATAACGGACAAATTTGGCTTCGAACGAGATGGAAAGGCCATAAACCGTACAACAACACGAGACACTATTTTTGTTGAAAGTGAAGATGTATCTGGTGTCAATGGACTTTGCATCAACATGGCAGAGGCTATAATAGCTAGTACCGTATTCATCGTCGCTCAGATAATTGTCATCGCCGCATGGACATTCACCTGGCAACGGCGTAAGCAAATTCTCAAGCATCAAGAGGCACTCTCGGTATCTGTCTCAGTACCAGGAATGCATTCTGGCATCCCTAGCCGTACTGACAGCCTCTGTAAATTATATGACGCTGGATACTCACGTCGATTTTAAATTCATCAACATCAAAAGCTGCTTCTAGCTAACATTAAAAATCATCTGCATCATTAGCAGTCATTTTGACTAATTTCTTTCGACTACTGCTTAAGTCTCGTGACACTCAAATTAGTGTAATGAGCATTAGTCGAAATAATATCAAGTTAAAATTACTATCGATCATCATCATCATTGTCGGTAATAAATTTCATTAAATACGTATCAAAAGCGGACGCACGGTGGAACCCAGTAATGAATTATTTACTCTTACTATAAGTATCTTAGCCGCTGGCCCTTTGGCTATTATTTTTACTCGTACAACCCTCAAGAGTCTCTTCAGGTTGAGCCGGATCATCCGATGAAACAAGGACGAACCGCTTGACCTGATCCAACTTGAGGGTTATTTTGTTCAGGCTTTTTTTTTAGTTGCCTGCGGTTGCTACTTAAAGTACTTTATATATCCTGCTCGTGCAATCGATATTGTCAGATCTCGCACGTTCATTTCAGCTGCTGACAATTACAAAAGAAGTCATGAGACTCGCTATTATTTTTCGAAGCGCGCTAGTCTCTGATTTCAAATTAAATACCATATTATTATTTTTTATTATTATTATTACTATTAAAGCAAAAAGATGAAAAGAAAAAAAATCAAATTACTTGCGAGTTATCTACTGTTGAAGAAAATGATTAAAAAAATATGAAGAATAGAGTGCAACTAAGCCAACTTCGAGATCGGATAATTAAAAAAAAAAATAATTAAAAAAAGTCGTGCATACTAGTCCTTGAATTATATTATTCACTTCTTCTCGATGGCCGATTTTCTTGGAAAAGAACGTCTTTGCGCGAGAGTCATTATAATTTTTTTTTATCTACAGTCTAATTGACGTAAGGATCTGACTGAAATACGTGATGAGAAGCTGCAGCAGAGAGAGAAATAGGAATAATATTAAAAAAAAAAAAAAGGAACGAAGGGAGAAAAAATGAAAAAGAGATGGTAGAGAAAAGACGGTAAAATTGAAAAGAATTTCAAGAAAAAAAAACTATACACAACAACAACTCATTTATACATACAAAAACTTCTTATCTACGTGAAAGAAAGAATAGTTGTTTGGTAAAGATTCACACGCGATAAACGTTTCTATAGTTTCACCACTTGAAACGACCCATTATCTATCTTAAAAAGTGCTTGATGATGCCACTGAAAGATCAATTGTCTTGGTAACTTATTGAGCAAAAAATTGTTGATGCATTTTTTGTCGTCATATACACGGGATATAATACTACTCTAACATCTTGTAATTGTTTATTTTTTCCAAAATTATTTTTAACAATATTTTAATATAAAATCTTAATAAGCAATATTGATCATTTTCAATAGTTTATTTTTAAAGATTTTATCAAACAACAATTATATTTAATCATTATTTAATCTTTTGTTTAATTTAAAAATTTAATAGAAAATATTTCAATCATAAAATCAGCTTTACAAAATCAATTTATACAAAAAAAAAAAAAGCTTCAATCTGAACTTTTCAATGCATAAATAAACGAGTATCTATTGATAATCAAAAAAAAAGTTCAACCATTAATCAATCGAAGAAACTAAATTAAAAATAGCAATTGATAGGTCTTATTCAATCTCCTTTAGCATAAAACTCCGATTAAAAAGAAAATGGAACTGTAATATTTATCACGTTGGCACAATAATAACGATTGAAGTGGAATAAATAGATTATACAGATAATGTAGTGTCTTGGTAACAATGACGATAGTATTGGGTGGTGTTCACTGGAGAAATGAACGAGGGAAATTGGTGAGCGGTTTACTGCTGGGATATGGATAGGTAGGAAGCATAAGGGCGGGTGTAAAGGGGTTGGTGGAAGGTTAATTGCCTCTCGTGGCATCTCGCGGGTTCTAAGCTCATTGGGAGCACCGTCTCTCTAGGGTCGCTCACTCGGATTACGACAGGGGGCATAGGACAACGCCTTACTCCCCCTCATGAGAAGGCTTCTACCACCTCTCGACGTTCTGTGGTTATGTAACCCCAGATCTACGGGCGACTTAAGCCTGCTTGCTAATTCCCATTTGAATTGAGAGTCGAGTTTATTTGTTTGTTTACCAGCTTATTTCCTTAATTACATGCCTAACTATTAATCCGCAATCTGCATTGATATGAAACGTATATTCAGTGACTAATCAGCAAATTGAAATAATATACCATTTGATATCTCTCCATTTTCACTATTTCCATCTTCACTACCATACTCTATCGTGTCAATTTAATTGAGAAAGTTTAAAATTCAAATACTTTCGTCAAGACAAACAACTAGAGATAAGATTATACCGCTTACTGGCACAAGGATTATCGTTCGTTGAGAATACTATCCTTGCGGTTATTTGCATTACTCGTGTGTTTAATTATTACTTTCTCTTTTACTCTTACTATCTTACTCTCTCGCTCTCTATGCTGCTGCAGCAGACTGTAAAGATCCAAGAGGTAATAAAAAGATAAATTTTTTAATTTAAAGACAAAAAATCAAAGATGTACTCTATTCTTGTAAGTTTGCCAGTCAAGCGGCTCAATGCATTATTTTTATAATCAACATTTTTAGATTAAGATTCATAAGCATTATCATTAAAAGCTGAAGTGTATAAGCTGCTTGTGGTGCGTGGGTAAAATGCCAATTATGTGAATTTGACAATTTATATTTTTGTTGTTTTTATTCTTAAAAGAAAGAAGGGTTAAAAATAATAAAATAAAATAAAATGACGGAAATTGAAAAAATTCTATTAGAAAGAGAGAAAAATAAGAAAACTGTTTTCCAGTCGAATTGGAAAAGACGGCGAAAAAAATAAAAAAAAAAAAAAACAACAAAAGGAAGAAAGAAAGACAAAGAAAAATCCTGTCTATTCTCTCGCACCATCTTGGCTGAGAGCATTTCAGTAGTGAAACACTTTCCATCGAGTTAATTGAATCGCCGTCTTAACCTGCTACCATCAGGCTACGACAACCATCTTCTAATGATTCTTTATAACTCAATGGAAACTGTAATAAAAAATACCTTACATTTAATTAGCTAATTTTTTTATAATGCGTATACAAATATGTAACAAGATTATTCATTAATATCTAACATAAGTCTTTTTTTTTTTTAATTAAACAAAAAAAAAAAAATAATAAAAATTGAAAATCAATACAATATTGGGCTCAAGGACGATCCGATATTAAAACCTAGGACGACTTTTCTTGACTCTAAGTCGTTGTAGATTAGACATATGAGCTTGTCCTTAAGCCTGAGGTGCAAATAATCGTTGTTCAAGACTTAATTAAAATCGAGATTGCTCTGTACTTTAGTAAATAAGTCAAATGGATATTTTTTAACATCGCAAATATTTTTTTATTGCAGGAAAAAAAGCTCAGTCGTAAACAAATATAAGCATTTAATCAAATTTTCACAATAGATTTTACGTACAGAGCATACTTGACACTTGGTCTTTTGATAACATTGCACCAAAATTGCTTATTTATTTTGCATTTATGCATAGAGCCACATTCGCAAATGCTCTCTCTTTCTCCACCGTAGCCCGTCCGCTTATGGCTCCACTAATCTTTATTTCATTAGACGAATGGAAGATGTGAAAAGTAAGAAAATGTAAAAAAAAAAAAAAATATAAAAATAAATGAAAGAAACATCTTTATGATCTATTGATTTATACTCGTGGCTGAATATGCAACTGCCGAATTTTTTTCTACACATGCTCTCATTTTTTTTTTACTCCTGAGTTTTGTCTCTACGCTAAACATTATCGGTACCATTATGTTGTACATAGATTGTGTGGTAAAGAGAAATAAACTCATTTTCTAACTAAAATATTGGTCATTATTTTATTTTTAATTAAACCTGAACCTTAATCCTTGGAAAAAAAATTCAAATCCATTAAACTTAATAAATACTTGAAAAAATTTGACTTGTAAATGGACGAGTTTAAAAATTATATGAAATAATAACTTTTTATATTATTTGCAATATAAAAAAAATTTTTTTTTTTTTAAATACAGAAGGATCGATTCTACAAATACGAACCGTAATAAATAAAAACAAAATAAAATAGAAATATATTTGCTTTATTTTTTGTTTCCATTATCACCTCCAATATAATATAATTTATTTATTTATAATTAAATTAGTCATTAATTTTTTACATTGAAAATAATCAATGAATAGAAATTAAGTAAAACTAACGATTAATGAAAAAAAAAACTAGTCTGTCAATATAAAAAAATTAAATTGATTAATTACCTACTAATTGAGTGAAAACATTATCGACTATTGGAAAGCTTTTCATTAAACTTACAAATAAAATTACCAAGAATTCAATTCTCACTATAATTGAATTATTTTTTTTTTTAATAAATACTATCAACATCTTTGTACAAAAGTAATATCGGAATAATGAAGTAGCTCAAGAAAACGATAGAAATAATTTTATTTGCAATTTATTTAAATAATTCTTAAAATCTATCTTATTGAAATACCTCAATGTATTCCATCGAAATGATTTCCTAATATGAATGAAAGTACTCAATAATTCTCACGCTGCTATATTTTAATATATTTATTCAATGTAAAGTAGTAAAAAATTGTTGATAATTCTAAATGTGGTTTATAATGCTTTCAAAGTGCTGATCGTGCTGCAGATAATACTGCAATTCAAATTCTTGTCACGATTCAACAGCCGAACTAAGTTTCCTGAGAGAAAAGAACGTTTGGCTTGGACGTCGAAGTATATTGGACTGATCTAGTAAAAAAATCTCAGTCTGATTTTTATGCCAAAAGGATTCTAGCTAGGTTTGCAATTTAAACCTTGTAGGAAGACATTTTAATTTTACAGAATTTTAATGTACTTGGAAATTAATTCATTATACATCTTAGAAAAAGAAATATCATTTCTCTCATCAATTTATTCAAAATAAAATCTTTGATAAATTTCTTCAAGATTTATTGAATAATAAATTTCCTTCTTCGAAAACAAAGTTATGAACAAACAAGATAGATATTTTTATTAAAGAAAACTTATTGTTAGAGGTAAACATAGAGAAGTTTCTATCTGTTAATATTAAACTAGAGAAATCTAAAAAAGAAGACCAATAATCCATGAGTAACATTTGAGGAAATAATAATTCGATAAAATTTTGTTATTTTATGAAGAACCAATAAATTATTCGTCTCTTCAAGGAAAAAATTTATATGATGCTACTGATAAAAGGGGAATATATTGTCAAAGCTTTATCAGAGATTACAATATTTAATTACAAAAAAAACAATTAATTGAAACTACCTTTTACACGATTTTGTACGTTGGAAATTACAGATATTTTTAGTCACCTATTAACAACCCTTTTTTTCAATTGACATCATTCGTTAATTTAAATCAAATTACTTTTAATCTGTGCATAACACTTATTTAAAAAAAAAAAAATTAAATATTTGTAACAAATTTTAAATCTTTTAATACTTTTTCATATTCATATTTTGTTTTAATAATGACATAAAAAAGAATTTAGATTATATCATTTGTAAATTTAAAAAATTCAATGTATTTAAAAAAAAAAAAAAAAACGAATGGAAAATTCTCTAGATCACATTCCAGTTCATAAAAAGGGAATTTAATCCATAAAATACTTTTATAGAAATTCGGAAATTTAGAGGTACAGATTTGGAGTGAAAAGAATTTAAACTGTTTCAAAAAGCTTATTTCTCTGGTAAAAATTAATAAAAAAATAACTGATGAACTATCAAATGAATTTATAGTAAAATAAATGATGATAAATTTTTTTACAAAAAATTGGAAAATAATTATTGGGCTTTACACAATGCCAAGTAAATTTTTAAAGACTGGAGAGCTTTTTACGAGGATTCTTTCACTTTATCATCATCGTTAATTGTAATTACAAAGTTGTATAAAATATAAGAAGAATAAAAATAAATTTAGTATCAGTTGAATTTTTTTGGAAAGCTAATTGAGGATATCGTGGTGGTGCATAATAAGATTAAGAGTAATACTCGCTAAGCAGACTTGTTAGTCGTTGGTAAAGGTAATTAAGCTGAAACTTCATATTATTAAAGCCCTTCGTTAGTCTCTGTATCACGTAGACTAATTGGTGCTTTATAGTTGCATCTAAGTTGTTAATTTTATGCTTCTTATGGTAGAATAAAATAATCATCGTAACTCAATAAATGTTTAAAAAATAAAAATTCCTACATTTAGATCAGATTCATCAAAAATCTGTATTATTACGATTAATATTCCTAAGAATAATTATTAGCATATTTAAACAGAAGAATTTTAGTATTCAAGAATTTTTAAAATTATATTGAAGACATTAAAGAGACATAAAGTGCAGAAAGGTTAACTGGGACACTTTTAAGGAAAAATTAAGTTTTTTTCATTATATTATTACAAAAAAAAATGAAATCGTCTTATAATCTGAGGAGTATCTTAAGTTAACTTAAAAATAGAAAAGTAAAGTTTTCCTCTTGTTTTTAAGTTTAATTTTATTTCAAAAAAGTCAAACTTATTCAATTCAAATTCTATACAAAAAAATACATATTCTAGAAAAAATCTTTTTTTTATAAACTATTTAAATATTGTTTAAGTCTAGAATTTGAAACTTAAGAAGAATTAAAGAAAATAATTTAAACTTTCTTTTGTAATTAAATTATTAAATAATAAATACAATAACATCACTAAATAACAAAACAATAAATAATAAACAAATAAATTAAAGCTGTTTTCTCTTAAGATACTTAAAACTGTTAGAATATTAATGTAATTAATATTCTAATTTTTTTATCAGTAATTTAATATAATAATAAATAACACGTTACTTTAATTCAAAATGACCTATTGAACTGAATTAATGATATGAAGTTACTGAAAAATTGAAAGTACTATTCTTCAAAACTCTAGTGTCTTCAAATATATACGAATATATAAGTAGATGAATAGATAAATATCATAAATTTTGAATAGAATATACAACTAAACAATTAACAAGATAAATTTGAAAAACATAAACGAGGTATTCAAATCAACTTGTGCAATTTCTGAAGCACAAACACGTCAAGAGAAAATGCATTACGTACTCACGAGCAGCCAAGCTACATAGGGTGGGGAAAAGCTGGTAAAAACATGCATATATTTCCATATAACAGGTTTATATATTACACCGTCACTAGCAGCGTGTGGTTACATTTGAATGCGTTGTTCCACAGCTAAAATATCTAATACGCTCGTGCGACCAATTAAATTCATCTACGGTCAAAAAACAAAACTGAGACAATACTCGACGTAAAATCCTGTAAAAATACATTCTATAAATATTTTTATCTAGAAAAAATGGTTTACCATACCCAATGAATCTTTTGAATTTGCAAAATAAAAATAAAATTAAAAAAAAAAACTCTGACACTCTAATGAATGCTTCGAATTGAGAATTCGCGATGGGAGATCAGTCCGATTAATCGACCCCAGAGATTCAATGCCCAAAGCGAGAGCTGTATCGAGTAGCTGTCAAACGAGAGTTTTCTCTTGTCGAAGATTTAGAGAATGAGTGCAATTAATTGCACAGCATTCTATCGAATAAAATTTACAAAAGTTTCAAACTATTTGACCGATATTTGATCCATTTAAAATACCATTCACTTGCACATAATTAATCAACAACCAAGCCTATATATCTATTAATTACTTGACTATTACTTAAAACTTTATTATACCACTGACCAAACTTTGGCTAGAGTGTCAAAGCTCCGATACCACCAGATCCAAACTAATTACGATAATGGATTACTGAAGAAGAACTTTATTTTCCTGATTATTGTCTAGTGGTCAGAGTTTGTTGTTGTTTAGTTTTAGCATTAAACTTTGTTTCAATTAGTTTTATCAAAATAATTAATTACCATAATGAAGAGTATTCTAAAAAAAAAAAATTATTCAATATTTAGACTTTATTATTAACTTACCCTTAATCGAAGATCACTAACTGACCAGACGCGGCTTGCAAAATCATTAGACGCTCCAAGAATCAAAGTACCAGTTGAATCAAAGTCCACGGACATAACACTAGCATTACTTCCTATCAGCATTCCTTTACTTTCAAAAGTTCCTATAAAAAATTTTGCGATTAGTTTATTGTCAATAAACTTCATAAAATGTAATAACTATTTTTTCAAATATAATATTTCTCGTTTTATTTGACATTTATTTATTATATTTCATTCGAAATACCTTTAGAAATATCCCAAAGCTTGACTTTCCTATCAGCACCACCGGTTGCCAATAACCTGTCGACTGGAGACCACTTAACTGCACTAACTTCTCCGTCATGTGCTCCCTGCGGCAGAATAGGTTATAATTTTTATTATTGTTGTTACGATTGAATAGTTTGTATTATTCAATAAAACATTAAAGTAAAATGAACCATTGATATAAAAAAAAACTTCAAAAGAGATAAAAAAAAATGACATACAAATTTAACGGTAACTTCTGTAGGAACTGCAGTGCGGAGACCAATTCCCTCTTTAACACTCGTTCGATCAGGACTAATTGCTCTGGTGTCTCTAGCAGCATCCTCCAAGTCTTTTTGAACTTTAGCTTGTCTTTTTCTGCAATTGATAAACCAATTTAATTGACTATTGCCGTTTATTTAATTGAAAAAAATTACACAGCTCAAATTGATGAATAAAATGTAAAGAAATATTCTGAAAATGGTTAAAAATCGTTATTTATGGAAGACTCGATAATATGATATACAACGGGCTTACATTCTCCAATAATTAGTTTCAGGCTTTAATTAATGATTGATAATGATACAAATCTATTTTCAAGCATGATGAGGTTTAAATAAATTATTGAATTGTTATTATTGACATCATTTCAAGTTAGTAATTACCATTTGCAATGTACAAATTTTTTAAATCAGTTATCGATAACATATACCTGATTCTTGTGTCTTCAAAAGCTTTGATCATTCACGACGAACCCAAGGAAAGCATTAGTCGAATAAATAAATGTAAAGAAATAAGAAGTAATTTATAAGCAGTGTAACTGTTATCGATTTCGAGTTTCATGTGTTACTTTTGACTGAGCCACTTACCCAAATTTTGATATAGTTTGCATCAAAAAGGCAGTTGGACTGGAAAATCCCTCGCTGAAATGAAAATGTCGAGGAGTGTGTAGTAGTAAAAACGTATTATTGTGTTGTGTAATTTAAATATATCAACATTAAAATAAATTCCAGTGGTCCGTACATATATCTGTGTATCACCAGTAGAGTCTTCCATAAATTTATACGCGGATTTATTTTTAAATACGTTCATCAGAGCCATGCATTCGTACAAACTGATGTAAATTGGAATTTGATGGCCCACAAGCTGTTTTTCATTGTAAATTATTTTATACTTACTTTAAAAAATTATCATTTTCTTCATTCATTTTCTCTGCATCTTTTGCTTTGCATTTGATTAATCGTTCTACCAATTGACGATTTTCTTCCTATAACCAAAAATTTCATTTAATAAAATAAACAACGCACACATTATTTATTGAATTTTAACATTATCGAAAATATTAAATTCTGGATAAACAAAATTTTGTTGGGTCATTTAAACAAATATTATCTGTTTATTTACGATTTCGATTGCATTTTATCTAGTGCATCATTGAAATTCAGTAAACATTGATTGAATTGAACTTTAGTAATATTATAAATTTAGTTCAATAAATTAACATAAAATTTATAAGCTAATTATAAAATGTTTGAACCTACCGAAAAAAAGATGAATAAAAATAGTTATTTTTTCAATAAAGAAGAACTATTATATTTGCATTACGTAACTAAAGTGAAATTGATTCATAGTGAATTAATTATTACTCATGTCCTAGGTTCTAGGTATTTTATATTAAAACATCAATATTTGTATTTACGTAACATTTTTATAAATATTAAATTTTCGTTGGTTTCATCAATCCCTTGACAATATTGATAAGCAATGAAAACCATGATGACTGGAGAGAGATTAGTTACTAATGATTTTTTTTTTAATTACTTCAACTACTTACACATTAAAATGGTGATAGCTACCAACATAATTTACAATAAATTTGGTCAATAACTTCTCACAAATTTATTTAGTTAATAGTAGTAAATTAAAACTGAAACATTAATTTTTAATAACTGTTTGGCAAAATATACCTGAGCTTTTCGTAATTTTTCTTCAAGTGAAGCAAACGCTAGCTGCAATGCTTGGTACTCATCTCTAAGCATTTGATTAGCTTCTGACAATTCACGTTCTTTATTTAAACATATCGTTAACTCAGCTCGTAAAGAAGCATTTAACTCTATACTCTCTGCCAAGCTGTAAAATTCAAAAGTAAACGTTTAAATTTATTTGTTTTTACTCAAAATTTCTAAAGTTAGCTTGAAATATTACCTAGTTTCTTTGCTTTGAAGATCTTTCATTAACTCCTGCATTCTATTATTTAAATCTACAATTTGTTGTGCATGTTCACCTCTTCTTCTATGCAACATCGTTAGTTCTTCAGCTTGAGCAAGTAATCGAGCTTCCAGAGCAGCATTAGCACCAGATGTTCCAGTTCCTCCAGAAACTCCGCATCTTAATTTTTCAATGTTAACTGTTAATTGCAAATTTTCTCCTCTCAAAGTATTTGCATTCTCAAAGAGTCGATTATCTGTAAACATCAATATTGAATGAATATTACTCATTATGTTGCAAAATAAAGCAAAATTTATTTTAAAAAATAGAGCAACAAGTTTTTTTAAGTATAAATTAGATTCAATTTAAATACTATCTAAGATCAGTTTTTATAATTAATATTAAAATATGGAAAATAAATTATGATCAATATGTTGACAAGATTTACTCATTTCAACAACTTTCGACAAAATTTTATAATAGTAAACATTAAATAAATAATATTAAAAAATAACGTACGTAAATGAATAAGTTCCGAAAAAGAATGAGTTTGTAATTTGTTTCTACTCCTTAATTGCGTTATTATTGTTTTTCTCCAATCTTTAGCCTCACTGAAAGAGGTTACACTCATATTTGTATCTGCCATGACAATCACAACTGAATTTAAATGTCCAAATTAAATAACTATATAAATTATCACAATTTTACACTTTTACCACAATAAATAATGTTAATAAACAATAAAAATAAACAATAACTAAATTTTAAGTCACTTCAACAACAAATCATACTAACAAATTAGCACAGCACTTTCACACACATTTTCACTTGTCTTCGAATGATTTGTAGTTATTAACCTAACAATATTAAGCATAAATGTCATGACAATTTTGTTTAATGTCAAACATGTATTATTAGTGTAAATAACTAATCTATTTGTTAATTATACCAATTGCCATATACACTATTTTCAACTCCGAAATCCAAACAAAACGTGGGTTCTGCGATCACGACGGAAAACTCGAATTTCGCGTGATGTAGATGGCACGACGAAGGCCAGGAACGGTAAAAAAACAAATGACTAAAGATTAATTGTTAGATTATTTTCCCACTCTAATCATTATTTTTCTAAGTTGATTAATATCAATAACTAATCACATATATTTATAGAATTTTTATATTCGATATTTCATTATAAACTTTGCTTATTAATAAAATAATTTATTATAAATGCTTTCTAAATTCAAATAACCACTGACCATTTAATCACACGCTATTACGTCCCTTCTCTATCATCATCTACGATGCACTGGTGCGAGTGAGACGCCAATCTTTCTCCCAAGCGCGCGCACGGCAGCCATTAATGCGACTACCTTCATGAGAATCTCGATCGATTGTCGATATTTATTTCGAGAGTTGTCAGTTAACTTAGAACTAACTTCATGTTATTTGATTAACCTTAGTTGCAGAGTGTAAACAATTGTTATACTTGTAACAATTAATTTATTTTTTACCCAAAAAATATATATATATATTTATTTCTATATAAATATTTTATATACTTAATAATTTTAAATTAAATATACAGTGTGTTGAGGAATAATTGATTGATAGTAGTGTGTAAATAAATGAAAAATGAATAAAATAATGAAAAAATTAAAATACGATTATGAGTGAATCCGACGACACGGATATTCTTCTGTTAATTCCACCAGATTTATTCACCGTGGCGTCATCACAATCAGAAGAGAGTTTACTTAATTGTTATCGTTCTAATGATAACACAATTGTTTCAGAACTAATAGAACACGTTCAATTGTTAGAGGACAGAATAAGTGCAATTGAAACTAAAGATAATAGTTTAGCAGATCCAGCTAACTTTGAATCTGGAATCCTGGAGTCGAGAATAAGTAATTTGGATTTATTTAATGATAAATATTCAGATACAAGATCACTTACGAGCCAAACATGTCAAAAAAAAAAATTTCCTAAAGCCCCAAACATTTACATCACCTGGATCAATTTCAAACTTTTCTTTGCCTCCTAATTCACCTCAGAAAAAATATGAGTATACCTCAATGAAGACTGAAGCTACAAATGACTTAGCTTTTTCATATTCCAATATGGCAAACACAAAAAATAGTGATCTTCCGTCGAGTCATGATTTATTAGCTGGTAACAGTTTTCAATTAAGTATGATGAGAGATAAAAAAGAATTATCTTCTTCGATTAAACATAAAATGGATTATCCTTTTTCAATGACTGAAAGAACCAAGCCGTGGGAGTTGAATAAATCAGCAAATTCCACGAGCACTCCCAAAAAAACCTCTAGATTTAGTACATTAAATGATAATAAATTTGATAAGAAAGATGATAATTTGATTAATTTATCTACTCCGGTGAATTTAAATCCTTCAAGAGAAGTTAATGGAAAAAATAGTCAAAGTAAAAATATGAATGATTCAGAAATGACTGCTGGTCCTCAACCATGGTAATTATTTATAACTATCTATAATTTTATAAAAAAAAACTTTCCAATTATTAATATTGTTTTATTTTTTCAGGGAATCTCAGAAACTACTAACTCTTTCAGATTTCTGGGCTCCAGATTCAACGAAAAGCGAAGTAGAAAAATTACAAATAAAATTAGAAGAAGAAAAATTTCGTCGAGAGCACTGTGAACAATTAATTCAAGAGCTCCAAAAAAGGCTATTAGAACAGCAAGAGAAAGTGGCAGTAGCAATGAGAGTTGATAAAGATAAGAGTGATATTATTTCGCAATTTCAAACTGTATGGAGTAAATTCAAAGTCCGTTGGAATTCTTTGGAGGCAGATCATAATCACTTACAAGAAAATGTAAAAGATATTAAATTGAAACATGACAAAGAAATTGAAGCATTTTTAAATAAATTAAAGCACAAAGATGAAGAAATTATTAAAAGCAATCAATTAGTTAGAGAAATGGAGGAAAAATATGATAAAGTAGTCAAAGAAAAAATAGGTTTACTTGAAGATCATGCGAATGAATTAGAAAAATATAAATCCTTAGTTGAAGCTGCAGAGGGTCGTTATGAAACACTCAAATTAGAGTTTAATAAATTGAATGAAACTAATCAGCAGTTGGAAGAGACTACGAAAAATATTCAACAAGAATTATATAAAGAGCGGTTGAAAAATGGAGAAGTACGAACTGAAATGAATGTAATTCATAAAGCACTAGATACATGTGAAGCTGAATTAATCGTATTACGTCAGGAGAAAGAAAATTTGCAGTTGAAATTGAAAGAAGAGGAAGGTCGCGTTAATATTTTAGAGAAAAATAAAATTATGTTATTAGAAGAATTGAATAACGCCAAAAAGGCTGAGGTAATATTAATTTAAAAATTTCTAACTTGTGGAAAAAAACTCATTTATATATTTTCTTTTTTGATCAATTTTACTTTAGAATCTCGTAAAGGAGGAAATGAAGAATCTTATCGCACAACAAGAAGCAAAAAAAACTGAATTACGTGACGTCTATCAAAAGCAACTTGATGAAGTAGTAAATACAAAGTTAAAGGAGTTTGAAGCGCAGTTAGATGCTGCAGAATTGAATTTTCAAATAGAATTGGAGTCAAAGCAACGTGCCATAGCTGAATGTGCGGCAAGGAAAATTAAGACTGTTATTGACAAGTAAATTATAATTGTTAAAATATTTTATTAAGTAATAGATATATACATAAATAATAATTTTTTTTTGTTAGACATCGTTTAGAGGTAAACCTTCTAGAAGAGAAACATAAAGAAGAAAAAAAGTTGTTTGATATTCGTTTATCGCAAACGACTAAAAAAGCATTGGCTTACGAAGCACAGTTGAACTCATATCAAAATGCGAAGTCACGACTAGCCGAACAACTTCATTCACTCATGGAAAAACAGTATCATCAAGCATTACAGATATTATCAAGTAAATTAAAATAAATTCTATACATTGAGTTTTCAAAATAATTTTTAGATTTTTTGGCAGATATGTTTTAATATTTATGGCTTTTAATAGGAAACGGAGATAACTTTGATTTATCACAATGTACAAATGGCGATAAATCTTTCGAAGTATTGAATTTTATGAAAAATGCCAACTACGGTAAGGGAATACCGTGTTTAGAGCCAATGAAATCGAATGCCAATAAGACTGATAAAAATAAAAAAGACTATTCAGAAGCTGGCCAAAATTACAATGAAAGCTTAGCAACTTATATTTCTAGTGATGATTCACCTGGAACAAGACAAGTTGATTCAAAAGATGATCTTAAAAAATATATAAAAATGGTTAGGTTTTTAAATCAATAAAGTTCAATTTATTAATTAGTAATAAAATATATTTTCTTTCATTTTTAGATTTTACAAATGCATCAATCACAAAAATCTTCAGCAGATTCCAATGGAATTGATCAAAATTCCAGCTCAAATCCTGTCGGAAGAGAAGTTCCACGTAAATTTTACATGAAAGCTGAATCAGATAATTCAAATGATGAGAATTCTTCACAAAAAATTGCTGAAGAAACAAGTACTACAATTAATACTGTAATTATCTTTTTTTCATTTTTTTATTGCTAACAATTTTAATAGTCTTCTAACTATCTTATCAACTAAATTATCCTTTTTTGCGGCAATTAAGGATAGACTTAATTATTCTAGGAATACATGACGTATGAAAAAAATAAATGTCGGACATCTAATCGAGGAGTAACGACAGAAAAAACGAAGCCACCATGGAAATGAAATTTATAAATAGAGTCTATGAATAATGAACTTCAGTACAAACTTAATTATACCAGTAGAAAATTTTAATTATAATCATATACTGTTAAAGAAGGATTACCTCATACTTTTATAAATAATCATTTTTACATTTTTCTAAATAAACAATTTTATACTTTAATATTGTTCAAACAGTCTTGATAATTATGAACATAATAATTAGGGTTAAATCAACCATCTAAGTAACTTCATATCAAAAAGTGACATTGAGCTTATTGATAGAATAATTTTCAAGGACATTTATGATCTCCTAACAACTTATTTTCCTTTGATCTTCTTCTTGAGACTCTCAACCAAGTTTCCTTTGACCTCTTTGATGAATCTAACAACTATAGTAATACACAGAAAAATGATCTCAAGGACGAAATCACTAACACTGTGTGCTAATAGCTCTAACAGCTGAAAAAATAAGCTATCGATAATCAATATTTTTTTTATCTTACTTCAAAATAGATAAACATAATTTAATTTTTTTTATTTATTAATATCCAAAGAATATTATTTTTATTAGTTAAAATTATAGATGACTTATTAAAAGATGAATGTTTGAAACTAACAAAAACGGAAATGAAGATTGATAGTGCTATCCTTTCTCTCAGATAGTCAGTATGAATGAGTTGCTCAAGAAAAGAGAGTGAATTTTTATTTTCATGAATAAATTGTCGTATGTTAATTATTGTTTCCATAAAAATGGTTCATCAAAAGTATGTAATTACTTGGATAATTTCAATAATTTTTATTTTCTATCAAATAAATGTTGTAAAATGTTTGTGGAAGCGTGAAGAAGACAAGACTAAGTGTCCAAAAGTCAAAGAGATGAAAAATTTCGATATTTCAGGAGTAAGTTTATTGACTTGTTCTATCAACTAAAAACTAGAGTTTACATTAATTAATTATAAATAAAAAATATCTAAATAATTTATTATTTATATTCTTTTGACTTTTCATAGTTTATGGGATCGTGGTACATAGTTCAATATTATGCAAGTTCTGAGGAAGCACTGGCATATAAATGCATGCGTGCTGATTTTTCATTATCACCTGACAAAACTGAAGTAACTATGAATTTCACTTATAGCTTCATTGATGATCCTATAAATGAAATAATTATTGGAAATATTACTTGGAAAATACCTTATCATCATGAGTCATTAGCTCATTGGATTCACGCAGAATTTCCCTGTAATTATCCTTTGAAATTTATTATTTCTTTATACATCTCTGTATTTCTACCTTTTAACGTTTTTCATTTATTTATTCAAATATTATTCATCTATTCATTATTACTAAATTTTATTGCTTTTTTTTTGGTTTCTAGACGAGGAAGTTTATAATACATACGTCCTAGATTCAGATTATAAATCATGGGCTCTACTTTTACATTGTGCAGAGAAGAATAAAAGTCCTCGTTATCTCTCTAGTTTTATTATGAGTCGAAAAAAAAATTTAGGAGTTAATGTTGTATCTTACTTACGAGATAAACTTCCAAGGTATGTATAAAAAATTTTAGAAAAAAAAATCATGAAAAGAACTGTTTGTAATTTAAATTTTCACTCCAATTTATTTATTGGTTTTATGAAAATTTTTAGTGAAAAAAATTAAAATAAATGAAACAATTTAATTTAATCCCAGTTTTGGATTTTTTTTAGATACAATATAAATGTTGAATATGTTTTTCCTATGGAACAAAAAAATTGCAAAATATTCGATGGAGATGCATTAATGATACCACCAGTAGTAGCAGCCAAAAGAGCATACTTAAAAAGACATCCACTTTAAATGAATTGACATTATAAGTATATAATATTAAGTAATAAAAGAAAAAAAATTAAAAACAGAGTAAAACAAGCAAATTAATCTGTCGTTTGGGCTATTTTTATTAATTCAATTAACAACATATTATTATAATCTTCATTCTGCTCATTTATAATTACATAATTATAATGAACCGTTATTGTTTCTTGTTTTAGACCCGTCATCTTTTAACGTTACTCTTTAAAATCTCACAGAATATCATAAAAATGCAGTTCTAAATACACGTTTAGAGCTAAAATTTTATGATAATCATCGTATTTTATCGTTTATCATCGTCAAGTAATACCGTCAGTCATTATTATTAATTTTTTTTTTAATAATTTACTGGACAATGGCCACTACAAATTATAAGAAATCTTACAAAACCATTTTTAATGTAATTTTTAGTCCTATCGTTCAATCAAACTCTCATTTTCATTCATACAATAATTATATCGATTGTTTTTGTTATTAATCACTTTATAACCGCATTAATTAAACAATCAATGACTTGCGGTTTTTATTTTTTGATACTACATGCAAAGGCTTTGGCATGGTGTGGAATTTTCCGTTTATTTGACGTTACTTTTTGCTTTTCTTTCATGTTTTTTACTCTTTCTCGACATGTCGGCAATATTTGTTGTATTTTTTTATTGTTTCTCTGAATGATTTAAGAAGATGGGAAAAATTTCTATTACAGTGCGAGTTTAATTGAGTGCAAAATGAATGATAAAAAATCAGAAAGGTATGAAACATTAGCTGTAGGCGTAATCTGACGAGAGTTTAAATATTTTTGTCATGAAATATTATCATTAATTTAGTCATATAACTTTTTAACCGACAAATTATTTTAGTGAAGGCGTATATTATCTCATACAATACATAAATAAATTTTTTTTTTTTCAAAACATTATAACTCATTAATATTATTTTCAATTAATGATTTAATTTCTCTCGTCTTTTGACAAAAAAATATACGACAGATAAATATTTTTATTAACGTTAATTATACACGAGCCTTCCCAACAATTTAATTATTTTATAATAATAACGATAAAAAAAATTGGTATATAAACAGCAATGTATGTTTATGAAATGATTGATTATTATGCACACAATGCTAATATTTGAAATTCGAGCTTAAAATGAATTGATTTGATTAATTACACCTAGCTTGAGAGATAATTATTGCAATTAATCAGTTCGCTACCAGACGAAATTTTCTATTTTTCGTTAGTAACATGAATTGTACAATATAGAGGCAATAATTATTTTATTGATAAACAATTCATTTCAGCCTCTTAATAGGTTTTGGTTTTTAATTAAATAATTTTATTCCATTAGTGAATGTAAAATTAATAATTAGCCGACACTCTAAAACTATTCGAGCAATTTTATCATTGATTTTATTGATAAACTAATATTGTGTGTCGATAATCAGTAATAAATCCAATAAATTTCTCATCTAATTTTTTTTTTTTTTAATATTCTTTCATGCATTTAAAAATTATTTAGCGATGACTGCAATATATTTTTTTTAATTATTAGTTTTTTTTGGAATAATATTTTGATCATCTGGAAATGTATCCGCTCGTCAGATAATTAATAAAGCTTCGTTACTTCGTTGATTAATATAATTAATGAATTAATATAATCAACGATAGTCACAATAATTTATTCTAGAATAATACTTATTGAATCATGCACAGAGAATGTTGGTGGGGACTTGATGATAACCGCAAGCGACAGGAAGAAGTGATGAGTTTTCATTTTTTTTTATCCTACTAATAGTTCAGTTTTTCTTTTGTTTCTACTTATTGTTTATTTTTCAATAATGTCAATCTGTCATTTTGCTGTCTGCTGTCAAGTTCGGTCCCTTTCTCACATGACATTCCTTGCGTATAGTAATATTTTGTTTAATTGAGTTAATAGTAGTCATGAACACGTGGTCACACTTGTACTTCGTTGACCCTTTTTTTTCATTTTGATCTAACAACCGTAAAATTTTATTTCTAATATTTCTCCGCCGGTAAACCATTGCAACTTGTATTTATTACGTGAGTTGGCGAGGACCGTTGTCAATAGACCCATCGTACTGGTGTCCACTGCGGTGTCGTTTGTATTCGTTCAATTGCTGCTTCCAGTTGTGCGATCGTTTCCTCAATATCGTCATTCACAATAGTTAAATCAAAAAAGTGCCCATACGCTTGCTTCAACATGTCCGATTCCTTTCCAAGCCTCTCGAGACTACCGTCATACTAATAAAAGATTCATTTCAATTTCAACGATTTCTTAAATATTTAATAACAATAAAGATAGCACTATTGTTCAATAAATGATGACATTAATGAATAAACTTACGTCATTGAGGTTTTGTACGGAGGGTGCAGCAATAAAAACAACATAGGGAGCAAATTCTGCAGTCCGGAGAATTTTCAAAGCTTGTGGCTCTACGTCCAATATTGCCATTCTTCCTTCCTCATGAATTTTTCGAATTGTCTCTAATTTTGTTCCATACATGGCATCCTCATGAGTTCCTAAATGACACACGATTATCCACGTTATGATGAGAACATTGTAAATTCTTTTCATACGATAAACAAATAAAATGATAGTCTCACCATATTCGAGATACTCATTAGCGCTGATGTCTGACATCATTTCATCGTGTGAAACAAAGTAATAATTGCGTCCGTTTTCTTCGTCGTTTCGTGGAGGCCTCGTTGTGTCTGTAAAAGAAAAAAATTATAAATACATCAGTGTTATCAAAAAAAAAAAATCAAGAAACTTGATAATTAATAAAGTTTCATTTTATTTTTTTTTAAATTCTATTTATATATTAGAAAATTAATAAATGATTGAAAAACGCAGTTCAATAATATTTTTTGTTTTAACCTGACTTATATTTTCATTGTAAAATATATGAATAAAAACTCATTAAAATAATAAAAGCTTTCTGTGACATCGCATTCATTATGGTTCATTTCACCAGCTTATATTGAATTTTAAAGTCTGGCATTAATTTAAATCCTGGTAGTATTATATCCTACACTGATTTTTTTATTCTCATGTCAGGATTTAATTTAATGAGTTGACTGAAATAATCTAAAAATTCATTTATTAAAATTCTCAAATTTCCATACGACTATTTTCAATTTTCTGAATATCTAATCCTCAAGCTATTATATTTTAAAGCCTTCCCTATTATTATTATTATAGAAAAGAAAACTTACGCGGAATTGGATAGGCATATTTATCAGGATGCCTGGCAATAATGGTATTTTTTATATGACGACGACCAACACCATGAGCTCCCAATAGAACGAGAGTTTTACGTTGGAAAGCTTCATCTGTAATAAATGAAATTTTATATAAGCTCATTTAATCTGCATAATAATTCTGAAAGAAACTTTTTCAGTTAATTAATAAAGAAAATTCTCTATTAATTATAATACTTACGAGGTACTTTAACAACTTCCTCATAAGTAACCAGATCCAGCTGGTCGAAAACCGCGTTGTGTTTTGCAAGGTATTTATCCTTGTACTGTTTCTTCTTGCGGCCGAAAATTGAGCAATTGACTAAATTTCAAAATAATAAATGAAAAATTAATTAGTCACCAATTAGTTTACTTTATGTACTATTCTATGAATAATTTTAAATAATAAGCAGTGCATTTAAATAGTAGAAATGATGTCAGAAGTTCAACATAACATCAAGCAAGTATCTAATATATAACATGCTTTCATATGTATTCTATTTTTATATTCTGATAATATTCGTTGAATAAAATATTAAAAAACTAGGTAATATAGATATTAAAATTTTTACAATCGTTGAAATTGTAGACATGATATCATCAATATCTGAAAGTTTTCATTACTTTATGATAAAAGTAAATAGACATTATTTATTCACTTATTTATTTATTTGATAATAAAAGTAATTTTATTTTGAGGTGAAGATTAAAAAAAATCCTGTATTGTTCTGGGTATTAATTAAAAAGTGATGGATTAAAAGTGAGTGAAATAAAGTTCCAGCAGGTCACAGAAAATAATGATAAAAGTTAGTTGCACAAATGTGATGCATGATTAATAATATCCCCAGTGATTTCGTGCTCAAACGTTCAAAGCTACATAGTGATCCAATTAAGAACCTAAAAATTAATCTTTATCAAAAATAAAAGTCTGTCGATATACCATCATCTACAGTAGTGCTAAGGTTGAAAAAAAAATCATCAAAAAAAAAATTCTAGCTTTCAAGATGAGATTTTTTTTTTCTTTCTAAGTTTTTTTTTTCAAACTCTACTAAAAATCGAGCTTTACACTTCATTTTTGCCATTTTTCATCATTGGTTTTACCATTTATTATCATTATTATGATTGTTATTACTACTTTCTATAGAAATTCTATACAGCTCTGTGAACTTTATCCTCTGCAGGCAGATTTCATACCTGTCGAGCTGTCACAGCCCTCGGTGTGAGGAGAACAGCCACCCTCTCCTTCAGCATCTATCCCGGACACATACAACATATTCACTTTTATATATTTTGCTTTTTTCTTTAATAAAAAAAGAAAAAAATACTCTATTCATTAGTTACTAATTTTTATCGTTTTCTTATTTCATTTCCAGATTAACTAAATTTATTTAATGATAAATAAAACTACCTTTATTATATTGTTTTTTTAATTAATGGAAAAAATTTAACAGCTAAATGTTTGATATTACAACATTTCATGCCCCATATACATTCATATCTGTACCCACACAACACAACAGATACGTAAAATTCAATCAATAAATATTAATATTGATTTACAATATAATTTTTGTTACACATTTATGGTTAATTGATTACACATGTTATATGAACATAAATTATATAAGCTGTGTAACAAATATGATAGCACATGATTGAAATTAAAGCACGATTATGGAACATAAAATGACAACAGACGTTCTTTTGGTAATATACTGGATTAATATTTAATCCGGGAGTGATGTAATTTACTGAATATGTTAATGTAATATAAACCTAAGAACCCATATTATTTAAGATTATTCTACTAAACGATTAAAAATAAAGAAACAAATATTAAATAAAAGAAATAGTAAATACTGAAAAAATAGAAACACTCTCGGATTAAAAAAGATATGCAGCGTAGACACAAAGTGCGATCTGCTGGAACAACTCTACCGATTCTGTCATTGATGAAAAATAACAGTTTTTAGTTAATAAAAGTTTTTATCGAATATTTAACATGATATCTAATCCTAACAATTGTTTGACCATTTATAAAAATTGCTACTTATTAAATCAAAATTGATCATTGAAATTCCTTTATTCAAAAATTCAAATAATTACTGATAAGGTAATTCAACAATATTTTACTGATCAAACAATTGATTAAAGAATTAACGATATTATTAGGAATAATTTTTAAATGATGTAATCAAACTAACCTTGTTCTTGTTTGTTTTTTTTCATTGCCATACAGGCAATTCTCCACTCTTGAAGTTCAGAAGATGGAATAAGTCCTGCTGAACCAGCAGCATTATCTTTACGCGCTTGCCACCAGTGATGATCATCTTTACTGATAATCTGCAGGATGTCTCCCGTCTTGAAGGCTATTCCAGCTTGGGCACACGGTATATGTTCATCTTCAAGTGGATCATAATCGAATTGTGCTCGAACAAAAATCTGTTGAATAAGGAAATTATAAATTCGAATGTTCCATCTAATAATAAACGATATCAATATGAATATAAATATAAATATAAATAATTAAATATTAATATAAATTAATAAAAGGTAAAAATGAAAGATAAATTAATATTTGAAACGATAGATCAAAAACTCTTTTGATCTATTGTGTAAGGATAAACTATAAAACTACGACTAAATTGCTGATGCAAACCCAAGCCACTTAAGGTACCGGCTATCTTACTTCAGGAATTGTGTGAATAATATTAATAATAATAATGATAAGAATAACAAGTGAATTGTTTCTCATAACGGTGCCTCGCTCCATCGACTTGAAACATTAATCAAATTTTCTACACTCGATTTACGAGGTTTGCTACATGCCTCATCGCGTGGAAACAGTGGAAATAAACGAATTAGATATAAAAAAGTAAGAAAAATTTGATAGACTCGAATATATATATATATATGTAAATATTAAATAAACATCGATTAAAATCGGATTATAAATACGTTAGGACGATCATATTTGAATATATAAAGTTTTCATACGACAACGTTTGGGTATGCAGGTAAAGGTATAACGCATTAGCTTTCTAACTACAGCAGTCCAATCACACCAGATCAAGTGGCGGTACTTACTAATACTGGCAGAGGCCTAATCCTGAACAACTAGATTGTTGAAAAAACAGAAAAAAGGAATATGATCATTAATTGATAAATTCTAAATTCAAATTTATTCAATTTACTATTTTTTTATCTAATTATTTACCGATTTTAATTGAACGATTAGAGATATGAATGAAAATATTATTATAGATTTCTCAAAAGTATTAAAATATTAACATTTAATGGAGAATAAAAAAAAGTTATATATTACATTCAACGCGTAGGAACCTACCATTTTTTGGATTAAAAAAATTCCAAATCCCAATTTATTTATGTTTTTGTTAATTAAATTACAGCTGTCGACAGAGCGTGCACTAATATGAAGATATGTTTCACATAATTTGGATTTACGACACTTAAATTAATCAATAAAAGAGCTACACTGTCAAAAAATTATTTTCAGTGGGTATTCAACAAGAGGAGAAAAATAAGGAAGAGTGAATACTAAAAAATATTGAAAGTGTGAAGAAAAAATGAAGATAAAAATATATCGACAACTCGTCTGGTGGACTGACTGCTGCCACTGCAGTTAATTTGCTGTTGCCGATGCGTCTGGTGTTAGGATTAGATTCAAATATTGATAAAATATGCAACCAATCAAACCTTTACTGAAGCTTTTAAGATTTAACGCATTTCAGTGGAGAACTGAATCTCTCTAGCCGCGGGTATTTATTATTCTTAGTAATAATAAAGTATCATAAAATGATTAAATTATAATGAATTGTATTTGTTATAAATAAGTAGTAAATATAGAATTTACTGATACCTCGCAAGGGGGTGGCGCGATCCTGTAAGAGGGCAGAATTTTGAATGTTACAGATCCTCTTGCCTCACGCTGAAAATAAATAATTTTTATAATTTTTTATTAATATTGTTTTTGTGTTTATTTAATCAAATTTAAATTAAACCAAAGATGACAGATATTTTATAATACTTACCAACATTTTTTGTAAAGTATTGACTGACTGATTAGCAACTGGAATTCCATTGATTTCTTTTATTTCATCAAGAACATGAAGTGTAGCCTGTCTATGAATCATTCCTCCGTGCATGATTCTTGCCACAACGCACTTCCCATCCTCGTTCATCTTTAATGTTATCCCCTAGGAAAAAAAAAATATAGCCTGCTATAAAGATTTTGTCCAATGTCCAACAATCATTGTATTTAATGTGAGAAATAAAAAAAGAAATCCAAGTTCTAGCAAGGAAAGTTGTTTAATGTTTACAGCATTCTGTGGTTCCGGTAATGTATTGCTGTTAATCAATTTTACAATGTTTCCAAAACATAAAATTCAACTTTGATTATGAAAAAAACAACTATATATATTTACTGGCTATAAATTTGTAATAAATAACAGGATGAATATTAAATTTTAAAATTGAATTTTTATCATAAAATTGTTATTCCATGAGGATATTTTAAGTTCACTATTTTGCTATTTTTAGAGTACATAATTGAATAAAAATGATGAATTACCATTGGCTCATCAGTATTCTTCTGAAATTGAACGAGCCTGACTCGGGTAACATTTTCCACATCCATATCACCATTCTGACCTTCGATGTCATCACCATTGAGGTAAGGAAGCAACGGTGGTGGTGTGACTCTTGACGCTTCCTCTCCATAAACTTCATGGCCTGCCACATCGTGAGCTTGCAATAATGCCTGTAAAAAGAAGTTACAACTGAGAAAAAAGAACTTTTCATGAAATCAATAGATTAGATAAGTTGTAAAGTTATGTAATCAGGTCAAGATCAATCTTAATAATTTTTGGGAAATAAAAATAGAGATCAATGATGAACTCTTGCAACAGTACAGAAACTCGTCACTGAGTTACCGCAATTGCGCGACTGCGCCCTAGAAATTGCACACGCAACTCCTATCTGGGACGAACTGGATGCTGGTTTTCCACTGAGAGAAATATAGTTCTATCGTCAATCAATACTAAAATAATTTTTATCGCACTTTTTTTTATTGACTAATTGAATAAAGTCGCACTTTATTCTCTCCCAACCATAACCTACCCATAAATTACAATCTTATCATTATTTAAAATTATTCATCTCCCTAGGGCCAATAAAAAAACTATTTCCCTCATCACCATAATCCATAAAACTACTACAAAAAAAAAAATAACGAAAACTTTAAAACGACGATAAAAGTGACATAATATAGCGAAATACAAAGTAGGACAAGTGTCGAGTTTGTTTACCTGCTGATGCACGTGACAGTCCGGAATGCCATTAGGATGCTTGAAACGAAATGGACTATGAACAGGACAATTAAATCTTAAGTGATTATCAACGAAAAACTGCTGAGGGTGAGTGTGGGGAGCATAAATAACGGAATCCACAGGTAGAGGTCGACCAGGAGCGTGTTCAAGAGATCGGCAAGACCAATTAATAGGTCGATGTTCAAGTGGTCTAGTATCTAAGTCAGGCATTGTTCTTCCAACTTGATTGGATTCATGAGACCTATGATCAGTAGCATTGAATAGTTGCGGTACGTGGTCAACTGATCGACAGCCATGATCATGAGTAAAATAATGGCCTTGTGCGTGCCCATTGTGATCCATTAATCGACATGGGTGATTAATGGCACGTTGTTGATAATCTACACCTCTAACAAAGCTGGAATCCATAGATCTAGGTTGTTCAGTACAAACAGACTCATTTTGACGCCCAATTGGTGTATTCATTCCAGTCTGGTGGTCTAGGGCTGCAGATTGTCTGCTTGCAGAGTCGGATCTCATTGATTCCATTGATCTCATACTATCCATTGATCTCATGTAATAGTCAATAGGCCTTGTAGGTAAAGAATCAGTTGATTTGCATGGTCTTGCCCAGCATTTAGTGCCAGTATTTTCGCAAATGGGAACTGCGGCATTTCTAGAGATACAGGGGTGACTTTGTGGACCCCAACTACCTCTATAAAGATCCATCAGATCTCAAAGCTTTATGAGAACTTGAATATTTATGATACCACCAAGCAGTAACCTAGCACAATATCACTCTAACTACACCATTATGTATATTTATACGTTATAAATACGAAATTAAACTTTCTTTATCCTTTTTACACTAAAAAGCTCTAGTATTCATTTATGTTTAACACATTAACTTAAGTTAATAATGATGTTTTAATAAATCATTTAGTACGCATAAGAATTGGAGTAATTGTAAATGGCTTATGATGATATAATTGACGTAAATTACGCGAAGGAGATGACAATTGGTTAGTCAACATGTAATTAATAATCACTTTAGGCGAAAGACTTAGATTAGCATTGGAATATTCCACGAAATAAGACAGAATAAAGAAAATAATACGGGCGAGTGTGGTAGCAACGGGACACCGACACATAGCGATGCCGCGCTCTCCAGCACTGAATCTTGCAGCTTCCGTCGCGCAGTCTCACCAAGCAACCCCCTGATTTTATCCCCTCTCTATCGTACCCTTATCTAACTACACACCCCACCACTCAACTCTCGTTCAACCGTCTGGACCGCAATGCTCGTCCACCCACTTTTATACTTGCTCGTCTGTGCGCATATCCTTCACTTCCTCTCTCACTCTCTCCCTCTCCTCTCTCTACATACTTTGTCTCGTCTATTTTTTTTCTCTCGATTTACCCTACTGACATTATTCCTCCTGCGTCAAAACTAATTTCCAAATTTTTTCTTCCACTTCAGGCTCTCGAGAACAATCTAGCAATTAATTCCAGATGAGTAATGACTTTAAACTTTAAAATAAAATTGAAATTCTGCGCTTTTTTTTCCCCCCTATTATCTATCATTATTTTCAGCAAAAATTAACTACATACTTTGTTTCCAACTTTAAAATAATCCCAAGAAATTTGTTCTCATCTTTAAATAACAACTTGTAATTTATCAAAATATAAAAAAACAAGCCACTTCAAAGTTAGCAGCACTTTTAGCTTATATACTGAATCGTACTGAAGATAAATATGAAATAATTAGAAAAGTAATATTTAAGATTGAATCAACAACTGAAAAATTTTGTAGTAAGTTAATACAACATAGATAATCTTAAGTAAATCTTATAACATAAAAATCAGATAAAAACAGATTTTTAATAATTCAACAAGACCTTTAGATTATCTATGATAATATTGACTTCTCCAAGTCTTCTGGACCAAAAAGTACTACTACATCAAGGGCGTCGGTGGTCGTAAATAATTGCGCTTGCGTCGGATGATGCTTCGTTATAATATAGGACACAGATACAGAAAATTTAAATTTTTCATCAAGTGGTGAAATGCATTTAATGTCACTTTACGTTCTATAATTAATTGACGAATAGATAAAAATCCTCAACAATGAAATGTTAAAATAAATGAATAAATCAATTATTCAATAAATCAATGGCTTAATTACCTTGAGTCGTTGTCGCTGATATTTTTTTATAAATGAAAGGTAATATTTATAAACATGTAGTGGGAGAGATTGTTTAGTTTCTTCACCAATCCAACGTTGTGTTAAATCAAAGATAGGTAAGGTTTTATAAAGCTTATTTTCACTTGAGACTTTTTGTGGTATTCTAACAGGCTCTTCTTGGCTTTCACAACAATGGTGAGAAGTTGACGGAGGATTAAGTGAGAATCTTGAAGAATTTAATGGTAGATGAGTATGATAACGAAAGTTGGAAGAAGCTGAGCGCCAATCGAAGCGATTAAATGGAGTAGGCGTCGTCTCAGCGGACCAAGGACGAGGATGTTCATGACAGAGTGAAAGATGAGAGGCGTGGATGCACGTTGAGAGTAGAGCAGAATGTTCTAAGGTCACTAGTGGTCTTAAACATTTTCTGCACGATGGGTACACATGAGGATTCCAAGTATGATAACAGCATCCCGGCGACCTGGAGCCAAACGGGTCCCTGGTCGCAGGGTAATTCATGATGCCACTCACATTGCATTAATTTATTCTTCACCGGTTTAATTGATATATTTCCTCATCTTCCATTATCATCATATCAATCTTCATCCACACTCTCGTTACTTATCTTTGCACTTTATCTTGATCAGTTGACTTTTATGACTTGTCTAATGATAAATATATTTTATATTTCATTAGTAACCCATTATCATATGAATATACTATTCAAATAAATATTTTCTTGTCTGAATAATTTGAGTAATGAAGATTAGCCAGAGTTCCTAGAATGATCCAAATTGCAAGATTGGTAATACCAGTGGTTATATCTTACATTCATGTACTTCGATCGAAGTCGTGTATAGAATATAGACACGTGTGGTAATCCACGACATGATTGTGGCTCAAATGTTGTGTAGTACATGTGTGATATACTGTAACCATTGATATTGTTAGATACATGATGATGGTTAACATAGAAATGCAATGCAGTGATATCTGACCAATGAAACCATAGTAATCAATGTCCAATTAATTGATAAATGAGCAAATCAACTGAAAATAACTTAAAATTTGACAAAGTTCTACAGAGGTATCAAAATCAAACGGAATAGATCAATGACTTGATTATACGATTAAAGATTTTTCCATGCAACTAGTGGATAAGGATATTAAAAAGTTTGAAAGAAAAATAAATAATAACATCAGGTTGAAATTCATTGGCTAAAAAGCTTAACGATTATTATAATTTAAGATAAAAAAATACTTATTAATGAGTTTTATCAAAAAAGTGATTAAATAAAATGTAAAATCCACTGCAACTTGGTTCAATAACGCACCAGATGGTACTCAAATCATGTTGGTTGTTCATTAATACTTGAAGAATTTTATATAGAATATTAAAAAAGTTGAAAAAACAAACACAGAGAGGATAAATAGTAATCACAAGCGAAATACGACGATGTTTCGTGCAAAATTGAGGAGTACACGTCTCTCAAGCTACGTTCTGCAGTAGACTAGCTCCAGCCCTGTCCGTGAACCCCTTCTCTATATCTGTGCTCCACCTCCAAACGTCACTTCCGTTCACCCTCCCTTTTCTCCCCCTTTTTGCTTTTTTTCACTCGAAGAATAACCGCCCACGGCGACAGTATGACAACTCACATGTAGTTAACGAGAGAAACTACCTGAACACGCTCGAAATGACTTGAAAAATCATGTAGTATCATCTCCCTTTTTTTCTTCTTTTAAATTAAAAAACTTTCTATTTAATTAAAAGCCAACTTACCTTTAAATAAGGCTGGCTAAGCAATTCCAAAAGTTCTCTAAGATCACAAGGGTCAATTCTGTGATATTTTGATGACTCCAATTCCCGAAGAAATTCTTCAACATCTCGGAGACGTGCCAATGCGTCAGTCGGTGGAGGACGACTTGGTGTTGGTACTCTAGTTGAGATTCTATCGTACAACTATCGGAGGAAAAGAAATTTTGTTCTTATTAAAAGTAAATTTTCTCTTACATCAAGACATACTAGTAAATTACTAATTATAGATATATCATAAACTAACGAAGTCTTAGTGGAAAAGATCAATTGACTGATGGCATTAATTCAAGTCATGTTTACTTCCCTTGTGATTTATACTATAGACGTTTAATAAATTAGAAAGGAAAAATAGGGTGATATAAATTATTAAGCATCCTCTAGGCTCTGTAAAGAAACAGTTGGTAAGAAAAGTAAACAAAAACGAAGACTCGTTTTTCTTCCTTAAAGACGCAGTTTATTCGCGACTGTCCTTGTAGACAGGATAGATTGGACGAACCTGAAGAGGAGGACCTTCCTATAAAATTCTAACGCGCAAGCTCCATTACCAATCGATTTTACTAATCTCCCTGTTGGATACTTGGTATTGTATTATATACATTTTTTGTAGTATTTGAATAATTATAATTACCCATTCCTTTTGATATTACTATCATTATTGTTACAAGCATTACCTTTAACATAACTAAATCAATTAAATTACTTCGAAATACCTCCAACATCGCTCGTAACCAGCGATCATCAACAGCCTCAAGAATTTCTTCTCGCGTTAATCTCCCGCTCTCCTGCAATATCTCAATGTCATCTAGCGAATCCAGAATTTCAGCTACGAAGTCTGGAATGTAAAAGTAATGAAAATTCAATTACTTTTTTTCTGTTGTGGTGAAGATTTACGAGATAGATAAATATAAATAATACCTGCACTATAATCGTCATCTACAATATCTGATAAGTTATCACCACTGGCATCGGAATGCCATTTTGATGAAGAAACAGCTATTTTTACAGATTCCTTGAGCTTTCTTCTAGAATTAAATTTTTTCAATTCCTCTACTGTTTCACTCAGATGAATTCGTGCAGCACCTTTATCTCGATCCTGAAATAAATATAACATTTAATTATCAATGAATTTTTTTTCATTCAAATAAATGAAAGATACTCGTTCTTACTCTAAGCCACTTGTGATTAAGCACTTCTTGAATAGTAATTCGGTGATTTACATCTACTGTAAGCATCCTTTCAATAAGATCTTTTGCTGGTTCACTAATGTTCTCCCAAATTGGAGTTTCCATCTATAAATATAAATATAAAAAATTTTTTTAAATTATACCTTGGAACATAGTTTTATTAATTACGTTTTGTAATTAATTTTTCTGAACAGAACATGAATTTCCAAACTTATAGCCATTTATTACTTTTCAGAAAAAAGCAGTACAAAAACTTTGGAGTTATTTGGCACAGATAAAACTTTTTTTTTTTAAAAAGGAAAGAATTAGTGAAATTATTTTACACTAGTTTTCTATCCTTAAAAACTCCGAAAATAACTGGTTTCATATTAATTATAAGTTTTAATGTATACATCGAAGGATTAGTTAATTTAAATTGATTTAAATTTATTTCTAATTAATTTTGCAGCTCTGGGATCAAAGTTTTAGGATATGTGCCAAGTTTCCAGCCTCAAATCGATTTTAAAATTATGCACTACAATATGCAGATATTCTTCAAGAATAAATGACTACACTATGAAATAAGTAAAATTATGAAAACTTTCAATAATCTAATAATAATCCATACTTTTCGCTTTCGTTTACATCCATTCATCACAATTCAATTTTCTACAGAATAATTTAAAACTGATATCAAACAATGATTGATTAGCTTTTAAAGTTTCAATCAGTGCCAATAAAACCACTCAAACAAATATTACAACATGAATATTAATAAATTGAATAATAGAATAATGTATTTTTCAATTCTATATTAATGTTAGAATATTGACAATTTTTTTGCAAACTCAATTCATAAAACTTTATCATCTACTTACTTGAATACGCCCCCTACATATGGCTTCTTTTAATCTCATCCCTGATCCAACAAAAGGATATGTTCCCGTAAGAAGAATGTGAAGTAAAACACCAGCAGCCCAAACATCTCCAGGTTTTCCATATTGACGATGTTCAATCAATTCCGGTGACATAAAATGTGGACATCCAACTCTCCCTGATTGTCAAACATTCAAAAGGAAAGTTTGTGATAAAAAGGCGAATAATTATCTACAAAGAGTAGCAATTATAAATTGAATGAAATCAATCAAACAGCATTGTGTTATTGGTAATGTGCATGTAAAAAATTGGCTGAAGTAACCGACAACACTGGTATATTTCGATAACTGGTGAACGTTCATGCTTTTGACAAAAAATTGATCTAAAATACGGGTTTAATAACTTGATAATTGATGAGTAAAAATGTGCTTCTATCTTCTAAATTGCCAAGCTTCAGCATTAGCATTTTAGCTGTGCAAGATGAACAAAACATATTTCTTCCGTTTATTTTCCTTTCTATAAGAATTTAAAGGCTGTTACCTAGAAGATTAGATCAATATTGAAGTTAGAATTGCTTCTGTAATTATTTTGGTAGTCGTTTTATCATCTAGGGATCGTGTAGCATCAAGTTTCTATGCAAATTAGTATGTTAATCAAAAGTTTGATGCAGCATCAACATGAAATATTAAATTACTATTTCTTAAAAATTTTTTAATAATGATTAGTGCTTAATGAATAAATATCGGATGATAGGAATAAGTATATAGTGTCATTATAAGCAAAATAAGTAATAGCATTTATGAAAAATATAAAAATATTTTGGCAAAGGGAAGCAAACGATGTAAAATTACTGGAAATTTGTTATGGTTTTTATTTATCAAAACTACCACCAAATTATTAATAGATAGTAAAACATTTACTTTTAAATATTCAAAATTGTGATTTATTTAATGATTAACAATTTTAAATGGGATTGACAAGTGCATCAAAATTGACGATAATAAATATGGTGGTAAAAAGGATATTTAACTGGAAATTTACAATCGATTGATATGTATAATGTTTAATGAAATAAACGCCACTGAGATATAATAAAAAGGCATGATATGATTCAATCCTGCTGAAAAACTTGGTGACAGTTAGGTTGAATTAAGCTTACCCGCAGAGTCGGTCTTCAAGTACTGCTTGCCCTTTGGGCTCAGATATCGGAACTCGGTCGTGTAAGTCTCTGCATTCATTTAAACCAAATTCTAAGTAAGTATTGCTTGAGTGTAATTAATTATGACTCGATTTGTATTTTTATTTTTGTGTTTAATTGGTGTAAATATTTTTTATTATAATTCTTTATCTTCGCAATTAGTTTTTTTTTTCTTTTTTAATAATGCTTAAGTTCGTTTGTCTGATTTTATCTAGACTACCGATTGTGTGAGAAATAAATTACAACTTATATACTATTAAATAATTGTTTAAGATGTTGAAACATAAATTGTTGTTCTTAATCATTAATTCATTTGATTATACCTGTATTGTTTTGAGACGCTGGAAGCTGCATTGCTACCCCAAATCCTCGTAATTTAACTGGCGCCGAATTTTCTTTTCCAGCTAACAATGCACCTTGTGGTTTAATATCTCGATGAATTATATCATTCTCATGACAATACCGTAATGCCTCCAGAATTTGTCTCATGTAATGACTGAAAAAAGGGGAAAAATGTATGAAAAATTTTTCCAATTTTTTCCTATTATTATTTTTCTGTCTCATTAGACTTTGATATTTAGGACATTGTTCTGAAACATTAAAATGACTCAACTGCTTTGGCCTTTGTAGTTTTTATTATTCTTTGTCATGTAAGTAATTGAATACGTCATCTTTAGACGAAAATAAATTGAATTGTAGTGACCAACATTTAATTTTAATCGATATGAACCAGATAAAAAATTCATTTTTTGTTTTCTTTTTTTGGATAAAATGTTTCATTTCAGTACAATCAAATATGACCTGATATGATTAATAAAAATGTCATGTTTTTTATACCTAGCTACGGCCTCGCTGTATACAAATCCCGATGTCGCACGTCGAACAACTTCGAAACAAAGGTCGGCTCCATCCATGCTAAATTAAATGAAAATACATTTTTTAGTCATTATTTTTTATAACAATATTCAATAATGGAATGTCAGAACTTCTCATCCGTAAATTCGTGTGCTTTTATTTTTTTTTAATTACAAGCTTTTGTTTGAAAGTGTTTTATAAAGGATGAGAAAGAAAAACGTGCAGCTGATGAAGAAAAATATATTATTGATTAAAAATAAGAGCTGTTTTATTTTGTCCCGTATATTCAATGCTAACAATAGTGTTGGTGTCAGATACACACGAACTTATGGACTAAGCCAATAGAAAGATACAAAGATAAAATACTTACTACTCGAAAACCATGTACAGCATTCCTTCTGAGCTGTAAGTCTCGAGAAGTTCTACTATATGAGGATGCTTTAACATGTGACATATTGTAGCTTCCCTTTTTAAATCTAAAACAAGAGAAGAAAAACGTGTAAATGTATTTTACTGTTGACAGAAGAACTAAATTATTGTCAAGAAAGGATACTCATTTATAAAGAAAAAATGGTTTAATAAAAAAAAAAGCTTTTCATTATTATTTTTTATAGAAAAACTTTTCATATAAAACAAAAAAATCTCAATTTTTTTTTTTTGAATTTTCTTTTAAGACAATAAAGAAATTTCTATCTTTAAAAGAAACTTTACGTAAGATGATTTATATGTTTGCAAATATTTTTCTCTTTAGTTATTTCATTCTTTTCTTTTATTGAATTTAAATTGCAAATAAAGCCAATTACTCAAAATGAATACACAATTTTTTACAATATACATACACTAGAAATAAAATGAAAAGAATATTTTCATTAATAAATAGAAAATCTGAAAAATATTGCCTCCTTTCTTAATATAAAACTACAGAATTTTTCAGATTTATATTGACAGATGGTAGTTCAAGGTTTATTTTATTCTATTTACCTAGTCAATAAAAATATAATATATTCGTTTTCAATAATGACATGTACATTTGATTGATCCTGACATTGAAAAATAAGTGTGTCACTCAATTACAATTCGATTATTTTATCATTTTATTAAAATCTAATTGTTCTGTCATTAATAACTATAAACACTTATCCCGGGATATATATACTTTTTCAGAAGAATAATAAACTTAGGAATTCACTCCAAGAATTATTCTCCATCAAACATAGTATGTTTTTACTCGACCCAAACATTTACTAGAAAGTCTTTATGGTGAATGACCACAATATATCGTTAAATTGGACAGAGTAAACCTTGATGAATTTTCGTGAATAGTCAATAAAACATCTGGAATTCGATATCATAAATTTTTAACTGTGGTAGAGTGACTGCAGGCAGTCAATTAAGTTTGGTAATTGGTCATATAAATCTGAAAAATACTGACCATTTTTTTATACAAATTTAACTAAATAACTAGTGAACTACTGGTGTATTATATATTTGACCTACAATAACTTTAAATATTAAAAATTTTTCAATTAATTCTGATCTGTTCTAAAATATTATAATTTAATTTACTATTTGAATTTAATTAGACAATAATTTATTGTTGCTATTATTTGTTTCAATATTTTTAACTGATTAAGTAAGATAAGGTTATTATAAAATTAGGTTGAGTGCTGTATTTGTTATCTCAATGTTTTTATAATTATTATTATACTACGCAAAATAATTAATTTATTTTTTCAACGTTCTTAAAACATTTCTTGTACGTTGTATTAATTCTTATTTTTCCTATAAAAAAATAATGAAATAAATTATAATAGACATGAAAAATTATAATAAATTAATAATACATACATTCAACTAAATAATAATAAAATTACCTGCTGTACTAAGACCAGGACTAGAAGTAAACTTTGCAACATCGACGATTTTTACAGCGAAAACTTGATTTGTCTGGCGATGAATACATTTTCGTACTACGCTGAATGGTCCCCTGAAAAGATATAAAAAATATTTATTTGAAAAATATGAAAGACAGTTATTTAAAATAAAAAACGAATAAAAACAAAGTGTATGATTTATAGCAAGGTGTAATCAGTAAATCAATAAAGATTCATCAATAAAATTTAATGATAGTAGCGGTCAAAGATTTTACAAGTAAGATAAAAATCATGATTGGAGTATTTTGAAGTCAATATCAGAATATAGAAGTATTTCCAATTTTAAGTCTCGTGAAAATCACGCGAATGATAGTGGTATGTGTTAAGGAAACCATTAATCAATTGGGACGGGCCACACGTGCTTAATTTTATCAACCTCTCTTGCACTTATGTATAAAATACTTCATTTTTCATGAGGCATTGTCTTCTCGTAAAGGATCCAGCACTTGACGTTTGATAAACCATGATTGCCTCAATTACCATCACGTTTTTATTTTTTGCATCTATTCAAGCACGAGTTATCACTAGTAAGTATTAGATTATTTCAACTTTTTTCAATTAAAGATTCAAATTTTACATATTTACAACTTGTAACTTTTTTTAGATACCTCTTGTCAAATTACGATAACTTATAAGAATGGAGATTTAAAAGAACCACAACCACTTATTTTATCGAAAAATAAAGAAGACACGATTTTTTTATATCCAAAAGATAAATCAGGCATTTTAACTATATCATCAGGAGAAAAAATTTATTTAGCATGTCCTGGTAAATACAATCAACTTCAAGGAGTTGAAGGACTGACAGCAGTCAAAGAAGTCGAGGCAACATGTTTAAAAGAAAAAACATTTATCATTAATTCAACTCAGTTTAATTTCACAACCGCTACGTGTAAATATTTACCAGAGCACGAAGCTCAAAGAAGACCAGTAAAATGTTACGGTGATAACACATATATTGAAATTGGATTTCAATTAGAAAAGGAATTTTTACGTACCATTGAAATATGTAGAAATGATGCTACATTATCAACAGACTACACAAAATTTAGATTGACTCATAAAATAGGAAATATGCAATCAAATTATCCTAGGCCAAGAAAATGGGTTACTGGAGATTTTTATAATAGAATAAATGTTGATTATTATTATAAAGCAACAACACAATTGAATATGATGAAAAAAATTACTGGATCTGAAGAACTTGCTGATAAATACATCCAAGCAGGGAGGCGTTTTTTATCACGAGGACATATGACTGCTCGATCTGATTTTGTGTATGGAAATGCACAAAGATCAACATTTTGGTATTTAAATGCAGCTCCTCAATGGCAAACTTTTAATGCTGGTAATTGGAATACTCTAGAAGACAGTATCAGAAGATTTGCACAAAAAAAATTATTAAACCTTGATGTTTATACAGGCGTTCACGGCCAAATGAACATTACTGACGTTAATAATAACCAGATACCACTTTATTTATTTGTAAATAAAACTCAACAGAATTTACCAGTTCCAAGGTTTTTTTGGAAAGTGATATATGATCCATTGGAAGAAATTGGTACAGCTTTTGTAGGAGTAAATGATCCTTATGCTTCAAATATCACTGATGACATGTATATGTGTCAAGACATTTCGAAAAGCATTAGATGGCTTAGATGGGACCCCAATTCCATTACGAAGGGTATTTCTTACGCGTGTGCTATTGATGATCTCCGTAAAAATGTGCCATCGATTCCAAAGTTAAAAGTTCATGGTGTCTTAAAGTGAATCGATAATTCAATAAAAAACACAATATGTTTTTATACTCCAACGTTATATAAACAATTTTTCCTAAATAAAGGAAAAACATAAATATAGAATTACTTTTCATTACGTAAATTTATATTTATAACGATAAAAATATCGATGAATGAAAGTTTTATGTAATAAAATTAATCTAATCCGTTTTCACGTATTTCTTTAATAATAAAAATTATTTTTGAATAAGACTTTATTTTTAATCATTGATTTAAATGACATATCAAAACAAGACTGTATTTTCATGCTTGTATGACATTTTATTATTGAAGAAATAAATGTAAATATTATTTGTTAATAAATTCAAATGTTATGAGTGAAAAATAATAATAAAAACACCAATTGTTTTTTGAAAAAAAAATGATTAATCATCTTTCACACCTTTTCTTACTTCTTTAATCTTAATAAAACTAAAAAGTTTTGTTAGACAGGTTTTACATTTTGTCCATTAAATTTTGAAAAGTTAATAAGCTTTCACTATGCTATAATAAAAGTTTAATGCATTTGAAAATAAGTTAGGGTATTACAAGTTGAGAAAATATTTTTCCAAGTTATTGGAAATTTTTTTGTTGCTAGTTGGAGTTCACTAATTTTTAGGTCAATCAAGTAGACGTGATATCTTTTCATCGTACTTTTTTTATCGGAAATATCAACCCTCACCTTACATTGTTGCTGAAAATAAACATGATTGATATACTCACTTGCCAATAATTTCACAGAGCTCATAAACATCATCGAAGAGTACTTCGTCATCCGCCATTGTGATTATTTAAAAACGGAAGGTGTATAATAACAAGGGTGAAAAATGTCCCTCTTAATTTTGAAAAAATCACGTGTCAAATGTATTATAGTTGCTAGCAACGTGACTGAAACGTCACTTGGACACTCGTTTCAACCTCACGACGTGACAACAGAGTCACTCACTCAATTCACGGCACCGGCACACCATTTAACCTCAGAAAAAAATCCTATAGTATTTAATGAACCACAACAAAACCGTTTAATACACTAGTTAACAACAAATTATAACAGATTCAATTCACTGAATTTAAATAGATAATCAAATTTACCGAATAAAATATCAAACATTTTGTACATCACACTGAAGAAAAGACATCCATGGCTTCTCCTCCCCCCGTCCACCTCCCACCCTGATGCTGTGGTGAATGATTAAAAGCTCGGAGCCATCGACAATGCAAGATGTCTCTTAAAATGCACAACACTAGTGCTGGCCATAGGGCCATACGCAATTTGAATATATATTAAGTGTGTTAGGTGCAGTGAACAGGAGTAATTCGTTGTTGAGGGCTAGAATAAGTCGCCCTACACGTTCTAAAGCAAGACTGGTTGCATAGAACGCCTTTAGCGACTGCGCCAAAAGCACCCGCCCTCCTCCACTGACCCCTGGGTAACCGTCTAGTTGATGCGGGCGTGGCGGCTTCATCTGTTGCCTTTATTTTAACATTTTCCACTTTCCATCACATTTTTTCTTTACTTATTTCTCTTTTTTTTTTCTTTATTAACCATTTTCAAAAGTTACTATCCATCAAAAATTACATTCCAGTCAGGAAATCATAGAATGAATGGATGGTAAGATAATTATATTTAGAGCTTTTGAAGTTCTTGGAAATTTCTTTTTATAGGGCAATCTGAGGGTGGAGGGTGGTAAGGTAACTCATCTAGTATAGTTCTCGCTTCATTCCCTTTCACTTTAATAAGCTCATATCGCTAGAAATAATCAATTACTTGATTATTTACGTAAATACTTAAAAGGTCGTCTTAAATTCCCGCGCGTTTTATTTTTCAATTTTTGACACCGTGACGCTAATGTCGAAGTTTTGGATAACCTAAAAATATTCTCTCGAAACCGTAAACAAAAATTTTGTGATCAAAATTAAATTTTATAATTAAAAGTTTTCATTGTTATTGATTAATCAATGAAATAATTAGAGTTTTAAAAATGTCACAAGCAAATACATCACGAATGTCTTCACGTAGATCAGTCGCCCCAACATCTACAATTGAAGACTTAAACCATTTAACGGCGAAAGTTGTCAAATATATATTAGAAAGAGGCCGCACAAAATATGCAATTCGAGCTAACAATATTAAAAGATATGTACTAAAAAATCGACAATCAGATTTTCGATCTGTTATGACAAGTGTTGCAGATAAACTTGACAGAATTTTTGGGTACGAATTAGTACACATCCAAGGAGCGCAATATTTTATCGTTAATAAGTTTCTTAATGAGGAGATTACACAGACAAATAATCAAGAATCTGCCGAACAAACTCTTTTATTCCTTACACTAAGTTTTATTTTTATGTGTTCTGAAGCTCAAGATAATGCTATTGTTAAAGAAGGTTTGTTCTGATACACATACTTTTGTACTTCCACTCGCTTTATTGGAATGAATTATTATTTCTATCTATTATTTTAATTGATTCTTAGAGTGTTTATTATGATTTAAGATTAATAACTGTAATTAATCTACGAATAACTCTTATTATTGTTATACTTAATCAATATCCATTTAATAAAATTTTTTTCGAATACTTATTTTTTTTTTCTTTTTAGATGATCTTTGGCGGTTCTTTTACAGTCTGAATATCCTGAATGAAAACCAGATTCATCCTTACTTTGGAAATGTCAAAGAGCTAATCGCAACGGTAATTATTTTTTATTGTAATTTGGAGAACTTTAAAATGAACATTAGCTTCCTTCTTGCATAAACATAAAAAATTCTGAATTTGTTGAAAACAAATATAAAGAAGTCGATTTTCAACAATCTTGAATTGATTGAAATGAAAATGATTAAATTTTAAAAAACAGTTGTTGTTCAAAAGAAATGTTGTTTCATTGATAAATATTCGTTGTAAACAACTTATTAACTTATTGTTTCAGGAATTCGTTAAACAATTGTATTTGAGTGTATTGAAATCAAGAGAAACGGATGTAATATGCTATCAATGGGGTCCTCGAGCAGAAAAAGAAATCAAACGGCGCTCTATTTTAGAGTTTGCATCAAAGGTAATTAAAAGAAATTAAAATCATAATTTGATTAATACATTTAAATAAATAAATGAGTGATAATTTTACTTAATAAAAAATTGAATCCATTAGATGTATTCTATATAATATTCTAAAGTTACATAATATATAACTTTTTTTAATTGAATAATTTTTTTCAGGTTTATCAAAACCGACCAATTGAAACTTGGAAGACACAGTACAAAGCGATGAAAATGTCTGAGCACAACATTTGACAAGAAGCTGATTAATCAATTTAATATTTTTATAGTAATAAATAGCAAAAGTTAGTTAAAGGCATATTAGATAATATTTTTATACTTCTAAACTAAGTATTATTGTTATCATACAGTCATTCTATTTACACGATGTCCCTATTGATACTATCGATAAATTAAATTCTGTTTTTGGCTAAATGAGGAGAGAAGCACCAAAGCTATCTATTGTATTCTTTGTAATTTTTAATTAATATAAAATTTTTAATTTTAATAAAAAACTAAATTTTGTTTACTATTATTACCAACAGTTAATACCTTGTGACTCAGACGGTCAAAACATTTTTTAATAGATTGATAAATAATTTTTCACAAAAAAATTCGCAATATCAATAAAACCGCATCAAACATAACATACAAGTTAAGATTAATTTTCAGTATGTCTCGTATCTTCAATTCTTTTACTGAAGTTATTGATAGAACGAATAATTTTGTAAAATGGCCTGAAAAAAAACATTGGAGGTTATTTACATTATGAAACCTGATATCAATACTACAAACTTGTAAGCAGGCTTTGGTTTTTGAAGATCGGTAGTGATTAATATTTCTTAATAATTTTGGTTAATCATTGTTTTGTAGTTTCAATCAGTCTATTCAATAAATTAATATTCCTACAAATATACATGACATCTGTTTTAGAATACTGAAAAAGAACCAAAAAATCATGATAATACAAATTTTCAAAGTAATAGCAAGTTTGTTAATGGGTGTATCTTGTATAGAGACTGTAAAAAGGTAAATATCTAAAAAAATAACATTTATTACCAAAATGTCTAAAAGCTATAGTTGTATATAGACATATATGTGTATTCATTGCAATTTTTTGTTTAAATAAACTGAATTTATTCATGAAATTACATTTCTAGACATGAAATGATTTTATTCGACTTTACAACAGCCAATAATGTCAATATGTGGAGTGAAATATCAGACACAGTCAGAGAAGTTGGAGCATCTAAAGCTTCTTTAGTTCTCCAAAAAACCAGAGTCTTCCAAAGAGGAGTATTTTTTACTCTTCTTAATCCTCAGCCTAATGGCGCATGTTTTGCTGGTGTACGTATGCCAGTTGAATGGAACTTATCTAATTACCAGAATATTCAAATCACTTGTAGAGGACAAGGAAAGAATGACCGTTATAAAATTGTTTTAAGGCACAGACATCAAAGTGCTAACAATGATACAGAATACGAACAAATTTTTGTGGTAAGTTATTTCCTTCAAAAATAAATTAATATTTTTATTTAATTTTTATTTATCTAACTGTGGATAGAGTTTTGAAATAAAAATTTAATCAGTAACATGTAGTTTCTGATTTTCATTGAATCAAGTTTATGTTATATAGTTAGAAAGCTGTATGTAACTTGATCCATTGACAATAATTTGAATATTTTATTTACTAGGCTCCAACTGAAGGATTTTCTACTGTAACCTTACCTATGTCAGAATTCAAAGCTTACTTTCGTGGTCAACCAGTACCAGACGCTGAGCCTTTAGATACAACTGCTATAACAATGTTTGGCCTCCAAGTTTTTGGTGGTGTTTACGAATCATATAAACAAAGTGGAGTCTCAGCTTTAGAGATAGAAAAAATAATTGCAACAGAATAAATAATAATTAATATACTGTTTACTACATTTTCATAAATATTTCGTAAAAATTACTTAAAATATAATAAATATAATCAATATTGTTTAATAATTCAAAATTTATTACATATTGTCTTTATTCTCTTGTGAGTGATATAAAAGATAGATGGAATGTGCTATAGAAATAGAACAAGCTTCTCGATTACACTATGAACTAGACGGTGACACGCGATCGTCACGAGAGCTATGATCTTTACTTCACGTACCATGACTGGTACCTGGAGTTAGTGTTAAATCAACATACAATACATTTTTTAGTCATCTACAAACAAAAAATGCCGTAGCGATCGATGTCATAAGCTAAGATTATTCAGTTTTTCAATATCACTCTTAAAGCAATGGTAGCCTCAGTAACTGGGTAAGTAATTTATTTTCTCTTATAATCATTAATGTTATCATTGATCATAGAAATGTTTCATCTCCAAAAATTAGCACTGCCCAGACACTTTTCGATTTTACACGAACGGATCAAGTAGGAAATTGGATTGAATGTTCAGATACTGTAAAAACAACTGGAATGTCAAAAGCTGTTTTAGTTATCCAAAAAACTCAACTTGTTCAACGAGCTATCCTGTTCACTCTTTTTAATCCACGACCAAATAAAACTGGATATGCTGCTATCAGATGTGATACGAATTTCAATTTATCAGATTACCACTACATAACTATTAAATGTCGAGGTCAAGGAATTAATTTTAAATATAAAATGGTATTGAGGCACAAAGGTCTTGATAAGAATGCTGTAGTATTTGGTCAAGTGTTTACGGTAACTAAAATATCTTTTAAAAAAGGTCTAAGAGTTTTAGCGATTTAGGTGGTCTTAATAAAATTAAATTTTAGGCACCAGAAAATGAATTCATTACAATAAAATTACCCATAGCAGATTTCAAACCTTATTATAGAGGACAAGAGCTACCAATAGAACAGAATCCTTTAGATTTAACGTCGATTACGAATCTAGGATTAAAAGTTGATATGAGTCCTTATTTGCCAGATAATCAAGCTGGCGTTGCCGCTCTGGAAATTGACTGGATCAAAGCAACAAAATGACAAATCAAATTTATATTTTATATTTATAAAATAAAAATCAAAACAATAAATATATTTCAATAAATAAATACTTTTAATGACTCGATAATTGTATAGAATTTTTTTCTTTTGTTTAAATTTAAAATTATATAATAAAATGTATTGTAATAAAGAAAACAAATTTTCAGTATTAAAAATATCAATTTCAAATTGTATTCCTGTAGTTGAATAAAACCCTTTAATAGCTTCTATAAGTTTCCATCATGGCTCCTGTGGATAACTCACCTTCAAGTAACATGAGTGGTTTTGAATTAATTTGTACTCTTCAATCGAACGATACTATTCCGGTTCATAAATACAAATCAACAAAAACAGGAATTACTCTTTTTATCGCTGAAGTTAATGGTCCAGTTGTTGGAGGAAACTTTTGTATAGGTATTTAAAGTTTTCCTAACCTCCAAACCGACGTTGATTTTTCAAAATTAAATTAAAACAAAATATTAAAAATATTTTTACACTATTTCAGCTACTCAAGCTTTTGATGATGATGGATTACCGCATACCCTGGAACATCTGATATTCTTGGGAAGTGAAGATTATCCTTATAAAGGTGTTCTTGACCTCTTAGGGAACAGATGCCTCGCTTCTGGTACTAATGCTTGGACCGACAAAGATCATACTAATTATACGATGACCACTGTTGGCAGTGAAGGCTTTTTGTCATTGATGCCAATTTATCTAGATCATATTCTTTTTCCTAATCTTACGGTATTTATTAATTTCTATTTAAATAGAATGTTATTTTTTTATCCTACAAATTCTTTATTTGATATATTCTTTTTAGGATCATGCATTTCTTACTGAAGTTCATTACATATCAGGTGAAGGAGAAGATAGAGGAGTTGTTTACTGTGAAATGCAAAGCAAAGAAAATACTGGAGAAAGTTTGTCTATAAATGAATTAACTAGACTTATTTATCCAGGAAGATGTGGCTATAAATCTGTAACTGGAGGTGAACAAATTTATTCATGACTTTTTTTCTCATTGGAAAAAAATAATGCTGTTATTGTAAGTTGTATAATTATTTAAATTATTCTTTAATTAAGGTATCATGAAGAATCTCCGAGAAAGTACAACGAATGAAAAAGTACGAGCTTATCATAGAGAATATTACAGACCTGAAAATTTAACCATAATCATCACAGGTCAGATACAGCATGCAGAAGTATTCAAAGCACTACGTCCAATAGAAGAGAAAATTTTGTCTAAAGGTAGTCGCGGGCCTTTTGAACGTCCTTGGCAAGACCCAGTTCCTCCGTTCACAGAAAGTGTAGTTAAAAACATTTATTATCCATGTGATGATGAAGACAATGGTATTGTTAGTGTTGGATGGCGGGGTCCATCCGGAGTGAGTGAAATTTACGATTTCACAGGATGTTCATTGCTTCTGAAATATCTCACAGATAATTCCGTGAGTCCATTACAAAAAGAATTCGTTGAAGTTGATGATCCCTATGCATGTAATGTTGAGTTATATTTAGTAGAAAATTCAATATCAATGCTGTATCTCATGTTTAGCGGTGTTCCTATTCCGAAAATACCTTTAGCCCAAGATCACTTGAAAAAAGTTTTAGCTGATGTGTATAATAATCCTAAAGGTATTGATATGAAGAGAATGGCAACCGTAATTCATAGACATGAATTAGAGACTTTAAGTAATCTAGAGAACATGCCACATGACACAATGACCTTAGCGATAATTGGCGATGTTCTTTATGGACAAACTATTGATGATTTAAAGCAACGACTTAATACTATTGATCATCTTAAAAAATTAGCACAAGAGCCAGAATCTTATTGGTTAAATCTACTGAAAAAGTATCTAATTGATGCACCAATGGCAGTTATAAATGCAACACCAAGTATTTCAACGCAAAAAGAAATGGAAGAGTTTGAAAAAAAGCGCATCGCTGAAAGAATTAAAGAACTTGGAAAAGAAGGCTTAGCTAAAAAAGAACAAGAATACCAAGAAGCTGTAAAACACAATGAAGCTCCTATTCCAGATGAAATTTTAACTCGTGTTCCGGTTCCAGGAACAGATTCAATCAACTTTCATCACGTAAAGAGCTACTCTACTGGAACTGAAGATCAACATCCTCGATTCGACACTAACAAGATTCCTATTTACACTTGTTTAGATCATGTAAATACGAACTTTACGTACATGTTTATTATTATGGATACTGCTGGTTTAGAAAGAAAAGCAAGGCCCTATTTGCCTTTGATTTTAGAAGCTATTGGAGAATGTCCAATAGATAGAAATGGAGAATTGATTCCTTATGAAGATGTCGTTGCAGAAATTGAAGCTGATACTATTGCTATTAGCACTAGACTAGGTTTTGATAGCAGATCAAGATTCTCTTGTGGAACGTATAGTCACAGTGCCAATTTAATTCTTCAGGTGTGTTTTTATTTTTATTTTTTAATTTACTGAAATTTTTCTAAATATTTTATTATCACAGATAGAGATATCAAAATATAATAAAGGTATTCAATGGATTAAAGAATTATTATACAATACGAAATTCACTCCCGAGAGATTGAAAATTATTGCTGCAAAATTATTGAATGAAATCACTCAGTATAAAAAAGCAGGCCACAAAGTCACTGGTGATTTAATGAAAGGCATGATTTACGATAAAGGTGGGTAATTAGTTACACATTTAAGACAACATTACTCGAAGAAACACGAATCATAAAATGTTAATTTCAGACAGTAATCATTTCAATGTTAGTATGTTGCGTCAACAACAATTCTTGACCAAGCTTGTAGAAAGATTGAATAAAAATGAAGGTCAAAAGGAAGTCATCTCTGAAATCGAAGATATCATGAAGATTTTGACTTTGAAACGGAACCTGACGCTGTTTCTTGCTTCTAATGTTGATAAACTAAGTTCACAAATATCAGAACTTTATTCACCATGGGATATCATCAAATTTGATGATTCTGAAAAATCTAAGTATGTAAAAATTAATTGTCAAATTAAAAAGTCATAAATTATTAATGCAAATGAATTCTAAAATTGACGATGATTCTTAGGCTAAACGTGACTCCTGATTGGAAATTAATAAAAGCGATAAATGAAATACCAATCGAAGGTTGTGTATTAAGTCTGGGTAGTGCTGAATCTTCTTTTCTTTCACATGTTGGACCTTGTCTAAGTGATTTCGAGAGTTCTGACTTAGCACCATTACTTGTTTGTCTTCAGTATCTTACTCAAGTGGAGGTACTTAATCTCATCTTACAAGAGTTGAAAGGTATTTCGGTCTATTGACACGATGCATTCGTTTTTCAGGGGCCAATGTGGAGACAAGTTCGAGGACAAGGTCTCGCCTATGGTTGCAACATCTATGCAAAACCAAATGAAGGTCTTTTATACTTGACCTTCTACGCGTCTACAGACATAGTCGCTGCATATAAAGAAACAAAAACTATCATAGTAAGTTTTTTATCGAATACATTATCGTAATATAATATGTAATATATTTAATGAGTTCAATGCTTTATTAAATTAGAACAATCTCATCACCAACAATTCATGGGAACAACTCTTGTATGACTCTGCTAAGTCATCACTTATCTTTGAAATTGTGAAAAGAGAAAAAAGCATTGGAGATACTGTCTCTCAGTCAATTTTGTCATATTTTAAAAATGTATCTCATGATTATAATCGATCCATGGTCCAGAAAATTTATACAGTTGATATTAAGGATTTGAATGATGTTGCTAATAAGTATATTAAGCCACTTTTCGATCCAAAAGTAGGTAAAACATCGATAGTTTGTCACCCATCAAAGGTTTCGGAAGTCGCTGAAGGTTTTAAAAAGTATGTATTATCTAGATGAGAGTATGATCTTATGTAAGATGACCTCCATTAATATTACTAATGTCGAAATTATTTTCAGCTTCAGTAAAAATTTGAAGGTATTCACGTCACTTGAAAGCAGTTACCTAAATGAATGGTAATTTATTGACAGCTTTTATTAATTAATTGCTTGCCTATATTGAAAATGAAAGCAAAAAAATAAAAAGAAGAAAAGTACAAATTTTGCATTTAGATGAAAACGGATTTATTTACAGTGATCATTCATTCCAAGTGAATAAATACCTTGACTATTCAAAAATTGTACATTTGTATTTTTCGTATTTTTGATTTTTATTACTTAACAGCAGCCATATTACTGAATAAACAATTATAAAGATTAATTGTCTCTATTTATTATAGCATATTAACATTTTTAACGAGCAGCCCATATAAAATCAGTGAATTATGTCTAAAATTCGATTTCGTTATTAAATCTATTTTTGCATCTGAACGAGACAAAAATTCAAAAAACGAAACTGGTATCTTTTCGTTAATGGTAATCTGTGGATGACAAATCAATAAAAATTCAAATTTAGACAAAAATAAAAATAAATTAAATAATCTCTTGAATTTTTAAATAAAAATTAAATTCGCAACTTTTACATTCTACAAAATAAAATAGTAAAGTTTGGGTTCGCTCAACTTCAAGCAGTTAGCCTTGATATTCCTCGAGCGTGGAACCCGTCAGTAGTCCAATACTTTCAGCTTTCCACGTGCGTTGGTCATACTAGATATTTCGATTCCTTTTCCGTACTAATTACCTGTAAGTTCTGTAACCAATATTGAACCATTTTTTCTACTGATTATTCTTTCATCATTAAAGAATTTAATTAAAATTTTTCAAATAATTAAAATAAAAAAAAAATTCTCCTTGACAATGGTCATCGTGATAACGTACTCTAGAACTTCAATAATCGTTAACATTTTTTAAGTCACCAGTGTTTCAGAAATAGTAGACCTTTGAACCTGGATAAATTAAAATTGAATGACTGAATATACGATTTTAAGGTGGACAGCCGTGAAGGAAATCAAAAAAGTCATGAATAAGAAGACTGGTAAAGTTTCTATGTTTATCAGGATTCCTATGAATTTTTTGCTTAAAGACAAAAAAAAAGAATAAATAAAGGATTCAATCTATTATTGATCAACATAAAGATCAAGAAAGAAGAAGTCAACAAGGATAGGATGAGGAAAGTATAATATAATAAAAAAAGGATTCTTACAAGAATGTGAAAGATCATTGATTCGGTTGTAGCAGCAAAATAATTGATGATACTTTTATCAGTAAAATTCACTGAATCGAATATTTACTGTCTATTGGATTGCCTTTGTGTAATGGCTTTTGTTACGTGACTAACATAAATGTTCTGGAGTATTCAATACTACAAAGCAAGAATTTACATTCAGAATACTTTAAATTAAAGAAAATGACTAAAGATAATTATTGACCAAAGTGTTAATGCAAATGCAAATAATAATTCATTTTCCATTTGGCATTTAGCTGAAAGATGTTTTACAATCTCAAACAAAATACCTTTCACTCTAGCAGCTGATTGGTAATTTTTTTAGACAAATTTATAAGTAGGACGTTGTCGTAAATTAATAAATGAAATTTTATTGTGAATATATCTAAAAAAATAATAACACAAAGGAAAGAATGAAGAATTAATTGTAAATGTTATACCATGAGATACAGAGAGAAGGTAACGATAATACCGTTAATAATTCATAAAAAGACTTGACGTGCCGGAGAAAATTGCATGTCTTAAGATAAGTACAGAATGTCTCGTTCTAGAACACAACTGTGATGCGTTTTCTAATTTAGTTTTAACTTTGAATCAAGTTTTACATTGCTCCAGTTATTTTTATTCTCTTAACGGAAATATATAGAAGAAGATATTTATGAATGAACCACCAGAAAATTATATCTTTGCACTTTTTCTCAAATACACCGCAGCCTTACAAATTACATTATGATATAAATTAGTATTTATTCAATGAAATGAATTTAATGATGAATATTTTCTCTTTCTTTTTTCCAGTTATTTCTTTTTCTACTTCTCAGGATAAACCATGATATAATCTATTGTAACCAAGCTGATGATTAAATGAATTATCATGACTAGACCTAGAATTAGAGATTCTTTTAAGTAAAATTATCACCAATGGAAATTATGCAGGAGGTCATTGATAGGTCAAGCATTATTATTCTTTTTTGAGTGACAAAGGTACACACCATTTATTGCACAACTCACTGGACATTAAGAAATAGATCGTCGTGACGATCATAAAAAGTGAATAATTCATTTAAATAAGGAATCATTGCAACAGAAAATAGTAAGAATAGTGCAAGCAACTATTTTATCCAGGGAAAATTAATTTTATATTATTAATCATCTTGATAGGGAATGAATGAACTGCAGTTATTTCAAATACAAGGTCGATGCCTAGAATTATTGTTAGCTCGTATGCAATAGTTTTATTTAAAATTATAATATTTTTAATATTATGTAATTTTTGTTTATTTTAAAAACATAGGTACGTACTGTGGTTCAAGTATATGGAAACATTGGAAAGTATTTATAAATTAATTCATTACTCCAAAAAGGTACGTTGAATCGAATATTTTAAAAGTCATTTTGTTCTGAAATTAATTTAATAGAATTCAAGATTGAAAATTATTTAAATGTTTGCTATAGTGAATCATCGGTCCGTAAATATTTTAATTTGACTTCTCTGTACTCAATACAGTGATTGGTGTAGTTTTTTTGTTGATTAAAAAACCTTTCAGAGTTCAGATTTATCAAGAACTGTTTTAGGCAGTAATGAAAGTAGATTATTAAAATGTGAAACAATTTTTTTTTTGTCGTAAGAACAAGACTTTTTTTTATTGTTTTATGAAAGATTTTTTATGAATAAATTAATCGGTAAATTGAATAAACTTGATAGGCTTATCACGTGAAAGACGTGTTGTATCATGTACTTATAATTGAAAAAGAATGTCAGCAACATAATGTCTTTTTCAATATGTTTGCTAACTTTATTAAATACATAATTCCAATTGTTACATAAAAATTAGTCGCAATAATATTTTTCCTTGCATTGTTTTTAAAAATCTTTCTCCTTCTTTAGTTTCTTCAGTTTTCTTATTAATTTCCAATAATAATTATCTACAGAAATTAACTATCAAATAGAACGAAAAATCGGTTATTAATTTTTTCTTGATTTATATCTATTACCTCTTTTGGGATAGAAACATAAAAAGATGTTTATTTGAAATACTTTCAATTAATTTTAAAAATTATATTGATTATTAAATAATTTGTTAAAACAATTCTCATCGATGATTTTGCGTTTGAGGCAATATTTTATAAATTTTTATTTGCAAAAATAATCAGCAAACCAGAAAGAGTAAAGTAAGCTAGACGAAAGAGAGGTACACAGTTAGCACAAGTGGAGGGAGTCTACTTAGGTTCGTAAGTTGAAGTCGCGCGCTTGATGAAGAGGTTCAGTCTTCAGCGAAGACCCTTTCTCGTCGCTATCACGTTAACGTTCGAGCTTGAGTACCAGAAGAATACTAAAAAATCTACATAGTGCATACCACCTGTCTCTAAAATTTAAAAATATCTGTGAAGTGATTTAATATTTTTTTTACTAACTATTTTTATATTTAAAAAAAAAAAAAAAAGGATAATCATCAGTGAAGTGTCAATGGAACATTTATCATATGCGAAGCGGAATTACATACTATTTGGAATTTTAATTAAATTAAAATATAATTAACCAGTGATTTCTTGATTCTGGATTGAATTTATTTCTCAATAATGTCGGACACTATAGCAAAAGTGCAGCTAAATAATGTCATCAATGGTCACAACGCAAAAAATCACGTTGCAAAAGAACGAGTGAGTTGAAAAAAAAAATATTCCTTACATCTCTTAATTATAAGTGTGTTTTTCCTTTCTCACCGTGAAAAAAGCTTGTTAGACACGCAACTAGAAAAGGACAATAGTCAGGCATTGAATGGAAAAAAATGTTGGACGTCAATTGAAATAATAGCTTCAATTTTGAAAGCACTGCTGAAGTAATAATAATAAAAAAAAAAAAAAAAATAATTACTCATTAGAAATAGTTTTTGATGACTTCTATTATCTCTTGGCTTCATAAATAACAAAAGAGCGGTGATTGCATCCCAATAATCCTTCTTCTATAACACAAATGACTTTCCGTTCTGAAGGACATTAGAAAAGCCTCACATACGGTGAAAGCGCACAAGATCTCTCATTATAATTGTTTTTGTCATATTTGCACACGGCGGGAAAAGCATCATTTGAATTTGTATCTTAGTAGGCCACAATTATTGTTTTCTTAGTTATCTACTTGATCCCATTTATTATCCTTCCCCAATTAATTATACCCACGGAATTTAATTGTAGCCTATTATAATAGATATATTCGTAGCAAAATGAACTCACTTAATTTTACAAAGGATCCATTGGAAAACTCATAAATAATTTATCACATTGAACGCAGGATTTAAATACAACGGGCGTTGAAGGCTTTTGATTTGTAAGCTTCTAATAATTTCCACAGAACAGCGTGGTAGTCGTGATATTATTGATTTAAGTTTAGGAGCGCGTCAACGAGAAATCAACAACGACCGCATGGTTATCATTATTTTGTTGTTAAACTGTTCAATTTAGTGGGTTATTAGAATAAAAAATATTCATTCCGACCCTGAGATTTTTGTCGAAAATAATAAATTCATCTTTCATCACTTATGTTGCATAAATTCAATGGATACATAGCTGTTTATTTTTCTCAGTATGCTTTCATACGTTTCAATGTTAGTGGTTTTAAGAATTCCTAAACAAGCAAGTGGTAACCTATTTCATAAAATATCTTCACAATTTTCGACGTTAATTTTTTTAAGAGACTCTTGCGGAGATGCATTCTTATTACGTTCAAGTCGACTAGTCGTCACGGCATCTTTCACCGAGTAAGTACCTACGTACAAGTCCCCTTTTACTACTAGAAATAAGTAAAGGCTTATTTCAGGATCCCGTATCACGTCTAGTGTTTCTTGCTATCACACAGCACACTTAACTTTTTCCACTTCAACTATATATACCGGCGATTGCTGTTGGACTTTTTTGTGGTATTTTATGACAGAAATGATTAAGTTGATGATGATAAAATATGGGAAATATTTAAATTAGCTGTCGACAAATTGGATAATTGTAAGGAATGAATTACAATTGTCATTATTCATAATAAAAGATTTTTTAGAATTTTTGTTCGAGAAATTAGCAGGTAATTAAGACCAGGATTTTATGTCATTTATTTTTAGAATTCATTTTTTTTTATCTAAAGGTCAGAATTGAATATAATGTGGTCTGTTTATTTTTATTTCCTGTTAATCCAATCATAAAATTTTGATTAATAGAATACTTACGTAACATTTCGAGAATTTTTTTATAATATTCAGCTGACACATTTCATAACAAATTGATCAAAATTTTTTTCTCTAATAGATTTTGAATTAATAATTTTTTGCAGAAAAGTAAATGTTTCTGTTTAACTTAGAGTTTAAATTCACACATTTTTTGCTCCATTTTTTAATAACAAAAAAAACAATAATGTTTTATTGATAATTTTTGTTGTTAGTTAAATTTTATTTCTTGTATGTTACTTGAAATGTCATTTAATTTTTTTTTTGCATACATTACTAATTCGATAGTAGATAAAATAGTTGCTCCAATTCTGGGAATCAAATATTAATGCTGTATTACTACTTTAGCGGTGTTAAAATTCCAATTATTTTACGTTCGTTCAACTATAATCGATAAAATATTGATGAATGACTTTGGTATTCGATAAATATATATGTGAGCTATTAGAGATAAAAAAAAACTTAAAGCCTCATTTTATTGACGACCTACCCGAACTCGAAATAATGTGCTTTAGGGCTTGGTGACTCCACAAACCAAATTATTATAAAAAAATTTAGTGGGTGATTTATTTTTATAGTCATTTAAAATTTTTTTTATCTAGCTTCTATCCTTATTTATTGTTATTTGAACCTATAAATACAGGATTTATTATTATCAGAAATAATGAAAAAAAAACATTCGAAATTATGTTTTTTATTAAATTTAGAAAAGTTGACCTCATTAAATCCCCATTCCACTGTTTTTTTTAGTAATAAGATTTTTGCCCTTCAAGACTTTAGATAGTTCAATCTCCTTAACTTGGAAAAAAGAAAAATAAAATATGCATGAATTAATTGAGATGAATACACTGAACCTCAATGGCCCTTCGGTTATATTAGATATTTCATAACATTAACTAAACAACTTACGTGTGGTATACGTATGCAAGAAGGCGCTCACTTTCTCTTTGAATATACTCGCGTGCAGTTGGTTCTCTGCACTGAGCATGCCGGTGTCAATGTACGACCTGTCTACATTATATTGCAAACATAAACGAGATAAAAGTCTACAAAATGTTTAAACTTCAGTTTTCACTTTGATTGGATGTTATTATGATTTATTACGTGCACAACTTTTTCTTCGACTGAAAGGATGGTTATGTATTTATGTAGTCTAGAAAACTTTAAATCATATTTTTAGATCGGAAGTAGTTTGGCTACAGGTATTTTTTTTTTTTACTTCAAGCATCGTTAAGAAAAAAAATTGGTATTATTAAAGTGATTAGTGTTAATAAGTATTAACAAATTACTTACCAACTAAATTATAGTTTTTTATTTTTATTTATTTTTTTTTGTATAAAATTACACAATAATTGATTGATAATTTTATTTAAATAAATGAAATGAATAGAAATAAATTCTTAAGCTCATTAAGTATTTTTTTATTCTTTATTTATTTAAAAATAAATTCGATAATGAATGTTATTATTTTGGTATTCATAAAATAAGCTCTAATTGCATTTCATAATAAAATCAGTATAATTACAGTGATGATGATAGAATAAAATATCGATAAAATTGGGAATACAATTTATATAATTAATCAAAATCAACCTATCTTCTTTTTCTGAAAAAAAAAAATAAATTCACAAAAAAATAAACAATCTCATTAAAATCTAATTTTTTTCTCAATCACAACAAGGAAAAGTATTCATAATTTTTTCTGTAAAATTCACAACTTCATTATTTATTCAGTGTGAAAAAATCAATATTAAAAACTGTAATTTACAAGCTGTCTTTCATTTCTGATGACTGATATTTAAGTCATGTTGTGTGTGCAGAAAAGATAACAATTAAGTTATAAATATTTATGTTAATGAAATGAATAAATCATATATTAGAATAACTCAGTAAAAAATTGAATACAATATCTAAAATATACTTTATCGATATTTATTATACCTTGTTACCAATGGAAACTTTATACTTTGATCTCAAGTGTAATAAGATTGAAAAATAGGAAATACTGAGTTTATGAAACACCTTCAGCACGCAACTCTTGTTACTATCAATAACCATTTCAATTTTAACTAATCATTAATGTAGAATCGTGCAGAAAAATTTTTATTTAACTCTTTAACTTCTATAATCTACTGTCATTCGTTGCAATAAAAAAAACTAGAAACCGAGACTTGAGAATTTCTATAATTGATCCAAATAAATATAGAACTATTCCGTCATCAAACTAATTAACTCCAAACGAAGAATAAAAATAAATAGTAATCATATTTAGATGCTGAGAAAAAGAATAAAATAGATTACAGCCTTGACCTTAAAATGCACTAAGAAATGAATGAAATAGAATTCAAGACTGTTTTGGTTTAAATTGACGTCTTCAAACATAAAAAAATGTAAATAGAATTCTTTTAAACGCCAGATTAGTCTGTAAATGCATTTAATTTTTTAACGATCAATTTTTTGGATTCAAAATAAATTTGTACCGATTGAAACAAAGTCCATGTCTTGAAAATGAAGGTGCATTTAAAAATGCTTATTTACACATTTTTTTGAGAGGTAGCCTTCAAATAAAAACAAATAACCAAAGTTTACTAATAATTTCATGAATGTGAATAAAAATTAAAATGATAAAAATAATAATAATAATTTATTATAATTAATGAGTTAATTGAAGTTTCTATTGACTAATAAGGTTGTAATTATTATTTTTAATTAATTATTTACATTTAAATATAATTGTATTAACAACTTTAATTGATGAACTGAACATAAATTTAAAATACGAATGATTCCTTCTAATAGTGAACTAAATAATTTCAGCATTAACATTGTTATGCATATGGAGTGCCACAATTTCATTTCACATTAATTATGCAATTAATTTATTTAATTGAACGAGTTATTCACTCTGAAATAATTTTGTGCTTATATACAAAAAGAGAAACTGTTTTCTAAAAAAAAAAATCACACAATATTGTATTTTAATAATTGTTAAAAAGTAAGTATTAATAGTACAGAGAGTTACTTGTTTTAAAAAAAAAAGGAAAGTTTTAACTCGTTTATTATTATGTACTCAATTTTGCAAAATTTTATTTTAAAAATAAAATATTTTTAGGTCATTTTAATCTAACCCACAATATATAAACGTAATGCTTATATAATATGCTTATAAACATTATGGCTATCCCCAATAAAATTTATCTTCGATTACATTCAATTTAAAACCTCGTAATTACCAACACATACGTTGTTTAAAATGACTTTGAACATTTTATTATAGAGTACTTTTAAAATTATTTTTATGTTTATAAACAAACATTTAAGATTGAATAAATTAAAAATTTTAATTGACTATAAAAATATTAAAACAGCAGAGAATTAATAAATTCTCCAAAAAGAATCATATTTTTTTAAACAATTGTTGTATACTGTGTGATATAAATTTTTCCTTAATACCAATAGTCAACATCGTAAAGTATTTGCTGTTTTAACTTAATAACATCATTTAAAAAATTTTACACTAATAACATTTAGTGAAAAATAATCAGCTAAATAAAAGCCAGTGACGTAATTTAACGAGCGTAGATAAACCAAACTCTGAATGACAAACGGAAAAAAATAAAAATTTCTGTTGTAACGACAAATATAAAATATTTAACTGAGTGGAAATGCAGGTTACTGCAGCTTATTAAGCAGTTGAGTACATACACACGCGTTTGTTTGAATGTAGCCGAAAGATAATTCGTTCTCTTTCTATTCCACGTGTTTTCAGGACGTCGAGAGGGGAGAAACAGAGTCGAAGGGGGACGACAATTCCCGCACATCGACGAGGGCCTCAGTGGACGTGGGAGCGGCGACGTTACCTGGTGCCACAAGTGGATCTTACGCGAGTTCAAGCACTCGGTGGCGCGCAGTCGCCAGCACGCTTCGACGTTTTGTATTGGTGATGATGTTATTCGGGGTCCTTGGGGCCCTCGTGGCCCTTGTTTGGATCTACATGGGACCAATATTTGTTCTTCAACTAGCTTTAGTTGTCATTACCGCTTACTTTGTGTCTGGTGGACGTCTTCGATGGTTTTACATCGCTGCCAGAACTGCACCAAGAGATCTCAAGTAAGTTAAACATTTCTATATACTTTTTAGCTTTCATACATTCGCCTACACTATCAAAACTCAACAATTATGCTTACGTGTTATAGTGGTTTTCGATAACAACCATTCTGCTTGATAGTTACAATCGTTTGCTTATCCTAGTTTTTCATCATTTTATTCGTACATTCAATTTTTGAATTTCAAGTTCAACTCTCTAAGCGGATGCATTCAGTATCAAGTACAGAGAAAGTGCGATTGAGGATTATAACGGGATGTCTGTAGTCTACTTCTTTGCAGAATTCAATCTTATGACTGTTTGACTTTTCATCAAAGGTTCATGACATAAAATTTTATGATATTCATGCTAATGGAATTTATTAAGGAACAAATAGTGAACGTCTTTATTATTTGGTTGGATAAATTTTTTTTCTATGCCTTGCTAGACCTTTGTACATTTCATAAAATGTGATATAGCATCAATTTTAATAAAAAGAAATAAATAAATGAACATATTTAAAAAATATGAGATAAAATTAGCAATCGGATGATTCAAACATCGATTAACCCTACTAAGGTCACATGGGTTTTCATTTGCATTCCTGCATGTTGAATTAATATGCGCGCGAATACTGAGAGTTAATAGAATCCAGACGTAAACAGTTTTAAACATTTAAAAAAATCTTGTTCAATTATATTTATTGCTTTTTTATTTTATTTGTAGTTCAATGTCAGCGTTGGTATTATATTAAAAATAAAATATTAACGATATGTTGTGTTATTGAACATTTATTCTATTTAGTTGTACTATTATCCTGTATTAGATCATTAATTATTATAATTTATGATCACTGCCTGGAATTATGAAAACAAATTAACAGTAAATAATAACTTGTTCATTTTCTTGATGTCGACCAGTTTTTAATTATATAATGCTATCTTTATGTTCTGATACACTTGAACCAATGCAAAAAAAGTAATCGTTTAAATTTTAAAAAACTATTGAATATTGTCGTTAATTTAATAAATTAGTTTCAGGAAAAAGAAAATTTATTTGCAAAAAAATTTTTTTCCTTCAATTACTTCAAGTAATATTCTATTTGTATTTACAAACTAATCTAGTTTGAATCTTTTTTTTTATTTAGAATATTTTATCAATGATTTTGAATAAATTAATAATCAATTTTGCATAAATCTTTATTAAAAAAATCATCTTCATATTTTTTATTGGATAATTCTGGCAATTCATCATTTTTCATTAATTATCAGCAAGTGCACTTTACTTTCTTCCAATGAATCATTTATTAAAATCTGATTAAAATCATCATCTATAAGTAACTATTTGTCTTAGAGTATTCAATCAAACTTGAAATACTTTAGTGCATGATAAACTCGTTCTTCTTCTACAAAAATGCACATATTATTGGCGAACCATTGTGGCCATGCAGGTTTATCTCGAAGAAGTTAGAAAAGATTATGAAACAAGTCTTGTTATGCAACCAGAGATGAAGAGCTCCTGAGTTAATTTTATAAAAATATATGTTTATAGATTTTAAGTTGATTCGTGTAATGAAATAGATAACATGATAAATTTAATGTTTTCCAGAGCTCTCACGCGATTCATTCGACTGATGTGGTCGATGAGATGCTACGAACGAAAGAATCAAAGTGTAGCTGATGTTTTTAAACAACATGTAAATAAACATCCAAATAAAGTTTGTTTCATTTATGAAGATCAAGAATGGACCTTTCAGCAGGTAATGAAACGCTAATAAATTCTATAAATGATAAATTAATTAAATGCAACTGAAATGGTGTCGATTAAAGAACTATTACGGTTAATTGAGTCATATCAATTGTGATGATGCGAGTATGAACATTTCTACATATACGTACATTTTATTAATATTTTTATTTAATAAAAAATTCCATTTGTTAATTAAGCTTTCTTTAAACTGATTAGATTATTTTAGTCATTTGTTTCTACATCTTCTAGCAATTTTTAAGTTTTTTGTTTATCTAGATTTATTGAGAATTATCCAGTTCAAATAATAATATTAACCAAGCAAATATTGGATTCTTCAAGCATATGTAATCATTCACACAACTTCTCTTAAGAATGATTAGTTGAATAATCTCTGACTTACATAGTTTAATTTTATAGTTATAACAAGACAAAAATTATAGCTTTAGGTACAGTAACTGAAAAAGTGTAATAGAATATAGCATGGAAATTAAAAGAATGATATATTTATTTTTAAAATCGTTCATAAAATAAAATAGAATTTGCCACGGTTCTGAATAAAATAAAAAAAAAACGGTTCTTCAATTATTTTCAGTAAAATACTCTTATTTTTTGTTGACTCTATAAAGTTCAAATATTTATTCATGCCTGTATTTTATTTTAGTACAAATTGAAAAAGTAAATGTAACTTTATTCAATGAAAAAAATTTAAACGTCATACTTTAACTCCAACGACTCAATCAAACGTACAAAATATTTTATCAATTTTATCAAAAATAGCAATAAGATAATTCTCTTATAAAAACTTTTTTACTAGTTATTGTTAATAAGATTCGATTATTTTATTAGTTGATAGCAATAAAAATAACAATGATTACTCATTGATTTGTATTTATTTTAGGTTGAAGACTTTAGCAATAAAATTGCCAACGTATTTAAAAATCATGGCTTTAGAAAAGGTGATGCTATTGCAATACTAATAGAAAACCGACCAGAATATATTGCTATCTGGCTGGGGCTCAGTAAACTTGGTGTAAAGTCCGCATTAATAAACACCAATTTAAAAAAAAATTCATTACTTCACAGTATTAATATTTCCCGAAGTCAAGCTCTCATCTTTTCTGGAGAATTAGAAGAAGGTAATGACAACGATTTTCATCTTTTTTACATTAAATTTTTAAAGAAAATATTATTTTATAATATTTTATATTTTTTATAGCTGTCAAAGGAATTGCATCCTCTCTTGATGCAAAATTGGCTTTGTATAAGTACGACACTAGTCCAGGAGCCACATCAGCAGGCCTAAAAGAGAAAGACTTAGCAGCACTTGTTGCTGATGCTTCACCAACGCTCTCAACTCTTCAAGAGAAAGGAAACTATGGAGATGAGCTAATGTATATCTATACGAGTGGAACAACTGGTTTACCAAAAGCTGCAGTCATTACTAATTATAAGTAAGCCAAGATTCATCAAACTAATATTTTTAATTAGGATAAATATATGAAATATTCATGAAAAAGCTTTAAATGAAGACCAACAATAGAAAAACCAAGGTAAACCATTGTTGGTTCTCTTTTAAATGATGTTGTCAAGTATTCTGTTATTTCAATTTAAACAAAAAGAGTCATTTCCATAGCTAGTGGTTTTAAGTAAAATTTTTCTTGATACCTTGAGGCATTCTAGATGTTTCTCAAGGCTTTACTTAACAACTCTTCCACGTTAATATTAATAACATTAATTATCAATGTATCTTTCTCTTTTCACAGATTTATGTTCATTGCCAATGGTATTTATTATCTCGCACCTTTCCGAACATCTGACAGATTTTACACTCCTTTACCTCTATATCATACGGCTGGAGGTGTCATGTCCGCTGGACAAGTGTTACTTCACGGTGTAACTTGTGTAATTAGGAAAAAATTCTCAGCCAGTGCTTACTTTGATGATTGTAGAAAATACAATTGTACGGTAAGAAAGCCAAAAACAGTAAAAAATATTGAAAAAGTACTGAGTCATGAATTAAATGAGATGACGATAAATTAGTCACAAACGAAATATAAAAAATTTCCATTCAGGAAATCCTTCGTATAACGTCACCACTGTGTCTAATTTTCATTGACATATAGTCTACAAATCTATGCTCAGAGAATAGTGATGACCTTCTCGTTTTAGGTTGCTCAGTATATAGGTGAAATGTGCCGCTACATTCTCGCCGTACCTCCAAAACCTAACGACAAGCAACATAATATTCGAGTTATTTTTGGAAATGGTTTGAGACCACAAATCTGGAGAGAATTCGTCGATCGTTTTAAAATCAGTCAAGTAGCTGAATTTTATGGAGCTACTGAAGGCAATGCTAATATAGGTAAAATATCAATTGCATTATTTGTTACAAAGTAAATAAAAAATAAAAAAAATAAAAGTTTTCTGTTAATTAACAATTAAATATTCCAGTTAATGTTGATAATACTGTTGGAGCTATTGGTTTCGTTTCAAGAATTATTCCTGCAGTTTATCCTATCTCTATAATCAAAGTTGATGCTGATGGTGAACCTATCAGAAATGAAAAAGGCTTGTGTCAAGCTTGTAAACCAGGTAAATACTTGAAAATATTATTTAATATCATAAATATAGAATTTTGTTAATGATAAGAAATAAAAACATCCAATTTAATGATTTTTTAATACTTAATGGAACTCCTAAAAACGATGATTTTTTTCATCAAATATAGCACGAAAAGAAATAATTTATCCCATTCATTTTCTTTATTTATTTATATCGGGAAAGCATAAATTGAAAACTTTCATGCCCTTTTTTCTGAAAGTAATATGTATTTATAAGAAGAGCTATTAGATAGAGAATAAAACTTGATAAATAATTTTTGTTTGCAGTTAAAACATTCATAGAGAAAAACTAACATTTGTTCAGACAAAATACTAAAATTGATGTTTAAAAATTTAGAAAGTATAATTATAAGATTTGTTTGAGTATATTCTTGAAAATAAAAAATTTATAATTTATGAGCTTATCGATTAAACATTCATTATCTATTTATTCACGTTTTTATCATAAAACATTTTATTACCCATAATTTACATGATATGTGTTATGTAGTAAAAAATCTAGTAAATATTTCTTTCAAACATTGCGAAATTATGCATAATGTTTTTTTTCATTTCAGATGAGCCTGGAGTATTTATAGGAAAAATCATTCCAAATAATCCAGCAAGAGCTTTTCTAGGCTACGTTGATGAAAAAGCATCTGAGAAAAAAATAGTTCGTAATGTATTTAAACTAGGAGACAGTGCTTTTCATTCAGGTGATATTGTCGTCGCAGATGAATTTGGTTATTTATATTTCAAAGATAGAACGGGAGACACATTTAGATGGAAAGGAGAAAATGTATCTACATCTGAAGTGGAAGCTATTGTTAGTAATCTCATTAATTACCGAGATTGCATTGTTTATGGAGTAGAGGTAATTTTTATTTTATTTTTATGATCCAAGCAAATGATAAAACGATATCTAAATAATGATTGTATTAAACAGGTCCATGGTGCTGAAGGTAGAGCTGGTATGGCTGCTATCTATGATGAAAATGGAACCTTAGATATCAACGAGCTTGGAAAAAATATTAAAGAAAATGTTCCAACCTATGCTAGACCTCTTTTCATTCGTATTTTATCAAAAATTGATCTTACTGGTACGTTTAAAATTTTACTTATTAAATACTCTGTATAATTAAACTATGGTAATGAACATAATTAGCGAAGTAATTATTTTTCATTCTAGGAACGTTCAAATTGAAGAAAAAAGATCTTCAAGAAGAAGGATACAATCCGAAGAGAATACGAGATAAGCTCTATTATTTAGACTCAAAATCTGGATACCAATTATTAACTCCAGAAATATATGATCAAATTGAACAAGGAAAACTGCGTTTCTAAATTCTGAACAATTGTGGAAGAAAGTTCATTAAATGATTAATTAATTCCTTACGAAAGGAACTGAGAGATCAAAAATTAGTGATTTCCTACGGAAATAAATTAAAGAAGACTATAACAAATATTTGAATTGTAAATAGCTAAATCTAAATAAGCGATGCATGATAATAATTAATTATAATACGTCACTTTTATGATGAATGCACTCTAGCTACTTGATAAGATAATATTTAGTACTCAAGGGACTTTCAAGCTATTAAAGATGTGTTGTAGACAAGGACTGCCAGCGCATGGGTGAACTTTTTTAAGTTAAAAAATATTGAAATATATTATATTATGGTACATTCCATTTTTAATTGCACAAAAAAAGTCTTTCAATATTTTTTTTATACAATATTATAAACTTCCAAGTCCATTAATATGATTTTCATATGTTATTTATTTATAAAAATCAACGGTCATTCTATACTTTTGAAAAATTTCCAACGGTGTATATGGTTTTTCACTACAATTTAGTAATAAAAAATTGTTATCTGTTATTTTTTTAGAATAAATAAATATTTTATATAAGTACTCATTGTTAAATCAATTGAATTTTCTTTTATTCTTTTACCATTCATTTAAATAACTACATGTTTATACTTTATTGTGGTCAAATTCATAAAATGAAACATGTAACGGAAGCATTCTTCCTTTTCATATGATTTCAACATTCGTCTTTCAGACATTATAAGACATGTGAGCAAAATATAATAACTCTATGTTATTCTATTTTTATCCCGTTTTCTAACCAATGAATATCTTAAATCATGAATTTTAATTCGCGACCATTTAGTATATAAAGATTGACGTTATAATCGTTTTTGATCTCCAATTTATATTTAATTCTTATGGATAATAAAAATGTATTTCCGTCAAAGTCGTAGCTAACATTAATATTCAAAACACTAATTCTCCATTTTTCATTGATTTCCTTGAGCTATATTTGTACCAAACTATGTAAGTTCGTACAGACATCAATATACTTTCTAATATAAGATGACTTTGATCTTTATTATCATTCTGCAAACAATAAAATATGATGATATGGAATATATTAATATGTGATGTTTCATTGTTCAACGTGAAGTTGTCACACTTGTATTGCTCAGTGCTTGATAAATTTTATAAAATACGGCTCTGGTCAGCTACAACTGTTGGATAAATTTTATTCAGAAGTGTTGTGATCATTATCATTTGTTTGTTTATTAATAAATTGAATTAAAGGTCAGTAAAGAACATTTAATTTACTTTGATTAATAGGAATATCATTATCTACTAATGTTGGAGCTATGTTATATCCCAGTTGATGAAGATATTGATATATAATTTAATGACTTTAATGAAAAAAATAAAAAAATGATCCCCTTTTCATCCTAAATGATAAAACTCTTGATCTTTAATAAATATTCAACTTTCTCATTATAAATATTTATTCAAATAAATAGCATATTTATAAACTTTGATACGAGTACAAATCCAGATAAGCCATTGACTTTTGAATAAATCACAGCTCTAGATTATTGATTTTACTCCAAAATGGTGTAACATTAAATGATGAATTTTTAGGTCAGAAGAGATCTTATTTTTTTTATTCATTGATAACTAGACTTTTTTCATCTATGATATAATTTTAAACTAGTGATAAAACTAGGAATTTACTCTATGTTACAAAATTGTCTGTGAAGCTTCTGATGATAATTGTTATAAAATTTATCAAAAAAGTGCTCGAGATAAGTTATAATTGCACTTTACACTTTACTTTTTTTGCCTTACACAGTTTCAACAAGCTATCGACGTTCAGAAGTGTTGGAGAATTGCGAATGAAAATCAGCTACAGAAGAAAATAGAAAAAAAGTAATAGTTGTAAAAGAGGGGGAATCCAAAATGTAGTCAGGCTTCCACCAACTGGATTGTGAGTTGTCAGTCCGTTAGTCGTCGTCTGACGGTAGTGTCGGGATTAAGTGGCTCCATTTTTCACCTGATATTTGATACCCCGGTAGTAAATAAAATAACAGTGAATCATTCGAAATGAATAAAACACTATAATCAATTAAAAATGATTTTTTAATCATATTAAATAACTTACCTGAAGAAAATCAATAAAATTTCAGTGATAAACCTCCAGTGATTTATTCCTTGATGCCCCCTGATTATTACCTACAGCTGTAGAATTTTTAAATTAATTTCAACTTTTTCTCCTAAAATTGGGGAATCTAACGAAGGTATTTATTGATTAATCATAATAAATGTTATAATTTAAATGTCTTCTGTTATTAAATAATTGCAAATTATTCGTAAAAATGTCATCGGTCAACATAAAGACCTTTGCAGTAAAGAGAATGTACTATGCAAGCCATGAACCTGACTTTCAACTACCGTTGCATCATTTACGTACAAATAGTTTGCGTACATTTCTAGTAAAACAACTCGAATAATCTCAGATATCACCTGATATAAATTTTTTCCTGTTATTTAACTCATTTTTTAATACATTAATTATTAATAATTAAAATTATCCCGCATAAAAATTAACCTTCAGTTGATCGAACATCAATACCGGCAATGGTAGTTTTTCTTTTCTCAGACAGGTGTTAAGTCGACGCCAGATGTACATAGGGTTTAGAAATCGAGAAATCATCCAGTATGACGTCGGCCAAACCCTAACGGATAGATCTTTCATACATAAAAGCAGCAAAGTTTGCGCACGCGCGGATCGTTATGTTCGCTATGTATAGTCAACACGCGTAATATAAGGTCTCCCAAACGACCCATGAATAAAAAAGACGACGCGAGTTGTAGAGTGAAGAGTAAAAGAGAGAAAACGTGGAACCAACCCCCTGAGAACACGACGTAAAACAATTTTCTGTTGGCAGCGCCACGACTAAAACCCGGCGACCCCGGTTATCTATCGTTCTTCGGGGTGCCCTGATTAGAGGATGGATATTAGATTTGCTATCCTCGTGGTGACCATCGCCGTCCTGATGGCAGCCGGCGTTGTCACCAGGATTGGATCCTTCACTAGGATCGCACAAGTAGCTTTGGTGGCATTATTAGTTCCTCTATTCTATAAATATCATCGAAAACTCTACATCATCATCAGGACACTACCCCGAGACATCAGGTAACCAATCTTATTTTTACCAAAAAAAAATATTTATGTATTTATATAATGTGGTAATTTAAAAAAAGGCTATCATGCTCTTCTAGAATGTTGAAAGCTTGATTAAATTACTCATAACACAAATGATAAAAAGCAATTTTGATAGCTAATTGACATTGATGAAATTAATTATTATCAAAGTGAGTATATATCATATTTTTGATGTGCTTTTATCGTGGTTAATTTTGATATAATTAGAGTAAATTGGGAAAATTACTGGTCGTTTAGGGAGTAATCTACCCTTGTGAGTTTTGAAATATTACACAGTTCGATATGTAACCGATCGATAATTACTGACAACAGTGGAAACCTGAAAGCTAAAGTTTGTAGAGCTTCTAATGATGATTTTCTAATTTATAACTTAAAAAATATATAGCTGAATGTTTACACTCATTAAATATTTAATCTGTTATTCCTTCAACATGTTCTCCACAAATTGGTTAACATGCTTCTAACAGCTTACCACTTTCATAAATGCGTTCGTGTTTTATCCTTCATTATTCATGATTAAAATTGCTCAAGGCATGTATTATCTAATATTGGTGACGGATAATAAAAAAAAAAATAAAATATTAATATATTGTTACTAATTAACACTTTCTATCATTAGCACATCTTTGCAATCGTTTTTTTTATCATTAAAAACAAAAGTATTGAAAATTATTTTCAACATAATTGAAGTATTTAATTCAATGCCAATACAGAGAAGTGAGAATCAAACAAAGTATTCAACTTTGTTCTCTAGATATAACTAGATACTTTGAACTTCGAAGTTGTGACAATTAAATTCTCTACCTGATGAGTACGTGTGCTCTGATAAGTTTTAACGCCTACTTCTATCTCGTTAATCTAAAATTATAAAAAAAGTAAACGTAGATAATGATAAAAGGTCAATTGTGAGGATGTTGGATAAGATATCTTGAATAAGTATAAGGTTAAGCTGAATATTTTGAGCATTTTATTGCCTTTATCGTTATCAGACGAATAATTTTATTTATTATGCATCAAAAATATGATATAATTCACAAGATGATTATATGAATAAAACGATATTATTGATCAGCCAGATATGCATGAAATTTTAATAAAGACACGAGTCATTAACCGTGAAATAATTATATTTTAAAATTCTTGTGGTCTTTAATGGTTAATCAATATTTTTTCCCACGTTTTATAATAATTTGATAGAAAGTGTATCATATGGTCTATAATAATCAATTTTTTTTTGTTGTTTTTTAGGTTTTTATATCGTTACGTAAATGCTGACAAAGAAACTAAGCGATTTGTCAAAAACAACACAACTGTTATGAAAATCTTCAAAGAAAGAGTTAGACTTTACCCTAACAAACCCTGTTTCATATTTGAAGGACGAACTTGGACTAATGCTGAGGTAATTGATTGTTTGCTATTGCTTTGTTGGTTTTGATTAATCAATTATATGGTTCATAGTGTTTCTAATGACGTAAACCAAGAATTCTATCACATTTGATATTCTAGAATTACTCTTTCTAATAAAAATGATTGATTAACTCAAAACACTATTATTAACTTTATCAAAAAAAATAAAGATGATTAAAAAATAATGTATCAATCAAAAATATTTCTTCAGTTAAGTATAAGATCATATGTGTAATTAATGAGCTTGGTTTTGATTTATAGATTGACGAGTATAGCTGTAGGATAGCAAATGTATTCCAGCAAGCTGGATATGTGAAAGGGGATGCAGTAGCTCTTATGATGACAAATCGACCAGAATTTATAGCGACATGGTTAGGGCTTGGTAAAATTGGAGTAATAACAGCTTTAATCAACACGAATCTACGATTACAACTTTTGATTCACTGTTTGACGGTTGCTAAAGTCAAGAGCTTGATTTACGGCGAAGAACTATCATCAGGTATTAACCTGTAATTCAATATATTTAAATTAATTAAAATCTTCAATGACAAAATGTTCATAATAATCAAAATGTTGAGCTTTTACTCAATAAATTAATTATCAGTTGATGACCTTCTTCAAATGCCCACTCGCAATTGACCTTTCCAAATACTCAACAATGAATGACCTTTCTAGCTTTCATTAATGTAAAACCTTTTAAGAGAATCACACTACTTAAAATATCTAATTAATTAATCATTTTTTGTAGCTGTGGATGAAATTCGTGATTTAGTCCAGGATATTAAATGGTACAAGCAAGGAGCAGGAGTTAATGATTCCCAAGAAGGAACAGAAAATTTAGATAAATTAATGGCTGAAGCAAGTCCGAATGAACCAACAGTTAAAGAAGAACCTGGATATAGAGATAACCTACTTTATATTTACACCAGTGGAACAACTGGTCTACCAAAAGCAGTCTTGATGCCAAATTCTAGGTAAGTAATGAATCAAGATCAAATACAAATATTGTACTTGGAAGGGTCTTTATGCCATAAATTATAATAAAGTAATTTGTGCGCTTCGAGACTCACCGGTTAGCCTTGGATTGACAGTTTGGTAATTGTGACTCTAGTATTTCTCAGAACTTTATATGCAGCAATTGTCTAGCATTTTATACGACATCAGTTTTTTCAAACTCTCAACCATTATAAAAATACTAGTTAGGGTTGTTAAAAATTATGAACAGGCTGTATGCTTGTTTTATTATTTAGATATATTGAACCATAAATGTGGGTCGTACTTCGAATACGTACTTCTTAAATAATTAATAACTCATCGTCACTTGTAGGATCAATTATAATGTTCTCGAAAATTTATTTATTTATTTATAAAAAATATTTGCGTATTATTTTATTTGTTCTTCCATTATTGTCTTTTGTCACTGTCATCTGACTCCATTAATTCTTATTACATAACACTTGGGAACATTTAAAAGAATGCAACTTATATGTGATATAATGAAGTTTAATCCTGTCAGGGAGACCCCACAACTCAAGAGAATGAGATTAGAGATCGAGTATAGTTGTCTTCTATGAAAATTATAAAGGAAATTAATCGATAAAAAGAGTTTTCAGGATCTCAAAAATTTTTGATATTATCTGTGTAAATTATTTGGAATCTTTTTTTTTATTTGCGGAACAAAACTATGAGATATCGAGATACCTGGAATTGCATAAATGTTTTATAATTAGACCAAAATATCGAAAAGCCAAGGAGTAGTTCAGTTTATCTAATAATCTCTGTGAAACATCTGATCCATGAAATGTTATTACAGATAAGCTGCATACTAATATGTTTAGGTACTATTGTTTATGAGAGTTGATCATTTATTCATAACAAACGATGTTTGATACACTCGTGATAATTATTTTAAACTCTAAAGATTGCACAATGGGTAATAAGTTTAAATAGATGTATGAAATAATTTACATACTGATTTTTCACCAATGAAATCGCAAAAAATTATAATAAATGATGATAGTAAATAATAGAAAGAAAAATACATTAACTAAATTATCAAGTCATTCAACATGAATTAAAAAGAAAGAATATCCGTAGAAAATATTTACTTATAAAATCAAATAAAACTCTTGTTGAATAATGATTTTTTGATTTTATTTTACAGATATCTTCTAGTTACTATGGCCACTTACCATATGCTAGGACTAAGGGCTGATAGTGATATTATGTATAACCCCATTCCATTATATCATATGGCTGGAGGTTTAGTAGGCACAGGTTGTGCTCTAGTCAAAGGAATTCCTAGTGTTCTTAGAACAAAGTTCTCTGTATCACATTATTGGACAGATTGTATAAAATATAACTGTACGGTGAGTATTAAATTCATTTTATTGTAAAACTTTAAATTATGAATTTTAACTAGTTAAAGAAAAATTTTGGGTTTTCAGTTAGCGCAATATATTGGAGAAATGTGCAGATATCTTTTATCAGCACCACCACGACCTGAAGATAGTAAACACCCAGTTAGACTCATGGTTGGTAACGGAATGAGGCCTCAGATTTGGCAACAATTCGTTGATCGTTTCAAAATTGCTCAAGTTACTGAGGTCTACGGTTCAAGTGAAGGAAATGCAAATATTGGTAATTATTATTGTTCAATATTCAAAGCTATCATCATTACTAATTGGTACTATAATTAATTTATGCAATTTTTTTCCTTTAGTTAATGTTGACAATCAAGTAGGTGCTGTTGGATTTGTACCATCAATTTTACCAAAATGTTTACATCCTGTTGCTATTATCCGTGTGAATCCAGAAACATGTGAACCTTTAAGAGGTCCTGATGGATTTTGCATACGGGCAGAAATAAGTAAGTAAAGTATTTAGAACGAATTAGCTACTAAATAAATATGTTTGTTTTTTTAATGATTTAAAGTTTTCAAAATAGCGCATGACAAATAAGTTTAATTATTTTTACTAGGAAAAAATTCTACGATACATAGTTTTAGTATAATAATAGACAAGATTTATTCTAAGCCTCTACACATTATTTTTCTCTCTATTTTTCATTCATTTTGCTCTTTTTCCAGACGAACCTGGCATGTTCATAGGACTGATTAAACAAGGTAACGCGTCGAGGGAATTCAATGGATACTTAGATAAAGAAGCATCGAAGAGAAAAGTACTAGAAAATGTTTTTACTAAAGGGGATAAAGCATTTATCTCAGGTAATTTTAATGTATATTATTTTATAAAGATGAACATTTTAAAATTCAGAATAAAATCATGAATTACTGTTCTCTCAAAAATGTTTTTTATCATTTATTACTCTTTACTCACGTGTTTAAATGATGCTTTCAGGTGATATTTTAGTCCAAGACGAGCTAGGGTATTTCTATTTTAAAGATAGAACTGGTGATACATATAGATGGAAAGGAGAAAATGTTGCCACTGCCGAAGTAGAAGGAGTTGTCAGCAATGTTGCTGGTTATAGAGACACTACTGTATATGGAGTTCAGGTATGTCTAAAGAATTTTTAAAATATACTATTATGAGAAAATGCTTTCAATCTATGTTATAACTCAATCTTTGTAACTTATAAAGGTACCAGGAATGGAAGGACGCGCTGGAATGGCAGCTATTGTTGATCCAGAATGTCTGCTAGACTTTAAAGCGCTAGCCGAAGGTCTAGATCGTGCTCTTCCTGCATATGCACGGCCAATATTTTTAAGAATAGTGAATGAGCTGGAAATGACCGGCACTTTTAAATTGAAGAAAATAAATCTTCAAAAAGAAGGTTTTGATCCTACTAAAATTCAAGACAAAGTTTACTTCAGATCTGGTAATAAAGAATATGTTGAAGTAACACCAGAATTATATCAAGAAATAATATCCGGTTCAACAAAATTATAAGGTTTGAAAAATATCATAAATAATTATGAACAAAAATAGTGAATTTTCACAGAAAAAGAACCAAACTTTCAGATATAAAATACATATTTGAGCATAAAAAAGGAAGAAGAACGTAATTAAAAGTGATTTAATGATATTCAATTGTATTTTTCTTTTCGTTGTCTTAAATTATATCCAAGACCCTGGTAAGAAGAATACAAAGAATAGAGTAAAAATATTTTATTATTATTATCGTTAATAATAATAACAATATTATTTATGCCTCAGAGATTAAAATTTTTATTAAATTTTGTAGTCAATTATCAAGATGATATGTTTATGTTATTTTTGAAATTTGTAATTATAACTAATATTTAGCTAGAAAATTTTTTGAATTAAATAACAAAATTAAGTTTCTAATTAATTGGGAATAAAAGTTTTTATCTTGAGATAAAAACGACATTCCAAAAATAACTTTTTAGCCAAAATAGCTTTGAATCAGATTCTTCTTACTGTATTTTTTACACTTTTTGGATGAAGATCGAAGTCAAATTTAGAATTTACTTCAGATTATCTAAATAGACTACCCTGCTTACCGACTAATTAAGACATTAAGAGAAAAACACTGTTTAATTTTTGAATGTAAAGCACATAGGAAAGTCTTGCTGTTTTGATGTGAAACATACATGAATGTCCGCAACTCGCGAAAAGAGCCAGATGTGTGCCATTTATTTAAAAAACAATGTATATAGAATAAAATGTACGTATTAATGAATTATAATTTGTTTATCAAGCTAAAGAATGTAAAAATAGTGCGATGCATCTGTACAGGCAACACAATTAATTAAAGTTTGACATTTATTTAAATAAAACAACCTTTTGTCAATTCAAAAATGGTAAGATACTTATAGTAGCAATTGTATTCCAACTGCTCAAAACTCTTTATATAAATAAACATAAAACTCACTACTCTTGATGAAGGATAAGAAAAAAAAACACATAAAAAACTGCTTTATATATTAATGAATATCAATGGGACTCGAATTCCATGGAAACTATCAAAATTTCGAACATTTGATTCATCTAGTCTAGTACATATAATATATGAATTTGTTTATAAAAATCAACCTGTAAGATTATTAATTCGAGCGATGTGTGTAACGTGCCTTGTTATAAGTCATCAAAAACAACAATGACAATTGATTAGAGCACGAAATATTCGATCTCGTCCCTAAACTTACATTTAAAATCAATAAAAGCACGAAAAAAAACGATTGGTTGGTTGTGAATGGAGACTGACTGTGAATTTGTTGTTGCATTTAGTTATTCTATTATGTGATATAAGTGAGAATGTAAATGAATGAAAGATTAAGCGTTGAAAATGTGTGGTGGATGATTTTTTTGAGATATTGTTTGATGTAAATAAAGACAGTTTGATCACGTACCTTAAATATTAGTTTTTGATTCAAATCCTTTTTAAGTATTTTCATAAGTTTACTTTGAAATTTTGCACTAATTACTCTATTTTGAAGTTGACAGTAGACGTAATTCAATCAATATTCCCAAAAAAAATATCAAAAAATTGCATAGTATCCAACGGTAAATGTTTCCTTTATTATTTAGGCAAATAAATATAAAATAAAATCAAAGAATATCTATATAGAAAAGAAAATTTTATATTATGTGTAATAATAAAAGAATAAAATGACAATGTTTAAAAATTAAAATAACTGATGTATTTTATATTTTTAATTTACAGTTCATTACAGGTTGCTTAATAATTAATAAATGATTAAATTAGGCACAGTAAAATTTTATTATTTTCGTTTGAATCTGTTTGTTTAATGATTTTATATAAAATTTTTAAATGGCAATAATTTATGACTGTATTTAATTTATAAATTTAAACATTATTTTTTTCAAAATAATCTAGTTATCTAGCTTGAATCATTTATTATAAACCTAGCTAAATTTTATTGTATTATGTATAAATTGGAAACAATCATTTCGATTGAGTATATGTTTCATCTACTAATTGGTTTAAGATAGTATTGTTCTTGGCTATGAATTTTCTTAAAATTATATACACAAATAAGTTTTATAAAAACTTATTATTTACGATAATTTTTAATTCTCACTAATTAAAGGAATACATGAGATTAATTGTTACTTGAATGGGGCTTGTTATGATAAAATGCCACTTGATAACCTGAATTTTTCACTTAATGGATTTTTGGAATGCTTCTTAATCTAAATAATTCAGGTTGCTAGTTACCCAAAAAGGGATATAATTTTACTATCAGCTAGGTGGAATGGCTTTTGCTGTTTGTCCAAAACCTAGATTCGGCCTAGTCCCGAACCAAGACATCTTCCATTCTAAGGTTTCTTGAAGCAGTCTTTCTTCTTCAGGTGAAAAATGCAATAATGTAGCAACGGCCCTGGTTAAGTGTAATGCCTAAAATATATACAAACCATTTTTAATTTTAATTTCATTCAATACTTTTTTTTTTGTAAATTAAAATACTAAGATTATGTTTGAATTTACCTCATATTCTCTGCTAGTTAAAAATTTAATCAGGACATGTTTAAGATACTTAAAATTAACATCATCATCTTGAAAATTGGAATTTTTGGCAGATACTGTTTTTGATGAGCTTGGAATGAGAATAGCTGCTGATGGTTCTATGTCATTGTCAACGCATGAAGCAGGTAATCTTAATTCTTTCTGTAAAGTTTTTTTCATATCAGTCAGCCTTTGTTGAAGTATCTTGATTGTCTGCAATCACCATTTGTTTAAATCAATAAGTATTTTTAATTGTTTTAAAAATTTATTTACCAAATGTGTAAAATACAAAATTAATACTTTCAATAAGATAATATATAATAAGCTTACCTTATTTTTATCATTTAGCTGGTCTTCCAAATTGGATAAGTTACTTCTAAGAGTTTGTTCCATTCCCTCAAATGTTTTATAAAGTTTTCCAGCTTCTTCAAGCTCATTGAGCCTAATTTTCATTTCCTCTAAGTTTCTCACAGATTCTTCTTTATCTGCTGTTACTTTTTTCAATAATGTCTCAGTAGTTTCTATTTTATTTTGTAACTCCGCATTTTCTAACTCGTGTCTTCTTTGTTCTTGCTTTGCTATTTCAAAGTTTTGAGAAATTTGCGCATTTCTTAATAATGCTGAGTCTTTTTCACTTTGCTCTTTTTCGAGACTAACTCGTAAGGTTGCACAGGTGGTCCTTTCAGCTTCTAAACTTTCTCTTAAACGGGCTAATTGCATGTGTAGTGATGAATTATTTTTTCTTTCGCCTTCATATGTTATTTTTAATTGTGACAATTCCGTTGTAGCTGACAACAACTTCTGGGCTGATTCTTCTAGCTCAGTTCGAAGCCTTTCGATTACTTTGGAAGATGATTCCTAGTAGAACAATCAAGAAAAATCTTATTAATTTAAATGTCACAATAAACAGAGCATAAAAAGTTTTAAACCAAAATTAAATTGTTCAAATATTTCAAAAATCAAATATTATTTTTGAAAAATGATATCCGTGCGAGGATTTCTTCTAGCTGCAAACTACAATTAAATTATCCTGAAATTAAAAATTATTTTAAATTTTCATTATTTAAACAAAAATTACAGTACATTTTTTTGTGTTTGTGTAAAATAAAAAGCTGTGATAAATAAAGGAAAGGAATAGGGACAACAATATCGGGATAATAAAAAGTAAAAAAAGCAAAAAAGATCAATGCAAAGTATTCTTCCGTTTGCTTTGTATCTTTATTCGATAAACAAAATTACATAAGATAGACGGTGTACATAAAATGTTTTTTCTACTTGTATCGCTTAATTATTATTACTAAATAAAGGCATAAGTAAAATCTATTTGAGAATATTCGAAAAAATAAACAATAATCATGTAGAAATCTATAATGTGTCAAAAGAGATATGTTATACATCCTTATTAATCCCGAAAAAATATTTGCATGCAACTATTAAGTAAGCAAAAATGAGTTCAAAAAAAAATATGAAATGAAAAAAAAACTTGTGCAAAGCAAAAGCATTACATGCATTAAAACATTAATATACTCAATCTAATTGTTATTAATTATAGTTTATTCCATGATAATCAGTTAATGTTTATCATAATAAGGCACAATTAGATAATCGTCAAAACTATGTTTGATGAAAGAATGTAAACTTAAAGAAGTAGAGGTAAATTATTTAATTGTTACTTGCTGCAGTTAAGTCTAATGAATATCGCAGTCTTTTATTTAAAGGAAAAGTCTCGTTATTGCTTTAATAGTCTCAAAAATAAGTCATAACTGATTTTCTAGTTGCAGAAGTTTGCCTTTTATTCTAGCTCATGCACCATCGTAATTCATAGCATCAGACATCGCGGTAACTCACAATTTGTCGTTTAAATTCTTCGACCTCATCATCGACGCTGGCCCGGAGCTCTTTCAGTTCCGTGGCCATTTCGTCGATGCTTTCTGCCATGCGTAAAAGCTTGGCGTCTTTCGTCGCCATGACAACATTGTTCACCTCTATTTCCTCCTCCAACTGCTTCACTCTCTGTTTCAGCTTTTCCTTCTCCTCTTCGACACGTCTTCTCTCAAGGCCTTCCTCACCGGCTTGTCTACTCAATCTTCCTACTTGAGTTTCTAAACTTGAAATTGTAGCCGACCAACTGGTTTTTATATCAGAAAGATGAAGATGCGTTTCTTCAAGTTTACGCTCCAATAGAGTCCGTTCTCTCATTAAATCAGCGATTCGTTCATCGACAGTGGAATCATCACTGGACTCTAGAGCCAACCTTTGCTCTAATACTGATACTTTAGTCGTTAAATGACGTACTTCTTCTTTTGATTGTGCTAATTCACTAGATAATTGCGCTTTTTCACGTTGTGTTGTATGACGTAAAGATTCCATTTCATCCTGAAAATGAAAAATAATTACTTTTTCTTGAAGAAATGTCAATTAAAAAATATTTTATTTATTTTAAATCATGTTGCGAAGCTTTTTTCGCATATCTTACCAATTTTATAATTATATTAATGATATTTTATTGAATTTATGAAAAAGCATATGATGTAAAAAAACATTTATGAGTGATTTAATGAAAAAAAAACAGGACAATGAAAAAAAGTAGTTTAAATAATAAATGTGAGTGCAGTGATTCCCTTTTTCAGCACATTTAATTAATTAATTTTATTCGCAAATATTATTGACATTTTATTAGAGGAATGAATTATCATATTAATCATGCTATGTTTAGTTACTGTTTTTTATTATTAAATTTCTTTATCGAAATATCCATTTTTTAATATTTGAATAACCCATATCCCGAATGAAGCAAAGAAGTAAGTTATAAGAAGATAGAGCTAGCTGAATAGGAGCTAAGCTTTTTAAAAACGTACCTCTAGCTTCAGCAGTAGCAGCAACAAAATAGCGGAAATAACCGCATTTTTTTTGTTTTCTCCAGTGTATCTTGTGTGGTAAACTGTTTTCAATCTTCATGCGGATTGTTTATATATCCTCAGAAAGTTGTGTAACATTTTCTCACATATTAACTGATTTTTTAGAAAAAATATTTGATCGTTTTCACTTTGAATTTGACTAGAGATTAATTCTTTTATTGTGTTTGCTGTATTACGCTGTGTAGAGAATTGAAAAGAATTCAACAGCAAGTAAAATAAAAGTGCAAACTCAAAAAAATGGCAAATGGCAGTAAGACATAAAGCACAAAACAAAATCATTATTGAACACACGTTAAAAAAAGACCCACCAAAACAGGCAGGGGAGTTGGTTGGAATTAAGCGCATTTTTAAAACGATTAACGATAAGCAATCAGTAAATATGGTCAGTGAATTGTTCTTACAATTATAATTGGATGAATGTAAACCTAAATTATGTTATACTCCTACAATTTAATGATCTACGTGAGCAATAAAAAAAAAATGAAAAATAAGTGTGTACAGACATGATTTAAAAATATCAATTCTACCTAAAATTATGATAATAACACCAACTCCCTTTTTGGTCTTTCTTACCTGAATGTTATTTAATTCATCTTCATATCTTCTCAATCTAGAGACTTCTGTTTTTAAACTATCGATTTCGGTTAAAGCTGCCTTTAAATGATGTGATTTCTCCTCAACTTCTTGTTCTTTGGCCAATAACTATAAAATAAATATATATGTGTATAATAAAATACTACTTTTAATAATGAAAGATCAAAAGAAATTTACCAAGTGTTTAACTTTTGCCATTTCTTGCGTTTGAAATCCTTCTAGTTGTTCTGCGTCTTCTTGAAAACTGTACAACTTTTTTTTGTATTCTATAATTATACAAAAGAAGTTAGATAACTAGTAAGCTGATAACATATGTTATATTATCATATTATGCGGTATCTAATATTTAATTAATCAATGAATGTCAACGTATTGAATGTAAAAAGAGAACTGATATACTATTGATGACACAAGTGTTAAGTTTCTATGTATGGCATAGTAATAAAATTGATTCATTACCTTCGGCATCCTTGAGAGCAACTTCTAACGATTGTTTAGCATTTTCAGCTTTTAATCGACCTTCTTCAAGTTTCGACTTTTCTTTTTCTTGTTTCTCTAAAATTTTTTTCCATTCTTTTTCTTTTTCGTACAGTCTTATTCGCCATTCTTCATCCTTTTTGTCAAGTTTTTTTTGAAACTCTGCTTCTTTTTTAACTAATTTTTTCCTCCATTCATCTTCTCTATTCTCCAGCCTTTTAATATCTTTGGCAGACAGTTGGTTTCCATCACTCAACCTAAATTCAAAACTATTTTCCCTTTTCAAATTGATTGTTGGAGATGCGTTTATGATATTGCTTTCTTGAGATTCGTCTAATGACAATTGAGAGCCACTTATACTACTAGAAGAACCAGTCTGGAAAAAAAGATAATGATATCAAGTAAATTACAGAATGTGTTTTATTAATGAATCACTTTGTATGCAAGTTTAATCTTACCTGTGACAAGTGTTTCGAATTAATACTACGAACAGATCCAGCATTTCGTACAACAGCAGCCACATCACTCCCAATTTCTTCACGTATTTTATTTTTTAGACTAGCAAACATTTTGAGGCTATCCTTGAAGAAGATCTAAAACCTTGACAGGTTCCACCTGTCAACGTCAACGTCACAGCACAATTAAATGAATCAATGTCGGAATTTACAATCACAAATTGAAGATTCGTAATAAATGCACTGTATAAAAGTCATACATCTTTCAAATAGAGGTCACATGCGGATCTTGTTTGATGTATGATTTAAAATACTATTTATCGGACGAAAAAAAATTGAGTCAACCACAGCAATACTACACAACACGACTGCCATACTGTTCACTGACGTAATTCGCAAGAATTTTGCATGGGAGCCCCACTGTGATTAAAAAAGCCCGCGGTTTGAAGTTTTTCCAGCAAAATTTGAAGTATTTATCTATGAATTTATTCAAGTTTGATGTCTGTTATGACATTAGCACAAAAGGCAATCAATAACGTACTTATGATAAGAAGTACTAATTTATAAATCAATATATTCACGAGACTAATTAAAATAATTCCAAATATTATTATGAAAACAATTCTAATAATTTCTAACATGTTTTAAAGATGAAAATTTTGTTTTTTTAATTACTTTCATGGTTTTTTTTAAATTTAATTTTATAAATAAATAAAAGATTTTGACACGTCGAATTTTTTTAAAAGTTGGCCACCATGAATTTATTATCAACAGTTGGCAGCTTAGAAAAATCCAACAGTACCGCCTCTAACGGTAGCATCATGAACTAATAGTTTAAAACTTGACGGTTATGCATGTTGAATGTTTTACACGCGTATTGTTATCCTTTCGTCAGGACGAATTTTGATTAATAAATAAAGTGTAAATGAGGTGACAAGGCTTCACAATGATTAACGAATGTTTCGATGATACGATGGTATCCATCAATTTCGATGTGTAAGTACTAATAAATGTCACTATCAAATTTGATTAGAGCTAGTAGTTTCTATCTTTGTCTTGCACACAGTAGTAAATTTATTTTGGAAACAGCTTTGATTGTTTTTGTCACATTTTTTTTTTCTCAACGATTCATTCATTGCTTTCCATAAATAGTCTGGAGAATAAATATCCAAAGCTCTTCAGACTCTTATTACAATTTTTAAATGGTTTTATTCTAAATAAACAATGAATCAATATGCAAACTAATAAATGAATGCAGCTTGCAAGATTAATTATTTCAACAACTAAAGACCAAATTAAACTAAACTCTCATAAATCATTTTGATTTTTTTAAAATATTTGTAATAAAATGAGAAAACAGTATTTTGGAGTAGTTTAATTCTGGGTGAATTTATTGATGGGTTTCTTGATTTTAAACTATTGATCATTGATTATATATTTATATATAAAAATCTAAAGGTTAAACAAAGTGACTTGCAGACATTATAAATTATTAACGACAGTTTTATTAGTTATTTGAGCTCATGTATCGTTTTCGTTACTCCTCAATAAGTTATTAACAATTTTATTCGTTCTTCCTGACGCTTATCATTGTGAAAAGGGTCACAGGTCATTCAGTGGTGATCATATAATTTTTTTTTCTCGATTATGTCCAATGTTGATATGATGAGAAAAATAGAAGTTACAGTTTATATCATATTTTCTGGTAAATAACATTTATAAACTGATCCATCTAATTGTATAACTGATGCATAGAATTAATAGCATCTATCTGAAAGACATGTACAATCACTTTGATTGATCTAACTGAAACTTCAGGAACAGATTAGCTTTTGTATAGCTTATTTAATCACGAGCCATGCAAACATTGTCCTTGAAATATACATGCTTGAAAAGATCGATATTTCAGTGCAGCAAATTTTGCACAACTTCTTTATCTTTCATCTCTTTCGCAAGTGCATGAAATTAATATCAAATTAATTTCATATATTTTTATGCTACTTGCAACAATTATTTTTATATATACTGAAAAGAAACTTGTAGCTTTTAAATTGAATTACGTGTTGATGAATCTGAAAATTTATACATTGGATACATCATCTTCCTTCAAGTGCTGTTGTGATCAAAAAAGATCACCAGCTGTTTATTACACGTGTGAGAGCAAAGGTCTCGTAAAAGTTAACGTCTGAAGAAGAAGATAGGGTAATGATTTGAAGAAAATAAGTGTAATAAGACAACGTAAATTCTTCAACAGCTTGTTTCTTTAGAGTGTTTAAGTTATAAACTTTTCTTGCATTTTTAACGACTAGTTTTAAAATGAACAAGAAATTCATTAACACATCATTATGGTAATAATATCAATCTCAAACTGATTAAAATTCAAATAATTTAATATATATCAAATTATCTTGACAAAAAGTTTAATAATTCCTAAAAATTGAATAAAAGTAAACTTTCGTGACAAATTTTTTATTTATTTTAAAAATCATGCAGTTGTTTTAAGAAATTAAGTGTTCAAAACTTTTTTTATACTTCCAAGGACGATTAAATATGAGATTCTATCTTGTGTATTATTTTTATAAGTATCGGGTGGGGTTTAATAAGCTCTAATAATTCATAATAAGGTTGAAAAAGAGTTTGATGATCAACAAAATCAATAAAATTTTCCATGCAAAAATTTCATGGAATTTTATACTGACTTAACAAATATCTACAATACAAGCAGTTGAATTTCATTTTTATAACAACAACAATTACAATTATGTAAAATAATAAGATAAAAAAAGTTAGTAGTCTTGAATTATTAAAATGCGTCATAAGCATCCAGAAACCATCAGCATGAAACACAATTGACCTTGTTTATTAACATTGAAGGTATATTTTTCATAAACATTAGGACCTGTAAGATGTATATTTCTAATAGGGTTAAATACCCTACGAATAAAATAATCCATAACACTTGAGAGCCACTGGTCCCCTCTGATCGATGCAATCCCTCGTCTCGAGCAGCCTCCTCTTCAATACAGATCACTTATGCTATTTTGCTTTCATGTATTTCTCCCCCTCTATCTGTCATCCCTCTGGACTGCTTGCGCTTCAGCACGTCCACATTGAATCAGTTGCCTCCCGTCCGTTCAGCAGTAAGCTCACGTCATTTTAAGACAAGTTTAACACACGTTGTGTATTCTATTACATTTGTTGTTTGGATGCTGGATGTTGTTACCGTACACTCGAGTTGAGTTTCAACAACGTAGTGACAAAAAATATTCGTTTCCGTGTTCTTGAGACCTGGTATTATTTACTATGGAACGACCAAAACCACCAGTCAAAAGAAAATTATCTTCTACCAAGACAATGACGAAAAAGGACACGTTTGTGGAAGAGTGACAAATCTCAGTGACTTTTGATTATTTTTTAAAACAATATCTATCGTGGTGTTGGATTTATTGAAGTGACATTACTGAATATTAATCTAGATTCATCATGTTGGTTTAGTGGTGTACATTTAAGAAGTGAAATAAAAAAAGTGTAACTAAGTATAAGAGAATAAATAATAATTCTCATTAAGACTGACAGACATTCTGTAATTTTGTCTTGAAAAAACTCTTTCATGTTAAAAAAACAAACATCACAAATTATTCTAATCATAAGACTGACTCTACGACGCCAAAATAACGTGCCAAAGGAGGTTTCAGTACAACGTAGTCAGTATTAAGAGAGTAGTATATATCGTTAAATTGTTGAGAATTATCAATAATAGTTTCAAACACTCATAAAGGATATTATTAGTTTTATAAACGTGAGATCTATATTAACTGTTATAAATATTAAAAATGTTCTTTGGTGGTAATACATCGTATTATGGACGAAATAGTCCACAGTCTCCAGCAAAATCTCCTGGACGAGGCAAGATTTGCAGTCCATTCAGAAAGTAAGTTAAATGCTCTAGTTGGCCTATAAATCTAATATTAATTCCATTTATTTATTTTCCCATGCTTTTATTTATTTATTTCCGGCGATATGATAGTTTTTTTCTTCATGAATCTTGATGTTATGACGAAGTATCTACACGGAAACAATAGCAAAGGTATCACGACTATGCTGTATATGATTGACCTGCATAAAATCAACATAAATTGTGCATAATGTGTATATGTAACACATTGATAGAAAATGGAAAATAGTATCTATCGCCTACGGTGATATTTAACATGAAATTATAGAAAAAAACATCTCTCCCACGTGTGTGAAACATTGGAACAACACTGATGACACTGATGACTTATTGCATGCAATCGAGCTAATTGTTTAACTACTACACCCAACGGTTAACGACCTGTTAATTGAGGAAATTTTACTTTGCATGTTAACTTTTCTCGCCTAGGCAACACTTAGTTCAGTTAAAACATTGTGTGTAATGATGGGAATGATCGGATGACATTCATTATCTTCAATTCAGAATATTCATCTATTATTAGTGTATGCTAATAAATTAGTAGCAATCATATTAATCAGTTTTATTCCATAAAATAAGATTATTGGATTTTTATTATGAGACGTAATTTCTAACTAGAGCAACAGTAAGATGCTGCAGCTGGTCCACATTCTAGTATTGATCAGTACCTCCATCTTGAACGCGGGCAAATTCTAACTGCGAAATTGTTTTTTATTTGTTAGTTTGGTCTAAATGTCGTTTGTTATTTTTATGTTCATTGATCATTATTTGAGAGTCGTTTGGAGGGGACTTTCGGTTTTATTGCAGATGTATCAGAAATATGTTGATGATGATTAAGATAAAATCATCTTGAAAAGGCGCAAGCGTGTTTACATTTAATAACTCCATGATTCTTCTATTGTACAGTGATGCTGAGTAAATAAGAATAGTATTACAATAAATTTTATTATTTAAGAATCATTTATTTATGCAAAATAAATTCAAGTACATAACATAGAAAGGTAGATAATAGGAGAAACCGGGCCAAGATGGTCTATTCAAACATTTTTTGATTTATAAGGATATAAAGGTATAAATTGTAGTAGGTACGATTTAAAAATTTTAATCCTCAATAATTCATGAATTGTTTGAAGCAGAGGTGGGCAAAATTTCACTTCAAGGGAGCCTAAATTTTGGGCCACTTCATAAACATTAATGAATACAAGTAGGAAACAATATATACCTGGAGAGTTGCTCTGGCTCTGATGAGCTGAGTATGCCCACCTCTAGTTTGAAGGTCACTATTTATTTCACATTGTTCCATGCTTAAATATCTAAATTTCTCACGTTTTCAATCATTTCTTTCTAAGGAAGTTGTCTTGCCCCCTCTTCCTCAATACTTGTGATTAATATCAAATTTATATAATTCTTGATGTTTTCCTCACTAAGCTACTTAGCTAATTAAAAGCTATGTTATTAGCTATTTTCCATGGATACATTATAGAGTTTTAGCTACGTTTTATTTCATAGTTTTCAAAAGATTAAAAACATTCTGAAAGATCACTAACGTATCTCTTGATTTGCTTATGAGCCCAAACATAAACTTGATCTGTAAAACTCGGTTGAAGATCAATGATTTTGTAATCATTTGTAATATATCGAGGACATGTTTTGTTCGATGAATAATGTCCAAAATAGTAAGTAGAGCATTCTGAATTTTTTGAAATGGGTTTACAGTGCACCATTTGTACTTGACGACTCTGTTAAAAAAAAGTTTTGTTGATTATAATTGAAAATTAAAAAAACGTAATTAAAATTATTACCCTGAACATATGTGGATTTTCTTTATATTTATCATCCAATTTACAATTTAGGGCCCATTTTGGTTCATCTTGAATACAAAAAACATGATATTAATAAGATGTAACCAAAATTAAATAACTAAAACGTTGTTTTTTTAATTATCTCAATTTCATTTACGTTACCTGATGATATATTCATTCTCATATAGAGATTCTCTGTAATTGTCGAAGTTGAACATTTCCTTAAGTCTACATTATTCATAAATTTCCAGTTAGAAAGACACGCAACAGGCTTTCTCATAACAATAATTTTATTTATAATCAAAATAGCGAAATTTTTCGATCCATTGTCTTCACTATATTCTGGATGAATAATAATCTGCGAGACATTAGAAGAGACACTGTGCCATGAGCTTTCAACTTGTAAATTCGCAGGCGAGAGTCTAAATATAACCAAAATAATCATTTCCAATAACATAAAAAAATGAATGTTAGAGAAATACTTACCCTTTAACACATTCAGCAGCCGTCATCACAACCTTTGGGTGAACAACAATACCCCTACAAATTTCTATGAAAAATTCTTCATTACTCCAATAAGGAGACTTCATGTTGATTACAATGTCATCAGGCGTCACCTTTGCTGTTAAATCCCTTGTATGGAGAGCAATAATGATTATGAAGAATAGAGACTTCCTAATATTAACAAATAAATAAATGAATATTATTGAAATGACTAATAAACTAATCGATCAATGATTATTTGATATCAAAGAAGAAACAAAAGTACATGACTACTAATTAATTTCTCTAACTTTTGCGTAGTAATTCTTATTACACTTACATTTTTCCTTATTTTACACTACAAATTTAAAGTTCGTTTGTGACTACTGGTTCTTATGATGCTGAGAAGTTGAATAAAGATTACTTATATACTGCCACAAAATATGAAGACGATATGCCGTAGTTAACTAATGATTACTTTGCTTTAGATAACTTGCATTTTGAGTATTTTATTTTTTTGATAAAATAGAGATTTCAATATAAATTCGCATGATAATTATCATTATAATTAATTACTTAAGTAGATAAAGATGAATACTTCTGAAAGGTTTGATTAATTCGTATATATAAATACTTTCAGGTATATTGTTGAATAACTGCTATCGAGGGCAAGTTGAATGTTTAAAAAAAATACGATTTACATAAAATCATCTAGTTATTTAGTTACAGTAATTTAAATTAATAAAGATTAAAAAAATTTGCAACTTTAAAGTAAAAGAAGAAGTTGAAGTTTTTTTAGCTTGATTTTATCTTGTTAATCATATCTTTTCAGATTTAAGATGATAACGGTAATTGTTAAATGCAAACCAAAGTTGTAGCAAAGTTATCTTTTTTGAGAATAATAAGTGCTTTCGTCAATTTTTAATTGTTAATAACCAAATTTGTCTTCTTATATTATTTTAGATGCTAACTTATGGCGTATTAATCTTAATATTATTCTCGATAATTATTGATTTTAATAATTAATATTTTTTTTCACTTCATCATAATTTAGTCATCATAAAAATGTTCTCCAATAATAATCAAATGAAGTTAATTTTAAAGTGTAATATTCATTGATTATATTTTTACCTTACGTAAAAAATTGATAATAATATAGGAATAAATAGGATTGAAAAAATTCAAAATGGATTGAATCTAGATATTATATTTCGACTTGGGTAAATAATATATAGTGTATATATTTTTTTGTGTATTTTACACAATCTCATGTATTTATTAATTCATAACCGTTGTATAAAGTTTTATCTTACATTTTCATATATATTTGTTATAGCCTGAGACGTCGTAGTAAACTATTTAGTTATTTATAAATAAATTCTTTTATTCTAAATTGAGTAATTGCTTAAGTATCGAGTAATTTATACAGAAAAATGGGCAATAATACATATAATTAATATTAAAATACAGGAAGATACTTTTGGAACACCATTAACATATTTCTGCATTTCATTCCGAATCCAAGGAACAACAGAATATACATAATTCGGTTGCTTACTAAAGGGAACCTCTTCACCATAAAGTGAACATATCTTTGTTGACGTATCTTGTGCAAAATAGTAATCAAGACATTGCGAATTTGTCGTACTTGATTTACAGATTATCATTTCAACTTTACGATTCTACAGAAAAAATGTTTGTGGTTAATAAACACAAATGGAAAAAAAATTAAAATGATTACCTTCAAAATATTTGGAATTTCCGCAGAATCTAATTCACATAGTTGACTAGGAATTGCAGCAAGCCGATACAAATGTGGCAAACGAAGACATTGGGATTCATCTTGAATAAAAAACAATTATTAGCAAGATACTTCAATTTTTCTCTAATTAATGTTGTTTACATCTTTTCTATTACCTGATGAAAATTTATTAAAGAGATTTGTTGTTATCAGTTTGTTTGAACAATCAGAGATTAAATCTGCATTATTCAAAAACATCTCATCAGGCAAACAAGCTATTGAATTTTCTGTAGTAATAGCAGTTTCCATGATTAAAATAGCAAAATTATTGGTACCACTACATGCAATATATTCTGGATGAATAATAATTTTTGAAACATCAGAAATCAGCAAGTACCGTAAATGTCCAATAACCAAATTCGAGGGCAATAATCTAAACATAATAGAAACAATAATTATAAATAATTTAGAAAATTAATGGTTATTAAAAAATATACAAACCCATCAACACATTCAGCAGCTGTCATCACAACAATGGGATGAATGGCAATACCTCTGCAAATTTCTGAAGAAGCTTGTAAATCATATGCCTTCATGATTATAACTTCAGCATTTGACACTTGTGCTATTGAATCACTTGAGTAAACACCAGTAATGAGCATAAAAAATAGCAGCTTCCTAATATTAACAGAAAATAAATAATTACTGTTGAAAAATAGCATAAATGAATTATTTACGTATTAGTTTAGCTATTTTATATTTTTTAATAACATAAAAAAAAAAAATGATGAACTTACATTTTAGGTTGATTTTACACCAAAAAAATTCGAACTAGTTAATGACTCAGAGATTAGGCTTCATGTTAAGGTGTTAGATAAAATGTATTTAGTGAGATTATTTAATTTCAGTCATTGAGATAAATATAAAGTAAATAATTTTTTTACTAGAATTTGAACAAACCTAACGATATAAGTAATCATAAATAATTTTACTTATTGAAATAAAAATAAATAAATAATTAAAGAATCCAGACATTTTGAATTCAATAATTGACAAAATAAATTGATTTTAACAACTTAGAGTTCCATGAACCCGAGCTTCGCCTACACAAATTAAAGAATGGCTGAACAATATTTAAGAGTATCAACTTCAATGTTAAGTGATCTTATTACATTTAGTCATACTTGAAGATATGTTGTTCTATTTTTTAAAATTATCAAGTGCATAAGAAGAAATGTTTAAATTGTAACATATTATGATAAATGTGTGTTACCAATTGTATCATTTATTGTTGACCTTTGCTTACATTATACGTCCAGTCTGTTAGTGTTCCAGTCTATTTTGGTAGACGAACAACCCTCTCAACAATCTTTGATTTGGATTTTTCCATTTTTTTTTTTAGTCTCAATCAGACCTCTTCACTCGCTCAGATGGACTCGAGGTCTAATTCTAGGAAGTTTATAAACATGAGTCCAATGCGACCATTAAATCATCTACAATTAGTTGGTGGCAAGTTGTACGTAATATCTGGAACTAATTAAATATCTCACGGTGACAGTTTTAACTAATTTTATATTTAAACCATCACCACTTAGGTAGTTAGGAACCAACCTTCTTGAAGAATTAATTGAAATGTCATTATTTAATTTATCAAGAGAGAACAAGACTACTTTAAGTTATGACAAATGAATCAGGAAGAGAGTTAAATGAACAATTTATAAATGATAATAAAACAATAGGAATTTATCATGATGAAAAAATCATACTAATTTATAATACACCTATTATAAAGATTGTGTATTGAAATATTAATGAAAGTTTCATAACTGTATCATTGTATTTAAATATTGCATCCATTGTCGAATGTGCAACTTGTAGTAATGGATCTTAAATGTACAATGAACAATCCTAATTGCTGTCAAGACGGTACAATAATTAGAATGCATTTGTTTTTGATGTGAAAAAATACAAGAATTACTTTCCTCAATTTTTTTCCTTAATTAAAACAGCTAGTTTAGAATCTCCATGAAATCTACAATACACTTTACAAAAAAAATCAATTGAATAATGTTTAATTGTGTAATCACATGATTGGTGTTGTTATCTAAAAGAATACTTAGATTGTTATAAATATATAATAATTTTGTTATATTTATTTATTTATATTAACATTATTTATTTGAAAGAAAGACAGTAAATTCTCTCAAAGATTTGACTTTAAATGTTAATAGGCTATTTCGTTTTAATCCTATACTATACTACACTATACTATACTAGAGTTGAGGTCACTTGAAAATGTTCTACCTGCATTTTCGATACTTATGTATTCACAATAATTAATACCCGAAACCCTTTGCTGGCCCAGAAAATGGTTAACCAATAAAACTTTCCTACGTTCTTGAAGATTCAAAAGCCTTAAATCGTTGGATTTCTATTGGGTGAGAGAATCTACTGTAGAACAGGTATGAGCCATCAGGATTTCTTAAAGTTCCTGTGACTAAGTACTTGGATCCCTTGATGTAATTTTCATTGTGGGTCTTATTGTTCGAGTACTCTTAATCTTCAAGGGAACCATAACTTCAAGAATGTCGCCCATACCTGCTATAGAAGGTTTTATTGTTTGCATTTAATTTAGTAACGCACATAATTTACAATTCATTCTTCCTTGCTACAGCCAAGATAATATACAAAGACAGCTGATGGAATTCACCAGAAAATTTTAATCATTTTATTGTACTCATCCTATTTTAATCTTTCACATAAATCTTCAGTTAAACAAATACAAGAAAATCATTACACTTCCTTTATTATAATACAACAAACAGATTTTTCGATAACTTATCAATTATTTGTGCATAGCCAAATGATCACTATTTGCTTAAACTTCTGATAAGAGCAAAAGAATCAATAAAAAACCACATTGTGCATACTGTGAATCAATGTGATTCATTGTTATGAGAATTGATAATTTTTTCTATCTTTTATTTTGAATATCTTGGATCAATGTTCTTATTGAAAACCTTCAGTAGATTGGCATAGCTAGTGAGGGAATGTTGGAAAATATCTATAAATTAATGATAGCAATTCGCACATCTGCAGGCTTGTGTAATTAATCATTATACATTTCCAAGTACAGAATTCATGGTAAGGGAGACTATTCGTCGAGATCTATATTAAAGCTTACTGGAAGTTACTGCATTTCCTCATTTCTTGTTGAGTGATTCTTCTATTCAAACATGTATACCTACATAAGGGTTATGAAAACTAAAATAATTTACTAAGTGCTTATTAATTTATTACCACATTCCTTTCATCATGAAGAACATTAATGATATAAGAATGACAATAAAATAAAAAAATTAGTAATGGAATTTTTTCAATCATTTTAGAAAAGATGTTAACTATTTTTGCATCATTAAAAATATTTCTATCATTTTTTTGAATTTATTATATTTGATAAAAATTATTAGATTTATAATTGTCTTAACTGTTGATACTTTCTGATTTGTTGTACATGTTTTGATGTCAATTTGTGACAGAATATCCAATCAAAAAGGAGTAACATGAGTTGGAAATTAAAAATAAAGTCATTAAAATGTATTTTTTTAAGATAAAAAACAAGTTAGAACAGTATATGTCAATCAATGAGATTATTGATCATTAGAGAACTTGAAGGATTGTAAATAGAATGTACCTTTTTACCTCTTCAAGCATCGATTCCCATCACTCGTTCATCAACAAGTCCCTTCTGGCTTTAGTTTCTCCTCAGAATAGAACTTTGCTTCAAAGTTACTGCAGTTTTTATCTCCTCCCAGGTTGTCAGTTTGCTTCCGGACCTGAAAAGAAGTGTAAAGCTTTCATTCTCTTTTACGTATTTTTGTTTCATGTTTTACTAAAGAAAAAAAAATTTTTTTATGTTTCAGCACTCAGATGCCATTGCAAGAAATCACGATGAATCAGACACGTCTGGGCAATGGTAAGATTGGAATTTTTTTTTACAAATTTGTTTTGATCAAAAAGTAAATATTTAAGTGAACTTTAGGAATAATAAGCTTTCCAAAACATCGAAGTATACTAAAATTCGAATAAATTAATTCAAAAAAAAAAAAAATCAACATTGTCAAATAAGAGCAATAATTAAATTAAAATTATTGGTATGATTGAATAAAAGCAAAACATGGATTTGAATTATCTTAAAGTTAAAAAAGAAATAAAATTAATGATTATATTTTTTGGTAAGTTTATGGTGATATTTATTGATGATATGTAGTGTAACTACGACTCCGAAATGATTTATAACAAATCAATATTTCTTTTATGACGAAAATCCGATCCCAATCAATCACTATTATCATTAAAGTGAGAAAAAAAATCAGCTTTGCGTGTCTGAATCAATAACATGCACTACTAACCCCTAAAATCTACATTTAGTTACACTGCTTGGGTTTTATTTTATTTAATTATATCCCATCACTCTAATGATATACTCTTCATGTTAATTCAAAGACCAGTTCCTTAATAACAAATTTCATTGTTCATATTTCTATTATATTCCACTTAAAAAATTATAAGCTACTTATTTACCTTAATATTTGCTCTAGATAATCCTAGATGTTGTATTCTGTTCAATTCTATTCAAAAAACTAAATTGAAAGAATTCGATAATCGAGTAATGATCTTATTTTTATGGAGCAAGTAATCTAGACAAGAAAGTGTGCTTAAAAACGGATGTGATCACATAGACGATCCTATCATCTTGAAGATAACCGGATGTGGGTTCTAGAGCAGCTGACACACCCAAGGGAGCCAGATTGAATCGATTGTTGAGGTTCATTTACAGATAAGGAGTGACGATCCTTTGGCCTTTTATTTTAGCCATTAATAATACCTATCGACGGGTCATCGAGACGTATCGACATCATCAACTCGATTAGAGGACAGTCTAAACACATGACAAAGAACAATAGAAGGCCACTGTCCCCATCATAGTTATATTGTATCAACGTAACTGATCTTATTACTTATTTCCGATGTAATTAACTTTCCATTGGTGCATGCCGATTAAAAATGTTCCATCAAGTGACTCTCGTTCATCAAGAGAAAAAGAATAACAAAAATACTTTAAGTGAGTATTTCTATCCCAAGATTCTCTCGAGACGTCGTGACGCCATTTCTCCCACTTTATCATGTCAAACTTACTCGCTGTGGTACATAGAATTCTTAGAAAATGCTCGTTTTCTTGTCTTCTTCCTCCTTTACAACTTTCTCATCTAGATTTCCTTCATTTCTAATGCATCTTCTTGGCTCTCAGAACAATCCAAAACCAAAAATATGAAAATTCTGTGGAAATTTTGGATATTTTTATAACCCCGATAGTTTTTATCTTATTTTTAGAAAGATAGTGATAAAGAAAAGTTTTCTGAAAGATTTAAGATTGTAGAATTCGAAGCTAATGAAATGTAAGCTATTTTGAGATATTTTACTGTGTTTTCTAGATTATAAATTACACATTTAACATCCAAACTTTTCATTTTTACCAAAAAAAAAAAAATTTCAGATATTTAAAATGGAATTTAAACAAATTTTAATTCTATGTTTGTTGAAGCAAATAAAATAGTTTGCTAAAAGAGAAAAAAACTGAAAAAAATTTTAATTTATTCAGGGTAGACTTTAAAACAGGTTTATAACCAAAGATATCACTCATAAATTAAATAAGTGCTCTACAAAATTCAGCTAAAATCTCACAACTTAAAATGAAAAGAAATTGTAAAGAAGATTGGAGTGAAAAGAGTTGGGTTGGAATTTCTATTTTCGTCTTGATCTCAGTGGTTGCTTCCGCAAATACTGGAGTAGATCGAGCGTCTGTCGACCTCGTTATTGCATTGGGATTCACCAATTTACTCAAACCTGATACAACTACGTGTTAAGTGGATCTAACGAGCCACTTGATATATTGGAATAAATTTGACTGTTCAAAAGCTAATTAGTTTGACCTACGAATCAGACTGAAGAGGAGATTTAGCAATGAGTGACCTTGTAAATAAATTATTCACGTCATTACATTGGCTTTGGCGATGAGATTGTTTGAAAAAGTCACAAGAAGACACCTGATTTTACGACCCCGAATGACTAGACTTTAAGAATCCAGATCAGGCGCCGTTCGACGGACCTTCGTGACTTCTTCTTAGAAGTCAAAGCTTTGTAGCCAAGACTTACAGGCGCGAATTCACTTTTCTCTCTTCAGTGCTTTGTACTTTGGACCACTCGAAAACTTTGCCAAGTCTCCTGTGCCATGGTAGTAAAATAACCTCTGTATTTTATGCTCTAGATTCATTAAAATTAAATTAAGTATCACATTACCATTTTTTGTCTATATTTAGTTGTGATTTGTCATCAGACAATGAGCTTCAGCATTTATATTTTATCTTCATGGTAACAATAAATGTTAATATAAGTGAAAATGAAGATTAGGATGATAATAGATTTCTCTAGAAATGAACCTTTGAAAAAAAGGAGAATTTAGTGATAAATGAAAGATGTTGAATATTTAGTCTAGAACAATAATACTGAAGAAGTATTATCTTTTGGCTTATATTTAACTTTGCAATTGTGAAGTAAGATTATTTATAGTTTAGAGAAAACGAAGTAAGTGTTGAAGATGTAAAGTTATTATTAATGAATGTTTTAGATCAATGGAATAAATAGCCTAGAATGAATTAGTATGATAAATCAGGATTTAGAATTTTCAAAAAAGCTACTCCAAAAAGAAAAAACGAATTAATTTGTCGCAGTAATAATTTTTGATAAAACTTTTCAAATGTATCAAACAAACGACTTTGAAAGATCATTAAATTTTATAAATTGAATCTTTCAGCAGCTGCCAAAAGTATTTTTCTCAAAGAAAACTTTTGAATCCTTTTGGTGTCGAGTAACAGGAAGTTGGATTGTATTTTCTTCTTGCCTTGGAAGTTCCCTCAGACTGCACCTAGCACGTATACAAGCACTTATTCTGGATACGTGGGATGTAGTCGTCAATCCCTCAACTTATTTCTGGTGTCTCAGTGCACCAGACTTCCTCTTTTTCTTTTCATAATTCTTTTCTATGCCATCCCTGTTGAACCAAAAATTATGTTCAACAACTGCTCCATTAATGGATTAAATTTTAAATAAATGTCTTATTGACACTTAACAGCTCATAACAAATAAATTATTCAAGCTATTTCAGCTGCGGTTTGTCTAAATAGATATATTTTTGATAAATTTAGATGAAAATTGAATTTTCAATTAAAGGAAAGTCCAACTTTACACTTCAATTCTTAACTCATCCTTTTTCTGAAAGCGACAATTCAACATTAGGTTCAACTAAATTAGCTTTCATTATTTCTTGGGCTGTAAGATTAAATCTCTATGCCTAATTGATTGGTAAAATAATTAACTTTTATAATTAAATCCAACAGAAGCACTTGGCTTCAATCAATGTTCAGTTTACTTTCCTGTCAGGTTGAGGTTTTTTACTGAATATCATTCATTTTCTGCTTAAATACACAAATACTAAAAGTCGTTAACTAGATGTTAAAGAACATCATAATTGGATGTCAATCTATAAATGTACTGTCGAGCAAAGGTACTTCTATTTTAATTATGAATGCAGTCTAAAATTAAAACATAAATGAAAGCCGATAGCAATAGAAGTAAGTCGTTAGGTCAGGTCAAATGATAGCCACATTTTTACCTGAAAAAAGACAAATAAGAAATGGCAATTTTGGCCTAAATGTGTCATCTATAAATACGGGGAGCCCCGTCGTGCATGAGTATTGCTACAAGCTCATAGAGGGATCAGTACAGCTGCAGCTGTTACTCCAAGACCGCAGAGAAGAAACTCCTCTGGAGTGAATCACCATGGTGTTTCACTGACCAGGACTACTATACTCATATCTTTTCTATTGCTTTTACTTCACAATGTTCTTATTTTTTATCATTTAAATAGATTTCAGAAGTCGTATTAATGTGGAAAGAATAATTACTTGATATTTTATGATAGTTATTGAGACTTCAGACATATTTCTATACTTTCGGTAATTTATTTAAATCAGTTTAGGCATAATCATTTATTTATCATTAAAACTGAAAGATACATTTAATAAAAAACAATTGTGTGTTTAATTATCATATGTCTAAAAGGTGGAGTGGGGTATGTTGAAGAGCTTATTTAGAAGTAGCAAGAGCTTTTCAACCTTCATGATTCATCACTGAAAAAATTTCCAATTAGAATGAGAAAGTGGATACCTGATTGTACATTAAGATATCGATAAATGACATAATTTCTCGAAAATGTCGACTACTTGAAGGAGTTTTAATTATCTAATAATTATCAAAAGTTTTTTATAGCTTTTAAACAATGAGTTTTTATCAAGAATGATTATCATTTAATTATTTCTTATTTTAAAATTTTTTATCAGAACATATTTTTTTCCAAGTTAAATATTTTGGTGAATGAGTAATTATTGTTATAGATTAGGTAACGAGCCAGTGTTATGTAACTTGCAATTTTGCACGATGAGAAATACTGAGTTATTCTAGTGAAATGAAGAGAGAAGTTTTATGCTAAATTGGGTTAAATTTAATTAATAATTATTTACGAACTAAACTAGTGATATAATTATAGACTCTTTAATGATAAAACAGCATATTCTGAAAATAGAAAAACTCTAACAAGTCACACTACCCATAGATAGGGTGCACAACAATTTAAAATTTATGTATATTATTTCCTGTTGTGAAAATCTATGACAGAGATGGGTTTGACTCATCAGTGCCAAAGCATGTTTATTAAGTAGCCCAAAGTTTAGGCTCCCTTGCAGTCAAACTATGCCCACCTCTGATCTATGGTCACATTATAATACCTATATAGGTATTGAAAAGCTAAACCCAACAATGAGTGTAGATTCGACACTTTAAAATGGAGAACAATATAACAAAGAACAGATGCTGAGATCTCATGAAACAAACACGTGTCATCCAAAAGTCTGAACAAAGGGAAACCGTGACAAAAGGGGCCTTGTTCAGGAAAATTTTGCCTGCTGCATGGTAGGACTAGGAAGAGTAGTTGTAGAGTCATTAGCTTCCTCAATAAATAATACTAGTGCATTCGGTGTGCTGCATCTGCAGTTTAGAAGATTCAGTTTAGAAGAGTCATGTTGAATCTAATTATATTATTTGTCTGGTAGATTGTTGATAAACTAGGATATTTTGGTGTAACGATCCAACACACATTCTCTTTATATGCTGTATTTTATTACATACATGAGATTAAAGTGATATATATTCTGTAAATAAATAGAGAACAATATTAGTTTAACTTTTCTAATTCATTTCTATATTTTGTAAACTCTAATAATGTCAAGTTTTATCAGTTTATTTATTGCACTATGTCGGAGTTATTTTATTGGATATTATCAAACAAAAAGTATTTATAAGTTAACAAAGTTTTAGAAAAATTATTCAATGTGTTGAAATGATTCATTTCTTTTCTAATAATGCGTATATATTTTTATAAAAGAAAAAGAAAACAAAGGCTACTTGTCTTGGCTCAGTTTGATCCTTGAATCATATACCTATATTGCTCTTTAGACATTGAAAATAATTTTAAACTACTCTTTGTACAACGTATTAACATTTGGCCTCTCTCAGTTACTTTTTACCCGTTGACGATGCTAGTCGTCGTGTAAGGGTTAAAATTTTAATTTAAAAAATTACAATTATCGAGAACAGTGCTCGATAGTCGAGAAAACGACATGAAAAATTTAACCCGGATGAGTTATTTTGTGGAATGGGATGTGGCAAGTCAAAACTTGCTCCTTCAGATAACGATTCAACCACTGGTGAAGATAAACCCATCAGAATAGAAATCATGTTCGGTAGGACACATCCTTATTACTTTTATAAATCAATCTTTTTTTTTATCCAGTTCATTTATTTGCTCATGTTGGTCTAGAAGTCCATGAGGATTTATTTAGACTCAATCAGCTTCTTTTTATAAGCTAAATCTGTGTGGTAGAGCTAAGACATTCTCGACTAAAGCTTCGATCTGAATTTGACGGGGAAATAAAAAAAAAGTAAAAAAAAAAAAAATAGCAGAAAAGCGATTGGTCCAACATAAAAACAAGAGGAATAATAATAGGTCGCGAAGCTGCTTACTCTTTGGTCAGTAGCCAAAAGGGTCGAGGAATAAGCGTCGCGACGTGTGTTCTTCACTTCAAACTCTTGCGAAGTTGGCACAATGCTTAAATATCCTCAAGGCGCGACAACTGACTGATAGCATCGATGTCTGATTAATTTTAATTAAACAAACAGGTGTGATGAAGAAATTTCTGAAAATAAGCTGAAATATTCATCAAGATCTTTTTAGACAGCAGAAATAATTTTACTTTGTTGTGAGATTAAATTTATATTTAGATTTAAAAACTTTTCTTCATTGTTATAGTTTTATTTAGTAATTTATTCGTCTGTTTGAACATAAGAATAAAAAAAAATATTATCAATATGGATAAATTAAATTCAGTTATCTAAAAATTCATTGGTTAACCACAAAAATCATGTATGAATGTCACGTGAGTGCTTCAAATTTAGACTGAGAAAACGCGGGTTTTGGAAAGCTTTCAATTTCTTTCGCCCTGCAATGCAGAGTAAGAAATATTTTACTTGATTTTGTAAAAAAAATATGGGTTAGGTTATGGAAATAAAATTTTTTATAAAACTGTATTGTTAAATATTAATTATCATAATTAATCAGGTTCTTTAGATAGAAAAGTATTAATTAATATGATTATTTTACAGGCACCAGCACAAGGTCTCCAGGAAAGGTTCTTCCTGCTGGAGCAATGACCATGAAAGACTATGAGGAACATTTGGAAGCTTTAAAAAGTGAAAATTTCCAACTTAAATTAAGGGTATTTTTTCTGGAAGAAAGGATGGGAATAATTAGTACAGGTGCAGCTGATGAAGATCCAGTTAGAAAAAATATCAAATTGAAGGTTAGTAAATTCAATAAAAAATAGAACAAAAAATTTAATTCATTCTTTTGTATGATGGAAATAAATTTAATTTGCTTTCAGGTTGAAATTGAGGCTTTGAAGAAAGAGTTGATAGAAAAACAGAAGCTTTTGAGTCAAGCAGCGAAGGCGTTTGAATTATATGAAGAACAGAAAGAAGTAACGAAACGTAATGAAGCTCAGTATGAAGAATCATTGGAGAATAGACGACTACGTATAATTGAGCTTGAAAAAGGTGGGCATGAATAAAAGAGAAGACACTTATTCACTTTAGTGTATATTAGATTGCTTTCTTCGCAATAAAAATTTATTATTCTCGATTTAATGTAATAACTTACGTAATCTTTTTTTTTTAGAATTAGAAGAATATCGAGAAAAATTATCTGATACGTCGATATATTACCAAGAAGCTTTTGGAATTTCACCAGAAATCGCTTTGGAAAATAAAGAAAAACTAAATCAAATGGAAGAATTGGTGAGATCTCTTGAAATGCAGGTGATGAATATTCTTGCAGTCCAATAAAATGATATTAATAACAAATAAACTGGAACTTTACATTGAAAATATTATTCTAATTATAATTATAGGTAGAACAGTTAAAGTCGAGTTTGGACGAAGAACGAACATGGGGTCAAGAAATGGAAACTGAAAGAGACGAGTTAAGAGCTCGTTTAGAAGAAGAAACTCAAGTCCGAGAAAAATTAATCATGGATAAAGATCTAGATATCGAAACTTTGAGAGCGAAAGTTAAAGAATTAGAGGAAGAAGCGTTCAGACGTGAAAGTGTAACACAACAATACAAGACAGAGCTTGCGGAAAAAGATCGAATTATCAAGGAAAAAATCTCATTGTTAGAAGAGAAGTGTCGTGCATGTGAAGAATTGAATGTTGTTGCTGAGAAGAGAAAGAAACAAGTCGATCAATTAAGATTATCGGTTAAATCTCGGGATGAAGCCTTGGCAGATACGAATAATAAATATCGCACGCTTCTTAATCAGGTAACTACAATGATCATTAATGATGAGTATTTTTTTAACAATTGAATGCAAAGATAATTTTTTAAATGGGTTTTATTAATGTGTTTCAATTTAATAACAATAGAATAATTTTATAATAGTTAATTAAATGATAACCAATTAATTTTAATGTGTTTTATTCTTGACAGTTTGAAAATAATAGACGTTTCTCACCACCAAGCAGTCCGTCCACCTTAGATGATTCTCAATCAATCAGGTCAAATTTAAAATCAGGACCAATAGGTTCTCCATCACGTGTATTGATGAGTTCATTTGATTGGGACAGTAAAAAAGACAAAGCAATTTCTACAACACCAACGCCATCAGTTATGTTTGATAACAGCAAAGAAATAAATGATTTAAAGAGGGTACTTATAATATTCAAACTATTATTATTCATTAATTAAATATACTTCAAAGAATTTATATACTCATCTTATGGATATAATTTTTTAGCAACTAGAAGAGAAAGATCAAGAATTGGAGAAACAAAATGAGGAAAAGAAACGGTTAATTCTCAAGTTATGTAATGTTCAACAATCAGCAGAGCATACAGAAAATGAATTAAACCAGCTTAAACCTCGACATGAACAGGCATTGAAAATGATACAAAGATTCTGTTTACAACAGAAAAAACTTGATGAAAAACTCTTGAGGAAAGAACAAAAAAAAGCAGAGATGCAACAAGGTTTAAAAAAACCAGCCGAAACTTTCAAATTAAAAAGAAACGATGGATTACAAAAAAATATTGATATCGAAACGTCTGATGGTTCCGATGAACAAATGACCCAGGTTGGTAAATCAATTATTCTTTGATAGCCAAGCATGATTGTTGTTTCATTGTAATTTTATTTAATTTAAAGCATCATTAAATATAGTATCCAATTTGCAATTTATATGACAAAATGAGCTCTAATGATGGCGTCAAAGTGAACTCTTTATAATTTTAAATAGTGATTACAGTGAATGCCTTCATGAATTAGACCAAAAATGCAGTTAATATGAGCTCATTTAGACATAATCTTATAAACTATCTTGGCTGTCTGGAAATATGAATTCTTTTCTTTCAACAATTTTTATTTTAACAATCACAGAATCAATAAGGACTAAAACATTTCTATATTTGAGTAGTGAAACGCATTGGTTTTCCTTTTTTCAGAAAGAATCTTCTACTTCTTCTTCTTCTCCTCGGCTTTGACAACTTCATTATACTGCATGTTATATTCAGCTTCGAGATTCACTTTTACAAATTTTACTATATTTTTATGAATTTCGCTTTATGAAAATAAGAAAAATTATTCAAGAAAATATAATTTATATTTTAAACTCTTCGTCTTTCTTTCTAACCACATACTTTTCAATACTTCATTTCTATTTTTCTCCTATATTTTTCCTTGTTTCAAGTTGATACATTTATGAATTCCTAAGTTAAATGTCCTACTCACAATATTATCCTTAGACCATCAAAATTTTTGTCGACGGATAAATCTACACATAATAGAGAATCGCAGTGATATAAACAGGAAAAGAGGCCTTCCTTTATGCTAATAATAGCAAGACCGTTCTGGGTGCCTTACAGTCATACCAAAATTCATTTCGGTCAGTCAAGCCGACGCGTGTCGCGTGCTTACATTTCTACGATTATCACGAACGACTATTTGAAAAATTAACGACTGATAACTGCTAAAATTTGTTGTCATGACTTTTGATCTTTTCTAATTTACCTGTTAACATTTGCTTCACTTTTTGTGCATTCGACTGATACCTAGCTGACTCTAATCTTAGATAAAATTAACACAACGGTATTTTTCAATTAAAAATCGTAAGTGTTATTCGACAAATATTCTTGAACGACATAGACAGTTTTTGTATTTAATACGACTGTTGTTAAATTATTAAAATGTTGTCATGTTTATGTGTCTCAATGCGAGTAGAGGTAGGTAACAATGGACCTTTCGTAATCATTTCCAATGACAAGAACGATTTGTAAAATTTTATTTTTGAAATGTAATCCAATACATTTTACCTCGAAACTAACTTAAAATATACATTTACTAATATTTTTATTTATTTTAAATCATTGTTAACAACATTTATATGATCAATAAAAATTCTTTAACCAAGTTTACGATGAGAAAAAATAAACATAACAATCATAATAATAATTGGAATTTAGTAGCGAAGCTTGTGTAAAAAATAGCGTAAAGACTGAGATTCTAAAATCTTTTTTAGGAACCAGTCGTTGCTATATTGCCACCGAGATCATGGACAAAGCAGTAGAAAAATGACTCAATCAATTAGCTCCCAAGAATAATAAACTATCTAATGAAAACCTTCAATTTAAATTTCTATCCTTTGTATTATTAATCCTACATCTCTTTTGCATGTGTAAACATCTTTTTTTTCTAAATAAATATATTTTTGATCGATATTCAAGTGTGTGAGTTTTATTGATGGAAAAATTATTTTGCTTTTTGTGTACAGCAACGTTTCGAGGAATTGGAAGCAAAGATTAACGATCTAAGAGATGAAATTACTAGTATCAAGGCTGAAAAAGTTAAGCTGAAGCATCAAGTACAAGAAGAATCAAAGGTAAATAATATAAACAATAACAAGAAAATACTGTTATTAATAAAGAAAAATGAAATTAAATACTTTATTCAAATGTTCACAATTGAAACTAAAGTTTCCAAGTGCATTTGAGTGAGTTTAAACTACTGGAAGTTCTAAAGCTTCAGAGTTTGCGAATATAAATAGATACATATAAAAGCATTAGAGTATAAATTCCTAGCCGGTTTATCCTCGAATGCAGTCAACAGAAAGGGACTCTACATATTTGAATTGAAGCATGAAAATTTTACTTTTTCTTCTTTTTTTATTTTCTATACTAAAATAACTATTTTTTATAGGATCTCCAAAATCAGCTCGAGTCTACGCAAAAAGAAATCAATAATCTGGATACAGAGAAAAATAAAATGGATTCATACTGGTCCGATTCCGATGTACCTCCGGCACCATCTCCAAAACCATCTTTACCCATCAACGAAGAAATAGATCCTATAAATGATTCACCACACACACAAATTGACAAGTTAAAAATGAAATTGTTTATCAAAGATACAGAAACTAAACAATTGAATAAGAAAATTGAAGAATTGACCAAAGATCTTCAAGTAAAGACTCAGAATTTACAGAAATTAGTTAATACTGAACTTTGGAGCAAAAATAAAGAAATTGCAAAACTCCACAATCACATGACTGCAAATCAAAGTTACGATAAAAATCGTAGTAAATCTGATCAAGAAAATGCATATCATTTGAATATTTTACTTAAAGAATTAAATGAATGTGGAGTTCAAGTTGAATTTAATGAAGAAGCTGTCCATATTAATTTCTTGAAAGATGGCCATTCTGGTAATGTTAAAACAATGATTGCTTATATTGAAAAATTGAATGAAGAAAAAACAAAACTTCAAAGTGAAGTAGATTCTTTAACTTGGTTCACGATGGTATCTAAAGCAGATTCAAAACTCGAGATTGGTGATGAAATTGAGTCAAGAAATCCTACAACATATTGTGAATTATTAAGAACGCACTTAATAGGGCTTATTAAGTTTATGAAAGCAACTTTGTCATCTCCCGATTATCCAGAAGACAGTGAACAAAGGAAAATCATTCTTGAATTTTTAGCAAACACAAAACCATTCTCTGAAAACTTAGTTCAAGCTGTGAAAAATAGTCCAATTGCGATCAATAATGAAAACGATCAGGTGAATCATGTCGATGATCAAGATCAAGGTTTCAGAGAATCACAATCTGATTCTGAAACATACTCTGAGCCTGACAGAAGCGTTTCAAAAGCTAGAATGGGTTTGAAGATCAATGATCAATGCCGATGTCGAGTAATAACTAGACATACTAAAACGAATAAAAACTTAAGTGATTCAGAAGATTCTCTTGATTATATTCCCTTTTATTCAACATCACAACATGATTTAATAGATAATGAAGTTTCTAAAGCTGTCGAAACACTCCGAGATCTATGTCATATTCTTTGTACAGATTTTGATTCTTTACGTAATGAGTTAGTGAAAAAATGTCAGCTCGATGATGTATTAGAAGAAAAACTATTGCCAGCGATTTTCAATAAATTAGAAAAGTCAGTAGAGCTGTGTGACAAAGTAAAAGTTCTTTTCGAGAAGAAAATTCATGAATATCATGATTTGATGAAATCGAAACAACATGAAGTTAAAAAATTGGAAGACGATACGCAAAGATTTTCACAATTGAATCATTCAACGACAACGGCCATTATCAAACATCATCATCAAAATGATAACCCTTCGCAAATAGTATATAACTGTCGCGAAGAAATTGAAGAATTGAAAACTCAAATACAGAAATTGAAACAACAAAATGATGAAGCTTCTGAAAGTATTGCTAAGCTTACCAAGGACTTAGATCGTTTGACACTAGCTCACAGTCAAGTTCTTGTGGACAACACAAAGTTGACTAATGAAAAATTGAAATTGGAACAAGAATTAAGAAAATCCGTAAATCGATATGAAAGTACTGTGCGTTCTATTCGTGAAAAATTCAATAAAGAAGTCGCTGAATTGAATCAAATGAATGGTTCTCATAGAACAAGAATGCAAGATTTAGAAGCAACTAATAAAGAATTGAGAAGGAGAGTTTTGTGTGAAACAAGCGACTCAGCACCAAGTTCTAGTGGAGTTTCGTCGATTCCTACTGAGATTAATAAACCTTGCGATGATATATTGCAAGAATTCCATTCTTATAATGTAAGTTAACAAGTTTATATCAACTACTATAATTATTTATAAAAAAGTCTGGAATATTAATATATTGATTTTTTTTTAAATATAGAGTTCTCAGTATTGGCTACCTACTAGTTATCCATCCTCATCTGGAAGAAGTAAATCCAGCTGTTCACCAGACCTTGGTATTGAAAGTGATGCTGCTGCGTCAACAAGGCCTTTGAAAGATACTCTCAAGATCACTGAATCGATGACAAATTTATTAAGCGATGAAGAAAATTGCAACACTAATGCATTAAGAGATCTAGACAGAGAAAGTCCGCTACAAATGGAAGGTACTTACAAACCTCTTGATATATTGTATATTCTTATTGATAGAATCAGAGTTGGAATACTGTACTTTAATAATTTTGGTTTATTATTTTATTTATAGGTGGACATAATTATAGTATGTATTTCAAACAGTTGAGTTCTATGGCTTTTAGTTCTTAAATTATTATGTATTTCTATCGGAATGCACTCAGTATTTGCAAAAAAACTTAATATATAACTTATTTGTACTTGCGCTATTGACATTTACATTATTTCATGATCTATATTAATTTATAAAATCTTACTTTAATAATTCATTTCATTTCATTGGATTGATTAAAAAAGCTAGAACTCGTAAATCTGGTTAACTTTATTCATGAATGAACTATTAATTACTTTAAATGGCAAAATAACATCCATAATTCGATGTTATAATTGAATAAATACTTGATAAAGTTATTAATAATTTTTTCATTTTGTGTAGGTCTAGATGAAGTCGAGGCATTGAAACAAGAGAATGAAGCACTAAAGAAGAGATTACTGAAAACAAGGAAGGCTCTTGAAGATACATTTAAGCATCTTTCTGCGTCAAACAGAAATAAGAAAAATGTTGAGAAAGCAATTACTAAGCAATTAATGATTACGAAAAGTATTTTAAACAAAACGAGAACGTATGAAGACCAATTAGATAACTGACATATAAAAAATCAAAATATAAAGTTAGAGTAAAGCACTAAAATGAAGTACAAGTCCACAAGTTTTCTTGTACGATTTAATGTTAGACAAACTTTTTTCGTGAACAATCTGTTTTATTATTCATCGCGTTGCTTTTTTATTTGATTTTTTTGCGGTTCACTCTTAGATCCGATCGACTGATTGAATCATTGGTACTTAAGTTTATCAATAAAGTAATTGTTATGACAGACAATATGAAATAATAAATATTTTCATACTGATATGAATACGATTTTTTAAAAAAATGATGAATGTTAAAAAACCAAAAAAAACTAATGTTAAAATACTCAGTTATTCGCAAAATTGTTAAGCATCTTTAGAATAGTTCTTGTAAATACTTAAAAGGTAAGAAACGCGAACATCTGACATTTTTTTTATACGTAGAATTTACTGATGAATCATTTCACGTAATTGGAATAAGGGCAATATTGATAAATTATGTAAGTGTATATAACATTTATAATCAACGAATCACAATTGAACATCTGTATATAAAACATGAAAATAAAGTGCCATTAATATTTACAATAAAATGCTCTGTTGATTAATGATTGAAAAAAAAAACCTTTATTTAATATTTAACCTATTTATCAATATCATTTTATTTTTAAGCTTATAAAAATATATTTTTACTTCAATATGTTAAAAGAAAAAATAATAAATTAAGATAACATTTTTAATTGTTTATCTATCCAACTATTGAGAAGATAATTTTTAAGAGCCCAAATAGTATGACGAAGCTCTGCTGTGCTGCCCCAATCTTCTGAGATCTTTCCCATCCAAAAATGGAAATTTTTTATTTGGTTACGAATTCGAAGTTTGGTTGTATCTAATAGCTTTTCCAGATTCTTTTTTGATTCATTTATATTAACTCTACCGACATCGCTCAACGATGACATATCCATTAGTTTAAGTGATTTCAATTTTTCATCAGCTTCTCTGATTTCTTTTACTATTTCTTCAAACATTAAAATGAACTCACACAAGTCCTTTACATTATTCTCATTCATTTTTGTAAAATTATATTATATTTAAACGAGTATCATCTACCTGTAAATAATATTTTATGTCAAAATTATATTACTGAAATAATTATATCATCTGTAACAATAATTTGGTACCTTTATATCACAATTATTGAACGGATAACCTTCGATTCCAATGTCGAGATGCCTTCTTTTCAATTAAAATACTAATCAGTCAAAAAATTATATATTTGATCATCATAAAAGAAAATAAAGAAAGTAAATCATTAGAATTAATTTTCGATAATTCTTTATCCTTGGAGTATTCTCTGTAACGTTTTTTACGTATCTGATTTACTTACGTTTATGGAAAACTTCTTTTGATTCCAGTATAACTCTGGATTATTTTTAGCTTCCTGAAAAAAATTCACAGTGTGAATAATTAAGCTGATAAATATCTTTTAAATTAATTCTTTATGCATAATGAAGAATAATAAAATCATAATTACATACTTTTCTCAAAATGATGTTTACAAAAAATGTAATTCATGTCTGGCTTGTCGTGGCTTAGGCCATTTTAGATGGCATCAAGAGTCCATTCAATACACAGAATACTACCAGCACCTTAACATTATCAGAAAATATATAAAATTATTAAATTTAAATCAGATTTATGTTTATGAAAAGCTTCATTTGTTATTTGAAAAATTGGTTTTTTGCACACACAAATTCAGAAAACACTGTAGCGCTCTACCGGTAAATAGAAGAAGGAAAAATTACTTCTTTTATTTATGACCAAAACCGCTAGGGGCGCTGATGGCTAGTGACGCGCGCAATTCGCGGAATTCGCGATGCATCACAATGTTTTTTAGAAAATTAACAAACGTCAGTGTTGAACAATATTTATTGAAATAAATAGTAAGAAATAATTATTATGTTATAGCCAATAATATTAAACTCATTAATGAATGTAATTAAATTGATTGATCAATCATACGCTATTAATCAACTTAAATATTAAAAATTGTAACACTTCTCTCTGAAACGCGAATTTCATGAATTATTTTGATCGGTGAGCTATTTTATAAATAATTATAAACAATAAAAAAAGAGGATTTGAAATAATAGAAAAAGTGATTGATATAATGAGGTGGTGTTAAGTGCTTACAAAAGTGTAATTGTGAAATAATACTCCAATTTGAAATTCTTATCAAGGAATTTGAATACAAGATAAAGGTAAACAATTAGTTTATTAATGTATGATTTATTCATAGAAATGATCAATGAACGAAGCAATGATTAACTCTGAATTGATTATGATAAATTTTTTTTATTATCACTTGATGACTAGATAATAATATAAAGATTCGTAATAACTGATTTTGGTTAAATTGCGAACACTGCGAATCATGTGCGGATTTTTCTTTTATAAATTTTGGCAAGTGCCAAATAATTTTCATATTTCTTATTTCTTTTTTACACATTACACAACTATTTTTTTTTCATCTCTCCACTTTGTCATCAATTTGTTCTCTACATGAGCGACTTAATTGGTAAATTAAAAACTAAAATGGCAAACGAGAATATACAAATTATCACTTAATTGTGACTCTTATTTATTTCTTTACATTGCACACGCATTTCGAGCACATTAATATCCGAATAATAATTCATTAACAGCACAATTTTATAAATAAATTACTCCAAATGTATGTACATCTATCATAATTGATTTCAACTAAAATAATTGAAAACTTTGTGCTCTATTGTGCGTCTAAAAGATATCACGTGATTCACACTGTGGAAAAAATTTAATAAATTACATAACAGAAAAAACTGGACTCTAAATGTCATCATCATCATTGTCAAAAATTTATCTATAATAATTTACTCCTTTTTGTCATTACAATCATTCTCAATAATTTGTTTCATCCATTAAAGTTAATCGGACAGTGTTAATCTTCACGTAAAACGCGATAATTTAGTTACAATATCTTAAATAAATTATTTATATGTCACTTCGAGATCCTAGCTTAACATAAGCGTCAAGAGCGATGATTTTTGCATACAATCCAGGACATTTTTTTTTAGTAGAACTCATGTCATCCATAAACTATTTTCTATATTAAATCAATTGTCTCTACGCAATAGGGAACAATAACCTTGTACATAAATATATTATCTATAATTATAATATCAATGCGAATATTACGTCTGCAATTATAGTAACTATAATTAAAATTTTGTTGTTTTCTCCTTTATTTTTTCTCTTTTCATCCTGATTACTTCAGGACTTGATACAGGGACGGTCTCAATCACCGTCTAGAATTCAACAATGTACAGTTTTTATTTATAAAAAATCGTTCTAGACGATATTCGCATTTTTTCTCATGTTTTAATGGGTTATGTGGCGTAGTGAGCATGATGGTGCGGATGCTGAGGTGTTTCTCCAAGCCATGAATCAGGTGATGGTGGAAAATCTGGATAGCCACCTGGTCCACCACCACCTGCACCACCTCCACTTGATTCGTTGCTTAAATCTGACGCAGGTCCTGGTACCATTCCACCCGGTCCACCTGCAGAAATAGTTTATTGTTAAAGCCATACTTTAATTTAATGTTTTAACAGAACATGCGGGCTCATATTTATGCAAGATTACAACACTTATTCTTCAAATGACTGTAAAATTATTTTTTATTTATCAAAGTGCCATAATGAAGGTTCTCCTGATGGTTCTATTCATAACATTTTATTTTACTATTTTTAAATTCAAATAATTATTGAACATATCCAATGTCTATACCCCTAAAGTAATCTTTGATTTATGCTAAAAGAACAACTTCATAAGGAATATCTAAGATTAACATCAACATTGGAGTGATAATTATGACATATATGTTATTCAACACATTTTACTAATCTGCTATCAGGAATTATTCTTTTACAACCCTCATTTGTCACTATAATTTATAATAAAAATGTAGAAAAGTTGCAGTTGAAAAATACTAGTATATGAGACCATCAAGATAAGTCTTCATTAGATGTCACATAAGATTAAACTCAGAAAAGTCGAAATGTTTCTTTCTACCACCGTATTTATAAAGCTACACCTGGAATTTTCATTTTATCGTAAAACTGATATATTTAATGTTCTAACTTCATGTTTTTATCTTCTTACATAGCACAAAAGCTATAAAATTACGCCATATGGTAAAAATTCTGAGTTATGACTTCTTAATGTCATTTTGGGATTTAACAAATCATAAATAAAAGACATAATTACCAAGTGTCGTGTAAACGGATAATCCAGCGTCTGGGGGATAGGGGAATTGTGGTGGCAAGGACGGCGATCTGGACGTTGAGAGATAAGGAGGAGTTGTAGCACCCAAGTATCCTCGTGGAGGTCCACCTCCCCCATTTGCTCCACCTCCACCTGGACTAGCTCCCTCAACATCAAGACCCATGTTCACTACTGTACCATAGCTGTCATTGCTTAGGTCTGCAAACAAATTATTTATTAAGTGTAAATTAAGACTAATGAATTTGATGAAAAATTATTGCGTTCATTAGTAAGCTATGTTTTATTTTTAATGCCGGTGTGTAGCGATGGTCTGATAAAATATAAAGGTAGGAAATCATCTGCTTTGATCTAGAAAGATAACAACGCCCTGAATTATTTCTATATTGAAACTTGCGTGCTTGGGTTTTGAGATCTGTTTGATAAAAAAGAGGATGGATAGAACATCTGTATGTGTATTTGACACACAACTATGTCACGGTGTTTTTTTTATTTTTCAAGTTTTGGCGTAATTAGAACATAACAACAATAAATCATGGAATTTTCTTTTTAAATTAATATTTCTAAAATTATTGTTTTAAATAATTTTTAATATGAAAATGAGTCAGTTTTAAGAAATAATTATTGCATTTTTCCATTTTACTTTGATATCTGTTTATAATTTTCCTGTAGACTGGTATGATCATTTATTTTATTTTTTATTTACTTTATTATTTATAATTTCTAAACAATATTCAGTATGTTATCAATTTACTTTGAAGTCATATTTACAAGTCAACTTTTATTTAGATTTTCATGTACATACTAAGCAAAAATTTTTATCACAATTATCCAGACAATAATTCAAAAGAATTTTCTCCTGTCAGACAATTTTTTATGATAAAAATTTTTAATCTGTTATCGAATGAAATTTGTAACGAGGTCGAGGTCAAGTGTCTTGACTTTTCATCTCGTCTCATTTAATTTTGATTAACGTACGGGGAAAAATTGAGTAGAAATCTCAGAGTAGGAGGAGAAAAGAGAATGAGAATACTCGGACGATAAAAAGCCCTACGGCTTTGCAGACTAGCGTCTCTCTACTCTCTGCAATCTTCGCGAAATCTCGGATGCCACGGTTGGCAGTTAGCCGAGCAATCTCCTGAATATTTGAAGAGCAAACTACCCTCTCTATCTAAACCATAGCAAAACGTAGAGAAAGAGCGTTTGTATAGACCTCAATTTTGCCCATCTGCCTGAAGCCATCAGGTCTCTAGGATATAGAACTAAATCTAAGTCTTGAAGATCAAATTGGAACTCAACTTACAGACCTGGTAGGTATTTGATTGCAATATTTTATTCACTAATCTACTAACTAACCGTGGTTAAACGAAGAGTCCATATCTACTTTGAGTTCATCTTTATCCAGAAGCTTATCATGCCTTGGTGAATGTCCTCCTCCACTTGTCCTATTTCGGAAATATTGAGACCATCTCGTTCTACCAGCGTCCTTTTTCAGTCTCTTTTCTTTTGCTCTCCTGCAACAATTATTTTTTTATCATTTCCATTATCTGATTAAACAGTTAATTTCCTCATGAAATATGATAACGAGAAATTTTCGAGGCCAATGTGGCTAATTTTCGAGAACTAGTCCTTGAACTCTAATCTTTTATAAATAACAACAACTCAAGAATAAGTCAATTGATATTATTTACTACTGGCAATGAGAATAATTTCAAGGCTCATTGATGGACTTTTTCTTAGATGGTATTAATTTATCTATTTTGCCAAGTTATTATCAAAAAGAGTCTTCTACCTTAATTTATGTTCCAATAGCTTGAGATTGGCTTGATCGATTTCGCTCAAAATCTAATCAGCTCTAAATTATCTTCAGACATATTGATGGATCTAGTCTAATAAAATTGTTTATCATATCTATGAAATATCATCAAAAATGTACCTTAAAAAACTTCTTCAAATATTATAAGAATTATTTTATATCTTTTTATTCTAAATTTGTTGTAAAAGATATTATTTTTATTCTAATTTACCAAATGATATAACTTATTCTTGATTTTCTTGTGAAAAAATAGATAAAAGATTTATCAACTTACCTATTTTGAAACCATACTTGAACAACTCGCATGTCCAGACCAGTGTCTCTGGATAATTCCTCTCTTACATGCCTTGCAGGTTTAGGACTATTATTATAAGCAAGTTTCAATGTATCTAGTTGTTTTGCTGAAATAGTCGTCCTTGGCCTTTTGTTTGGTTGATCACCGTCTATACTTCCTCCATCAGCTAATTCTAAAATAATAAAACCAATCCAATGATTTTTCTCCTAATACATCCATGTACATTTTAATTATCTTAATTTAGGTGTAATTAAAATAAATACAACAGCTTTTCCAAGTTACCTTTAGCTTTCGCCTGCTCATAATCAGGTTTGCAAACAAGTTTACGATCTTCCATCAGGTAGAATTCATCTCCAGTATCCAGTTGTCTTGAACACATTGCACAGGAGAAACAGGGAAGATGATAAATATAATCCTGAGCTTTCCGAACAACTTGTGAAGGTGCGAGAACTTGGCCACAGCCCGCACATTTGGTCCCAAACCTCCTGTCACCCCAACAACATATTTGACATTACATTCATACATTTCTTTTGTCAAACTAATGCTTAACTCAATTATTGATATCAAGATTAATTTATGGACAATGATTAATGATGGGTTTTCTGCGGGGAAAATGGCCACCAGGTATCTTGTCCGGTAATCAATAATGGACAAACCTAACCCTCATCTTGAACACTCGATACCCTTATATACCTTTTTTTTTTTTACTTTCTTCGTTATTTATCTACATATGTGTCAAGAACCTGCGGGTTTTTTTATAGCTCTAGCCAAATGATACAATCAGCGGCAGTTGGAGAATAAACTCGACTTTGTTGATGTATTTTTAGTGCTTTATTAGTATATAAACTTATGTTTATCATTCTCTGATATGATAAGTACTTGGAAGCTATTCTATAATATTTCAGTAAGGTGATGAAATTTTTTTTTAAAGATAGGATATTGAAGTAAATTTAAATCTAGCTGTTTTATCTAATGAAAAGGGTAATATAATAGGAACTATATCAGAACTATTTACTTTTATTACATTTTTTTAAAGTTTGATAATTGTTGATTATTGCTATTATAATGATCAGTATTTTTATCAAACAATAAAAGCAAAAATGAATGAGAAATGAATTAGTAAAATGTAAACATTAAAAATTGATACTTACTTGACAAAATCCTCCTTGCAAAACACATGGCCATTTCTCGCAAAGCACTTATTTGACAACCTGATGCCGCAATCATGACACTTGAGGCAGTTTGCATGCCAGCTTCTTTCCAACACTCTCAACACAAACCTGTCCAAAATGACTTCTTGACAGCCGGCACACTTGGGAATTGATGCTGCAATGACAAAAAGAATAACCACTAATTAACCACAATCAACAAAACAATTTCTTAAATACTTCATTCTTTATAAAAACTTGGAAAATAAATCTTTCAAAAGGAAAACTTACAAAGTAAAAAATCAGGAATGTTAGGTGGGAGAACAACTTGTGAATCAGATTCACTAACATGTGTATCTCTAACAGCATTAACATTATTACTATGATGGGATTCAGGACTGCTTTGCGGAGGAGTAAGCACTTCTCCACGTCCTCGATACATTCCACTGTCCAATGAAAACATCTCGCAGCCCAACATATCTAGGCCAATCATGATAAATCACAAAGAGCCACCCCCTTAAATTTTATCAACTGGAGAGTCTAACAGATGAATGACGAATGTTACGCATCTCTTGACACTCTCTTACATAAGATCTCGGCCATGGGCATGGGAACAACGTTTTATCTAATCGTTTTATTGTCGACCGATCGATTTCACTGGTCTGTCAACTACTGTGACACATATATCGACATCAGGATCTTATCTATCAACTCGATTTCCAGACGAAAAAATTTTTTTCACATTTTTATACATTTTTTTGCATTCAACAGACATTAAGTTATTTATCCAATGTGATTAATTACTTGTTTATGATAGCAAAAACTCTTTTACAATTATTTCCTTGATTTAATTTCTCACATAATTATTTAATGGTATAAACATTAATAAATGATTCACTGTCACTTGTCGATTAATTAAATTAATTATTGGTGATAGCTTTAATTTCGATACTTGTTAACTGTGATAAATATTGAAGAGTTCGGTATTGATGAAAATTGATGGAGAATCCGTAAAAGTAGTTGTGAACAGCTTGGCAACACGCGCACGACTGGTAACACCAACCATCTCATGCGCACGTGTCCCACTCGCGCCAGAGGGGAAAAGAGATATCGGTTGAGGGTGGGTGGTGGTTACTGGTGCTGGTGCGCGGATAAGAGGGTGTCTGGGTGTGGTCGCAACCCCTGCCACCCCCGCAGAGGGTGACGATTGGTCGAGACTCAGCCGCCTCCAGTATGGCGTGTGGTCTATCCTTTTATGCACAAATTTAACTGATCAACGAAAGAGAAAGTATCACCAAGATTCATCCTATATTTTAATGAAAACAATCCTCTCATATGTTGAGAAAAAATGTTTTACTTTTTTTTTCTTTTTTTTTTAATTAAGAGTTTTATCGATTGAATTTTTTGTGGTGTTTTTTTTTTGGTTTTTTTCTTGGATTATAGAAATGACAAGCAAAAGGGTTGGTTTAAAATAAAAGGAAAAAATTCCGAAGGTAATGGAAGGAGATAAAAGAAAATTAAGAAGAAGTAGAAACAGAAGGGTGAGGGCAGCCATCTTATAATCTTACCCCAGAATCACTCAAGTATTCTTTTTCTTCTCAGAATTTTTTGTATGTACATGTATATATCAGAAAAATATATAGATGTATATATTATATCTTCCATAATATTTTTCCTACGTTCTTTTTTTTTTCTTTTATTCATTTTTTTCCACTTTTCTGGATCACCTGCTCTTCCATCTTTTTTCTTTCCCTTTCATTGTAAATACCTCACCAACTCTTTTCTCTTACCCACCCTGACTCTTCTTACTCGTTTATTTTCTCTATCTCTCTCTCTTGCTCTCTATTTCCTTCTGTCGTAAAGGTTTTATTTAACCAAAGAAAATTCACCATTCCTTCTTTGAAATATGGCGACATCATTTTATATTTCTTTGTGCTTTCTTTTATTCATAAATAATTTCTTCTTTAAATAGAAACATTAATTATTTCCATTAAAATAAATAAACAATGAATTTATGTTATTATTTGAATTCTAAATTATTTTTTTAATAAGAAAAGATGAATCGAAAAATCTATCAATTTTTTGCAAATTAATCATGTCGTAATATTTTATTCCATCAAAAAAGAAGCAAATAACAGTTGCTTGAATAAAATCACTCGTTTTATTCAACCATAAATTTTGGTTATATCATCCAATCTATCCCATATGCATTTCGTACTCCAATTATTCACTCGAAATAACCGAAAAAAATAGTTTCTGATATCTAAGCATTTTCACAATATAAAGCAAACGCAAATCTTCGTCACCTAACGCACCATGAACATCCGATTTTCCACCTGACAACCCCAGTGTGCACACGTACTAACATGAAACGTGCTACGGCAACATATGGCCCATCATTTTGCATATATTGCTTGCATATATTTCTGATGACATTCGTCCTACCTATTCCCATAAAATCTGTCGTACGCGTCATTGACGTTATCGTTATACCCTAGCGTTACTTTATTATTATACATTTCTCCCTTTTTTTTTTTCTTATGTACACATTTTATTGGGATTGAAAAAAAAATCACAAACCACAAAATTTTCGGTCAGGACTAAAACAGTCAAGTCATTTTGACGTAAACACAATTGAGGGGAATCTTGTGGATGATCAACTTTTCCCTTTTTTTTTATGTAATTCATACCATCATTGATGACAAGCAATAAAAATGTGTATTTTTTTTTAACGAAAAATAAATGACGTCTGTGTTAGTATTTTCGGAGTTTATCAGTGCGTTTGCGCTTTTAAGTGACCATGTGTATCCCTAGGGCGTCTAAGTTTGTTCCCTTTGGTATGACTGAGCCAACGGGGACTTGCGAGGGGTTAGAAAGACGTCCAAAGCTCAAGGGGTGGCAGGTTGGAAATACCAAGCGCGTTGACACGCCTCCAGGAGTTGTCACAGTCGTAAAAAAAGGAGTCACCGCAGGGAGCACCCACTTATATAAAATCTATTTCTCTTGGAAAGACGAGTTTAAAAAAAAATGTTGTAAAAACGTTGACATGTGGAATTATTTAATAATAAATATTTTTGAGAATAAAATAATTTCATTACATGATTACATAAGTGAAATTAGAAATTTTTTATCAATAACTCTTTCACATTTATTTAATTTATTCTTCAATAGATGTATAGGTTTTTAATTCAACATTGCAAATCGAAGTGTGTTAAAATTAACACATATAAATATGTTTAATGTTAAATGCTAAAAACAAACTATAGATTTTAAGACATCCAGAAGTGTGTAGAAAAAAACTACAAGACTTCTAGAGTTTGTTTATGGTAATTAATATTAAACACGGTTATGTGTGTTTATTTTTAACACACTTTAATTTACAGTGAAAGTTTAAATAAATTTAGATGAAAATAAATTATGTTTTTTAAGTTCATTTTTATTTATTTTATTTTTTAAGCTGAATATTGTTGCAAATATCTATTAATTTGATTTTTATTAAACATATTGTTTAATATATTAAATAATTACTCGATAGATATTTTGTTTCTGATAGGACTGTACATTAGGTAATATTTATTTTAATTTTTTAATCAATGTTTATATGATTTTTATTATTGTATACAATATCATTGTAGGTTTTTAAGATTTTTCGTAGTTTTAATATAAAAGAAATATTCAGCCAGACTATAAGGACATATTGGTGAATCTTGAAGGCAAACAAATTAATTAAAATAAGTTTATATAAAATTATTTATTAAATAATCCAACTATAGTATTCTATTTTTTTGTTAATTTTAATTTTAAAGTTAAATATTAATTTTTATTTAATCTATTCTTCAAATGACTTCCTATAGAACTTATTTATTAACATAATTGTCGAAACACAAAGCAAAAAAAATTCCCTCAAAGTCCCTGGAACTCTAGATCTTTGACATTAAAATTCCTTTTAAGCTTAGAGATCCGTCAGATCGTCTAGAAGTTCACTGCTCCGAACACAGAATAATTCAAAGGCATCGGCCAGAGGTTTATCATTGTTTTGATGAATTTTTTATAAGAATTCTTTACTTAGACTTGACTTGGAGGATGAACTTAAAGTGAATATAATAAAAAATGATGATTAAACTTAGTCCAAAAGGTTTATAGGGTTAGACCTGGGCGGAAACCTTTTGAATTATGAGCTCAATGCAACGATAAATTATCGACCCTTTTGTATACAGAGAATATTCAGAGATATGTATAATCATAGTATGCTTGCCCATTTACGCATATGGTTAGTAATAGAAGAGAAAGACACCCTTCCTATTTTCCCTATAACTCTGAAAGACTTGAGTTCTACTATTCAATCTAAATCGTACTGCTTGCGGTTGTAATGATCATCTAACATTTGGCTAGTGTTCAAACCAGAAAAGTCATGAATGTCAAACGACTGGGATTTAATATGCGTAAATTTCGATATTTTACCCTATCACATTTATATATATTAACATTAACCCCTATCTTATGATTTATTATATCAATTACAGATCTATTGAAATCACATTTTTTTGTGTAACAATCTCTGCCTTGGAGCTCTACTTTCAAAAATATCTGTCAAATCTAATACTGATTGTATTTTTTTCAATAATTTAATACCTTGATTATTTATTAATTTTCAATTATTTAGTATTGTGTGTATATTTAGAATTTTATTTAATTTATAAAATAAATTAAATTTATTAATAGTATTAATTTAATGCACAACCCTTAGCTGATGATTTTGATTCTAAAGTTATTCTTTCAATTAAAATTTATATTTAAAGTACATCGAGAATAGATAATTAGAAATATATTTAAATATTCGTCTAGAGATGTTATTTTTGTTGGAATATTTTAATTTATTTATAATAAAATATTAATTTTTATTTTTATCAAGTACCTTTTGCTGGAAAAAATAGTCTGCATCATTTGAAAAATTAAAAAATATTTTATTATTGAACCATTTCTGAAGTATTTATATAAAATCAATTGATTCAAGTTTCAAAGATTTTTTTTTATAAAGTAACCAAGCATTTAGACAAAAAATATTCTTAATTAAATCAAATGTCTTTAAATATTTGTTTCGTTTAAAAAAAAAACGACTCTTAAATTAAAGTTTTTTTTACAAAGAATGAAAAGAATTCTATTAAATTAAAAGAAAAA